GTCCTTCCTATACGATGAAAAATGGCCCGCTAATGTCATTATATATTCCTAATTTCCCAGATTTACCTTATTTACAGTTCATTCTTTGATTATACTACGACCTTCAACAATTCCATTTACTTTCTTGTAATAATTGAATTCCAAAAACCGACTATTTATATGTTGTACCGAGTATTCTTGTCTGGTAAAATCACTTTTAAACATTTGATTACCTCAATTTCTCTCCCTCACTTTTTCTTTGTATTTATTCATAGCGGCATAAAAATTGGTGTTTCTGTTCCTTGGATTAATTTTGAGGACAATGAAGGCTCTTAGAATTAGACTTGACATCACTGCAGCTGGATGTAGCGAATGGTGTGAGTTGGGCGAATTAAGCCAAGAAAAGACGGAAAGTTTGTGTTCCCGGGCATTTATTTGGGATTACTTGAAGTGAGGGTGGGCTGGCGGTGACGTGATGACATCCACAGGGATAGAAGATATCGGAGTTGGTGGGGATTAGAGGAAACCCGGGCCGGTAATGACGGGTAGAGGCGACTGAGCTGAGCAAAAACCGGATTTGTGGCTGTAATTTGGGCCGGCTTGGTTTGGAAAAGTTTCGCGTAAAAACTTTGGTCTAATTTATTGATGTTGGAAATTTCCATTCTGTAAAAAACGTCCTAGCCGGATGACTTTTTAAAGCCAAGAAATATATTTTTTGATTTTTCTGGACGAAGATCAGACATTTTTTTTGTTTTCTTGGTGTCGTCTTACAATATTTTCGAACGATTTTTTTTCAAATTTTGAAATCCTTTTCATAATTTTTAAAAATCGGAATTTCCAAAATAAAAAACCGGGAATTTATATTAAAACACGATTTTTGAGTCAGGGCACCAGCGGTGGTCTTAGGAAAAAATCGATTTTGAGATTTTTGGCTTAAAATAGTCGGTAGCACTTGTGGAAGAAAAGCTAAAAATATTTTTGCCCAATTTTGCCCGGAAGGCATATTTTTTTACAAAATACGTTTTTACACTTCAAAGCCTCTGGAGGCCGATGTGATCCGACCACAGAGATCAAACCTGGCGTACAGGGGTTTTTGACACCCAGGAATCTGAAAATCGTAGCATTTTTACCGTCAGATTACTGTAACATGGTCATACTGTAATCCGGTCGATAAAAATCGACGATAACTTCTTTAGATCAAAAATGCCACAGGATTTTATTGCAGATTCGGAATCAGCATAAAATTCTGCTTCGGACACATGTAAAATATGTTCAAAATTCCGTGGCCCAACCTCTGTAGTATAGTGGTTGTGCGCCAGGATTGTCAATCTGGCGACCCAGGTTCATTCCCGGTGGCTGCAAATGGCAGAAAATGGACTATAAAAGGGCGGAAACTTGGAAAAAAGGGAAAATAAATTTCAGAAAATTAATTTTATGCTACTTATGACCAGTTTAAAAGTTTTTGCAAGAATTCCGCATAAATTACGGTTTTTTATGGAAAACGTCTCACAGCATTCGTAAGATCGCCCCAAATGGCAACTAAAGAGTTGTGGTGAATCTACATAACGCTTGCTATCCAATGTTCATCATATCCGCCGAGGAATGCAATACAAAACAAAATAAAATAGTTATTTAATTTTCAGATGGAAGCACGCATGTTACAGTCCCGTAGTTTAGCCTCTGTTCCTTACCAACTGAGTCTCCATGTAGATTTATCATTAGAGCGTCCACGCGCTCCGTTTTTCGTGGGATACGCAAGACGGCCTAAGTTTTACAAGCTGTGTGATCCCGGTGCTGTTAGGGAATCTTATATGACTTTTTGTGAATCTTATATGACTTTGTGGTCAAACATTGTTCCGTTCGATAAACCTCGGCCGCAGCTCGCCTTCTTAAAATCCCGAATTTGAAAGAAAACCCAGGCTATTCCAAAAATTTAACGAAACAAGCATAAATGGACTTATTTCGTAGTAGGAAGCCTCAGTAACCTCTTCTGTAAATTTTAACCAGATTGCTCCACTTTCCGGCCAGCTATAAGGCGTTTTCCATAAAAACCGTAATATATGTGGAATTCTTGCAAAAACTTTTAAGTTGGTCATAAGTAGCATAAAATTAATTTTCTGTAATTTATTTTCCCTTTTTTCAAAGTTTCCGCCCTTTTATAGTCCATTTTCTACCATTTGCAGCCACCGGGAATCGAACCTGGGTTGCCAGATTGATAATCCTGGCGCACAACCACTATACTACAGAGTGGGCCACGGAATTTTGAACATATTTTACATGTGTCAGAAGCAGAATTTTATGCTGATTCCGAATCTGCAATAAAATCCTGTGGCATTTTTGATCTAAAGAAGTTATCGTCGATTTTTATCGACCGGATTTCAGTATGACCATGTTACAGTAATCTGACGGTAAAAATGCTACGATTTTCAGATTCCTGGGTGTCAAAAACCCCTGTACGCCAGGTTTGATCTCTGTGGTCGGATCACATCGGCCTCCAGAGGCTTTGAAGTGTAAAAACGTATTTTGTAAAAAAATATGCCTTCCGGGCAAAATTGGGCAAAAAAAATTTTAGCTTTTCTTCCACAAGTGCTACCGACCATTTTAAGCCAAAAATCTCAAAAATATTTTTTCCTAAGACCGGGCCCCACTACAGGCTGACGCAGTGACTCAAAAATCGTGTTTTAATTTTCCGATAAATTTCAGTTTTTTCTTCTGAACTCTTTTTTTTGCTGCAACACTTTCCGCCGGCTAGACATCGCTTCCGGCGGATTTTTGCAGCCCCGCTGATTACCAAGGTTGAATAAACGCAAATCGAATACGTAACGTCAAAATAATCATTTTTTCTTTTCTTTTGTGTGAATTAGCAGTACAATTCTTTTGAAATTTTGTCATCCGAGCAGTAAGCAGCACTATTCGGCGATTGTTTTGCATCGGTCTTCTTAGGCTACGTATATTTATGTTTTTACAGTGAGAAGGCATGGTTAGTTTATATATAAAAATTCTGGCAATAAAATAGGCTTTCTTGTTCCCCAAAGATTTATTTTTTTATAATACATATTATAGTTAGAACTGATGTCACTGTGTTCATGCTTATTTCTACCGCATGACTTATATGTAGATAAGATCAGTACGTGTAATTTTTCAATATCTTCTATATCTTTTGTTTTATACTGTAACTCACATATATGTATAATATAATAATATGAGTACATACATATTGTAGTTTCAAATGGCAGGTGAGATACGCCAAATCGTGAAAAGTAATACATTTGGCAATGTTACTGACTACTCAAAATTTAATTCATTTATAAATTTATAAAAAATGCCATTACATATTAGTTGCAGAGTAATCGTTTTACAGTAAATTTACTTACAACCCAAATGTTTGGTACAAGATTCTTTGAGAAAATTCTGCTCTTTCCTCATCGTAATGTCTTTCCACTTGATTTATTTTAACTTTGCAAACACCGTACTGTAACCACATCACTTTTAAACTTCCATATTCCATGTATTTACTTTGTCCTCAAATTAACGGAATTAGTCTACACATTGATAAAAAATGAATTGTAAATATTAAAACGGTTTAGGGCTGATGTCATTCACAACAAGGTAGAAGCAACGGAACTCCCCGTTCCACTTAATCAGCACAGTTTTTTTCTCTGACTTTTTGCAACGTTTTTTTCACGGTTGGGCTACCGTATCTCCCCAAATAATGTCGAAAAATTCGAAGAATTGGCCGTTGATCTCTAGTTTCATATTCCATTTACAGTTGAGTTCACATTTAGGTGTGAAAAAATGAAAACAGAAATAATTGAAAGCCATTTGGATGCGATACTTTTGGTGGCATTACTGGTTAAAGCTGTGAGAGCTTTATCTTTCGTAAAATTCATTTTTGAAAGTAACCCGTAGTATTGTATGTAGTGTGTTTTATGTTTTGCAAAAGATGTAATTTATAATAGCATATTTAATAGTTTTTCTCTCCAAAAGTTTTTCAAGTACGTAAGTACAATTATAAGTGCTTTAATGTACAATTGTACGTACTTTAATTAAAAATCTTTAGTTTAAAAAGTTTTCTTCAAAGGTAATAACAATTAGTTAGCTATATGTCATCAGCAAAGGCTTTCTTATTTTTTGCCGCCAACGTTGTAACAAGATTTTGCTAAGAGGGGAAGTACTCCAAGTGCGACGCTCAGATTTTCTTTAAATTTTGCACACACGTCGGGTATGGACTAAATATCAATTCCTGAAAGTTTTAGCTCGCGCTTTATGGGCGCCGCCGAGACATCGAACGATATTTGCCGTCGAGAGAGCACGCTAAAGATGGAGAGCGGTCAGAGAGAAAAACGTTTTTTGGCCATAGTTTTGGCAGTTTCGTGCGGAAAAATTTGATTTTTTGTAGAAACATTATCCTTTACGGTGGAAATAGGCCTGAAACTTTTCGTGTCAAAATTCGGCAAAAAGTCCTGAATTTTCGCCGACTTTCGATCTAAAAATCTCGGTTGTTTCTGCAAAGCGCGAGCTAGAATTCTCGCATATATCTTTAAAAAATTGTTCTAAATTTGTGATAAATTTCATCAAAATCTGAGCGTCGCACTTGGAGTACTTCCCCTGTAAGTGCGGTTTAAATTTCAGTAATAAATAATGACTCTCCGAGCTTCACACCCCGAGAAGTATCGTTGAAATTTTATGACTATTGTGGCGACAAACCAAACTTTCGTGGATGCAAAAAATTTTATTCCGTGCTGGCTACCCTACGCAGCAATTTTTTATCTCCATTTTTCGGGGATTAAGCATCCTGCAAATTGGCAAAACTTTTCCCAGACAAGGCCTCTTATGTATTTTTACACATTTTTTGTGATTTCTGATCCATTGCCAATAAATTCTCGTATTTTCTTCGAAAGTTCCTCAATATTTTATGTATAAATCTTTTATGTATTTGTTTTTTTCTGTCGTGTCATGCCCATGTTATGCGTTTATTTATGGCTTGATAAATGGTAACCATTGATTTTTTAGAAAGTAAAATGAACGCCGAAAGTCTGTTCTCCGTCGAATTTACTCGCTGCGCCCGTCGAACTCCCCGATTAACGTACGATACGAGATCGCTGTCGGCCAGAGAACCAGATAGACGTAAGTTTTGCAAAATTTTGGTTTTTTGTAGAACCTTTGTCCTCTTTTGTACAAATTTTTTGTGGAGATAAGGCTGAAACTTTAGTTGCCATGCTAGCGAAAAAACTGTCGAATTTTCACCAAATTTTGGGCCAAAATTCTTGATTACTTTAAGCTAGGAATCTTGCATGTTTTATAGGAAATAACAGCCTAAAATTACATCAATTCTTTTGTAAAATCAGCGTCTCAGTTTTTATCACTTCCCTTATCAAGTTTGACCAGTAAATCCTTTAGTTTGTGGTCAACTAAGTTTCTATTTGAAATCTCATCATTAAAAATACTCCCCCAATTGCTTTGTTCCCCTTCTGATGTCTCCAACTGCTCAAATTACGAGAAATGATGTCAATTCTGTTTTGAGATTTTATGTCCGGCTTTTCAAAGACGCTTTTCCACATGGTCATTAATCTGTTTTTATCCCGGATAATCTCGCATGAGTTCGGGTGTTAAATGTATTCCCGGTGTGGTTATTAAATGATTCGGCTTCCTTGTACACCTATGTGCCAGTAGCAGCGTAATGATGCGATGTAGGTGTTTGTGTAAATATGTAAATGTATATATAATAAAAATATTTGGATCATAAGAAGGTACGACTTGACAGGTTAAGATATGCGTATATTAGCGAGGATTTATAATATTTCTCACAGGGGAAGTACTCCAAGTGCGACGCTCAGATTTCCTTAAAATTTTGCACACACGTCGGGTATGGATTAAATATCAATTCCTGAAAGGTTTAGCTCGCGCTTTGCGGGCGCCGCCGAGATATCGAACGATTTTTGCCGCCGAGAGAGCACGCTAAACGTGGAGAGCGGTCAGAGAGAAAACACCTTTTTGGCCATAACTTTGGCAGTTCCGAGCGGAAAAATTTGATTTTTTGTAGAAACATTATCCTTTAGGGTAGAAATAGGCACAAAACTTTTCGTGCCGAAATTCCGCAAAAAGTCAAATTTTTGGCCGACTTTCGATTTAAAAATCTCAGTTGTTTCTGCAAAGCGCGAGCTAGGATTCTCGCATATATCTTATAAAAAATTATTCTAAATTTGTGCCAAGTTTCATCAAAATCTGAGCGTCGAATACGTGTCAAATTGTAGTAATAACCTTCCCACTCAGTTCCTCCAATTTACATATTTACTTTTCAACTTTAATTCCTCGTCATTTCCTGTGCCATGACACACACACACCTACATTTAATGTAAGCAAATTGCATTAGGTTGTTATAAATTACGCATTTTCTCATGAACTTTTCCCAATGATGACCATTCCGAACATTCCGGAAACCCTTCAGATTTTATTGGAAAGCGTGTTGTTTACACTCGGCGTGAGACATTTATTTTTAGGACATCAATTAGACATGTTAAATACAGGACGATCCTCGAGGAGGATATCCTTTTTGGCCTTTAAATTCTAGATAATTGCGTTGTTTTAGAAATTTCTTGGCTGTTTCTTTTCCTGTTTTCGATGGTAGTTGTGGTGTGTTACGGTTGCGAGTGAAGGGCTCAAGATTCGGCACTTTGATTTTTAGGCATCTTGGCGCAAAATTCGACTAATTTCTTCTAAAAAAGGAAGTCTTCTAGGTGAAGTACCGAGATATTCTAAAAAAAATTCATCAGGCTCTGAATCAGTCACATATTGCATTAACCCGCTCTTAGCAGCGACCTAGATATCTAATATTATAATATTGCTCAGTGCCTCACAATTTTTTTCGAAATGGGTATGTATTATATATATGTTGGTGTATACGTATATGGATGCTCTCCGGATATTTTCAGCTTACAAATCCATATCCGTACCCGATATATTGCCGATAAAAAATGATCGTATATGCTGTATCCGTATCCGAATATCCGGGTATGGGAAACCTTTCGGATATTCAACTGTTGGGACTAAATTTGATCGTAGTCTACAAAAGGGGTCGTGCCATGAAAATTTTTATTCTTATCTTTGCCCAGAGGGCACCGTTTCCACAAAAGATCAAATTTTCCCTCGCGCAAAAGGACAAGATGTGTTGTTGTTGTTTTTGGCCGCTCTCCGAAGAAGAGATGACCTCGTTGCTCTCGCAAAACGCAAGCTAATCCTTCAGAGATTGATTTATGGGCTACTATTGTTCCAGATATATAGTTCAAACTGTCTTTTCATCAAACGTCGTTGAATATGGTTGCAAAGGGCAAGCTGAAATTTATGCCATTGATTGTAGCTTCTCTTGGAATGTCTTCAAAAAAATAGGTAAAAATTTGAGCTCAGCGCTTTCAGCAATTCATCTATGATGTTTTATAAGACGCTGACGCTTCAGTAAAGTGTTGTCGCATCCACGTCTTTGAATATTTGGCTTTGTTCTCTAATAAAATTCGGCAAAATCACGCTTCCTGTAAACATTACTCGCATCAAAACACTTGCGTTTTCATTTTCAGCGAATCTCTTTTGTCCAACTTTTTTTTGAAATTTCAATTTTTTAAAGAAATTTTAATAATTTCAATTTACACTTGACACGCAACATGCTTCAAATTCGCAGTAAAAGGCAATATAAAAACAAATGGAAAACGCAATAAACACAGTGCTCTACGTCTGCTGATAATTGCTTTTCTGATTCGCAAATTGGCCAAGTTTGGAGCGACATTCCCTCCGGGCTTGTAAATATCAACCCTTTTCGGGTAACTTTTAGATGCCCGTAGGGGTTGGCGATGTCAAAAACGGGGCTAAACGGCTCTGACATTGCGTAGATTCTGGGGTTTTTTTACAGGCAAAAGCGTCACAACTCTTTTGGAAGTTTTTATGACGTTTTTTGGATTGATTACAGAAACCGCTGTCTGCATATCGCCTTCTCTCTCGGCGTAAGGATTGCTGTATATTTTGACTAAAAAATTTGAGCGTCGCACAACAAATTTCAAAAAAATGTCACGTGAGGTCGTGACGTAGCATGCCAAAAGATGGATCGCGTCCGAAAGGTCTTTACATCCATCTGTTCCGCGGAACTTCCTGAATGTAATAAAAAGTATCGGAGTTGGGGGTTTTGCAGCAGGCTTATGGGTGGTTTATGGTCTATGGAACTTATGCTTGCAAGCTTTTGAGTCGCAACATTTCAGATGGGAGCGATGAAACATATTTAATTTACTGTGAAATAGGGGAAAAATTAAACCTTAAAGTTAAAGTTAAATCTCCGTATAGCAAATAGGTAGGGGCTAAAAATTGTGTTTGCAATAGAAGGGATTCGTTGTAGAGAGGTTTTTTCGGCCTAAATTGACGCAGGACTCGAAAATTTTTTTGTTATAGAGAGATCTTGATGTATGGGAGATTATGGCACATTACTATCGCGTTTTTATAAAAAATTTTGTATTTTTTCATTATGCTCTTAATCAGAATTGTACACTCCCTAATTGTAGGTCGATTTGCGCTTTTAGCTTCCCTATTCTCTGACCAATTTTCTCCTCACGTGTTGCGCGTGCCCTCAGGGTTCTGAACTCGGTCCCCACAAAAAGAATTGATTAAAAATACCCGTGGGAATCGAGAACAAAAAAAAAGAGAAAGTCCTTTCAGTGCATGAGACCATTTTCTCGAGTACTTTATGCATGTTGCATATTAGCTTCCTACTTTCCTGGGCAGAATGCCCTGTTCTTTAGTCAGTTGGGTGTTTACAATGTCATGTTTACAATTTGAGGTCGTGGGGAAAGGGAAATCGAGCCTGGGTGTAGGTGGAAGCAGGTTGTTTAGGAAAGGGGTTACCGTATTTTTGAGCAGTTTTTGATTTTGTTAGGTTGATGAATTTTGCTGCCAAGTTTTCTTAGCTTATTTAGTGTAGCTTATTTTAAATTTTCAAAATAAAAATTACTTTTTTCTCTGCATTTTTCTTTGTCGCCCTCGAAACACAATGACCCTGACTATATCCTGTTCTTATATTCATCGTCTACACTTGACTTGATCCTTTGTTTTTCTCCCACTCAAGACCATATTGTCTTCTTGTGGTTCGAAAACCTCCGGGCGTCATGTGACTTCACTCTAGCATCATCCACATCACTTCCGGAGATTATGAAGTCATTGAGGATACAAAAACATTAAGGTTACTGTAATGACAAAAGAAATATAATCAAAGCTTCAAAATTACAACCAAAACTAAATTTACAAATATTGTCGTATGTAATAGTTGTAATAGCTGCTATTAATAACCTGAATTAAATATCATAAAAACTTGGCAAATTACAACAAACAGGCCTCTTTTGACAAGAAAAGACTTCAATTGCATGAGTGCGCTTTAGGTTGTTTATAATAAACATTTCAATACACTTGAATTTTCGTATTTTACATCTTTTACATATTTTCGCTCAAAACACCTTTCATCGTATAAAATGTCACTTTTTGTAATCTTCATTCCAAATAAGGCAAAATCATTTTGTTATATTCTAGGTTGTTTATAATAAAAAACTAATTCGATTCATCGTATTTTACCACCTTTTTTGACAGTTTTTATCCTCAACTTCCGTGTAAATGTACAGTAATTTGCAAATTGCAAATTCAAATTCTTTTGTCACAACAATTTGTCAAACAATTTTTCGAGTGCTCTGTGGGTTGAAGGTCCTTGACGCTTCACTTATCACCACTCAGTTTTGCAATCATTTTGCAGCCGGAAAGTAAATAAATCGACAAAAAATGGAGCAAAAGTTACGAAAAAAAAGAGTAATATAGGTAATGAGTTTAATAACAAGTTTGGGAGGCTAATTGGATGAGAATGCCGACCTTTGATGGGGAAATATAATAATTGTTTCCAGGAATCCGGAGGTGTAGTTTAGGACGGGGAACGAGGTTTTGGTTATTTGCGGAGTAAGTTTGCTCGGAAAATATATAGTTTACAAAATTTTTGAGCTAATTAAGCAATTTGTTAGAAAACTTTGGATCCTTGTGAAAATTTATAGGGCAAAGCACAGAATAATACAATTTGAACTACTTGTTGCTGACTAACTCAGTAATTCTGAACAATATTTTTGAAATTTTAACAAGAGAAAGTCTTCAAGTTCGACGCTCAGATGGAAGCCAAATTTTACAAAGATTGCTGTGCATAGGTTTCTTTTCAGTGTCTAAACATTTAGCTTGCGCTTTTTGCTAGCCGCTGAGATATTCAACGATCTTTGCCGCCTTTGAGATGGTCACGAAATCCGAGAAACGGTCAGAGAACCAAAGAGTTTTTAGCCTTTCTCTTTTTTACATTGCTGTCTAAGAAGGTAAAGAAAAAAGACTAAACTGTTTGATAGATAAACTTATTTCGAATTTTTTCCAACCCTCGGGCTTCCAATCTCGGTTGTTTCTGCAAAACGCGACGTAGGAATTTTGGATTCGCCTCGGTCACTGAATTTCCGACGGCGTCCGAAAAGTGGAGCCTAAAATTTTTATTGCTTGGTCTACAAGTCAGATAGAGTTAGAGGGTCCTCTCTGATTAGGTATCTCTAATCTCATCTTCTATAAAATGAGGTGGTATTTGTTGGATGCATTTACGTCATTATATTTTTTACTTTTGACTCTGTATTTTATCGTCATTAACATCAATTTTACTCAAAATATTTTTTGTTTTTTTTACACATGACATCAATTTTTTACATTTATATTGTCCATGACCTTGTTTGAATTTAATTTTTTTCTGAGTATATCTAAAATATTTTTTTCATTTTCAGCTCAAGTCTCTCCCAAATCCCGTCGCAAACTCCCCACTACTCCCACCGAATCGACCAATCGTCTGAACGTGGTGTTTGGCCAATTGCATTGCACCACGAGCTGGGATCGACTCAGTACCGCGGGTAAGACAAATATTTAATTTAACTTTTTAAATTAATGTTTTTAATTGCTCGGCAAATATTGGAAAGAGAGACAAAAGAATTTCAAATTGAAGTGATTGACAAGTTGATCTTGAAATTGTTGAAAAAAATTGAAAAACAAAAAAAAACTGTATATAAAAAAATAAAAAAATTAAAAAAATTAACTAATATATCAAAGGTTTTACTATAGTAATTATTTTTTTTTTAATTTTCAGTCATGGTCAAGTATCATATTAAAATTTTGGATCTGTTTTTTTTTTGTGAAAATCTGATTTTTACAACCCACATCTGGCCATAATTTTTTCGGCCAGACAATGGAATTGATATGACAAATGAGAGTTTTCACCTTCTCAATAAATGTCAGAGATTACGCGATCTCTCCGTTATTTGACTTTATTTATTTATCTTCTTGAATTTTTGGAGGGTTCAGATATTAAAGATCTTGAACATTTCGGATTAAACATTTTTTCTCAACATGCTAAATTTTTTAAAAGTTTATTTTTTTTATTTTATGTCTGTTTCTAAGAAATTTTTTTATTTTCCCACAGTACTTTTTAAGGATCAACAATTTTAGAGAAAACACTGCGGGTTCAGACTTTTATTTTCTATTTTAATATTAATTTGGCTGTTTTTTGAACTCCTAGAGCTCAAACTTGTCATAAGTAGAGGTGGCTATGCTTCAGTAATTTTTTTGAAAAAGTTCGAAAAAACCGGAAAGATCGGAAAATAAAAGAAGTTAGTTTTTTAGGACAAAGGATGAAAAACAATGACGCTATAAGACGGCGGGTTTTTGAATTCATTAGGTGATTTTTGTCAGTGAAAAGATGCTTTTCAAGAAAGGTAGTTTGTTATAAAATAATTTGTTTTATAAAAACTACAAGTAGAAAATTACTATCTCGATTTTTTAAGGGCTTTCATAAAGATAAAGCCCTCTTTTCGAAAGTAAAATCTCTCAGGAATGAAGACACAAAATTGGTTCAAATTATGGATACACAGTCTACATAGCCTGTACATCAAATGCTGAAAATTTTAGCTAAACCTCTGCAAGCACAGCTGAGATATTCAACAATCATTGCTAACTAGACCACTGAAAATTAGGTGAGACGGCAAAAGATTAGGATGTTTTTGGGTTATTTCTTGTTGATTTTTTTGTGGAAAAAGGCCTTTTTTGGCATAAATTATCTACTTCAGACGTTGAATAAACTGTTTTTACACAATTAAAATCTCAAAAAAAAAAATACAATATCAATTTTTTTTATTCAAAAAATGCAAGTATTTGTGCAAAACGTGAGCCAAAAATTTCAAAAATTCCTTTGAGAATTGTAATCATGATTTTTGTCAAGTATTATGATCTTCTGATGACTTTATTTTTGAGATTTTTGTACTGAATTACAAAATATTTTCAACCAAAATTCAAAATATTTAAAATTTTGCATAGAGAAGTTTTGATCCTTTGCTGTAGACAGCCTTGTCTTTCCTTTAAAATTTCCCCCGATATTCCTCCTAATTCCTTCAAATTTCTCATGTTTTCCCAATTTTCCGTGATTTCCCAGTACAAGTGAAACCGAAAACCGTTTGGTCGGAACAAAGAAACAGCATCGTATCTTCGGATTGTTTTTGTATTCTCCTAAACCAATGTTTACCCAGTTTTCTGACCAAAACGTGACCTCTTTTACGTTGTATTTTAGTAGACATTTCAACTCAAAAATTCAAATTTTTGATGTCATCGCAAAACAAGCACGCCGGAAGGTGCTCAAATATTGATTATGAGTCAATTTAACCCACGACGACATAATAAATCGAGTGGATTCGGTTGCCGGGATATGGGATTTTTAGTTTTTTGGAGCTGAATTGGGAAAAGGAACTAAAAAACAACTGTTTAGCATATTTACGGTAGTCTAGACCGTATTTTAGAGAATTTATTTTGTAAATAAGTTTGAGAAAAGATCGAGTTTTTATGGGTTGAGCTTCTGGTTTCATCAATAATCAGAAAATATTAAAATATTCACAAAAATACGACAAAAAAATAAAAAATCATCGAAAATAATGTAAAAGTCATCATTTTCTTTGATTTTTTTAGTATAAAATGGTATTTAAACTAAAGTTTCGTCTGTTTTTTATTGTATTTTAGAAGTTTTTACAATTTTTTCAAACATTTTTAACCTTATTTTTCCAAAATTTACCATCATTTAACCAAAAAATTTCAAAAATTTTTTATTTCAGACCACCGACCGATATACTTGAATGTGACACCGGATTACTGTCCCAGTCCAGTCCGCTCACCCAGCCCGGTCCAAAGTTCAGCCATGCAAAAGACCTCGTTATTACGTAAACTTCATTTCCAAGGCCGCGTAAGTCCCCGCTTAACGGCTTTTTTGACGTCAAAAATGTCATCTTCTGACATTTTACCCCATTCCTTGCCTCGGGCAATATTTGGGAATGGCATTGAATTTCGCTTTTTCCATATTTTTGCAGGAGAACGCGAAATTTTTTGCGTTTTTAGTGTTTGTAAAGCAAAATTTAGTGCTAAAATTACTGTTTAAAACACGATTTCTGACTCACTGAATCAGCCGTGTGCAAGGCCGGGACATAGGAAATTTTCGATTTTGAGATTTACAGCTGGATATGTCCGCACCCATCATATAAGTGTGTTCCTGAAGCCTTTTGCCCTAATTCTCCCGTTAACCTAGATTTATTTACAATTTAAGAAATTTACAGTAACGTCAAATATCTCAAAACTAGGAAGACGTAGAGCCGTAAAACTGTGGTTATGTATGTTTTTGTGCACTGGGAATCCAATGGAGGTGGTTTTGGGTCGAAAGGGTTACTGTAACATAGCAAACTTGCGCTTCGGCCGCACAAAATCGGCCGTAAAAAGGTTGTTTCTGAAAACCCACAGCTGAATTTTTGATATGTTGATCAGCATAAAATTCTGCCCTAGAAACATTAAAAAAAAGTTCAAAAATGCGGGGGGCTATTTTTGTGGTATAGTGGATTTTGACAAAATATACCAATCTGACGGCCCGAGTTCGAGTCCGGGTGGACGCAAATCGCTTAGAATTGGTCGGGAATGACTTTAAGGGCGCGGATATGGAAGACTGAGTTTATTTCAGGTGATTTTGATAACAATCCGGCAGTTTTCAGATTTTTTGGTGGAAAAAGGGCGAAAATACAACTTTTAGACAAATCGTATTTTACACGGCTGTTTTGCGTTCATGACAGAATAAGAACTTATATTTAATCGTTTGAAGGGTTTTTCGGCAATTAAACCCGTCAAAAAAAATTTTTTAATGTTGTACTTGACATCTGATAAGCAAGCAGTGCATGGACCTTCCAGCTTGTAATTTCTTTCGCTCTGACTTGACAAATTGTCTGCAAAGGTTATAACTAGCATAAAATTTAAATTATTTCACGGCTAACCACAAGAAATCTAGTTTGAGAATGAATTTTCTCCGAATTTCATCGATTTTTCTATAAAGCGAAATCACTTCCATGATGAACCATTTTCTGAAAACATGTGAAATATAGTCATAAAACAGTGAATTACGTTGTCATTAGCCAAGTTTCGGTACTACTGATGCCTGCAAGAGGTAAAATTATCAGGTACCTAGTATAATATATAAATACTCAGAACATGGTTTCTACTAGTTGGAAACACTTGAAAAACACTACATATAAGTTCTTATTCTGTCATGAACGCAAAACGGCCGTATAAAATACGATTTGTCTAAAAGTTGTATTTTCGCCCTTTTTCCACCAAAAAATCTGAAAACTGCCGGATTGTTATCAAAATCACCTGAAATAAACTCAGTCTTCCATATCCGCGCCCTTAAAGTCATTCCCGACCAATTCTAAGCGATTTGCGTCCACCCGGACTCGAACTCGGGCCGTCAGATTGGTATATTTTGTCAAAATCCACTATACCACAAAAATAGCCCCCCGCATTTTTGGACTTTTTTTTAATGTTTCTAGGGCAGAATTTTATGCTGATCAACATATCAAAAATGCAGCTGTGGGTTTTCAGAAACAATTTTTTACGGCCGATTTTGTGCGGCCGAAGCGCAAGTTTGCTATGTTACAGTAACCCTTTCGACCCAAAACCACCTCCATTGGATTCCCAGTGCCCAAAAACATACATAACCACAGTTTTACGGCTCTACGTCTTCCTAGTTTTGAGATATTTGACGTTACTGTAAATTTCTTAAATTGTAAATAAATCTAGGTTAACGGGAGAATTAGGGCAAAAGGCTTCAGGAACACACTTATATGATGGGTGCGGACATATCCAGCTGTAAATCTCAAAATCGAAAATTTCCTATGTCCACGGCTAATTCACCGAGTCAGAAATCGTGTTTTAATGTCGCAACTTGTCATTTCCGATAATTTGTTGCTATTTTTTTCGGATTGGGTTGCAATTTTTTGGCCAAGAGACGTCAAAAATTCAGTTGAGATCAAAATTTAATCTTGTTTTGATTGCACAGTGCAATAAAAATAAAAAAAGAGTGCACGGTGCGGAGAACAAAGGACTGCACGGTGCAGTGAACCTTCCTCTTATCGCGAAAACAAAATTTCGCACTGTGCAATTTATTTTCCAAACCTCTCCGAATTCTGCACGGTGCAAATTTGCTCTGCGATAAATTTGACCCTTTGCACAGTGCAAATTTGCAGTTTTTTCTGCGATGAATTTCTCTTTTGCACGGTGCAGGCAAAAAAAAGTTTTGCTGCACAGTGCGGGTTTTTCGATTGTTCTGCACTGTGCGGTTTATTTTCCAAGCCTCTCCAAATTCTGCACGGTGCAAAAATTTGCAGTTTTTCTGCGATGAATTTTTCTCTTTGCACGGTGCAGATAAAAAAAGAGTTCGCTGCACAGTGCAATTTTTTGATTGGCCGCCTGCACTGTGCGGTTTATCAATTGGTCATTGCACAGTGCGAAAAATTACAAAAATTGCCACTGCACTGTGCAAAAAAAATATTTTAAAAAAATTCGCCCTGAGGCAATGGTGTTCAAGGCTGTCGGTTCAAACATTACTTTTTGTTAAATAATTTTTCATGCTTACATATTCCTCATGACCTCAAATCCTACGAACGTCCTTCGTATGAGCTTCGGAACAATGGCCAAAAATTTGCATCCAAAGACCAAAACTCTGTTTTGATAGCATTGTTTCGGCCGCAACGCGCTTCTACTTTTACGCCTTTCGAATTACTTTTACAACTTTTTGGCCATAATTAAAGAGTCGGGCGGAAAATGTTATAGGGAGTTTTATGAGTTGTGAGGTCAGAATTGGTTTCCGCTTCTAAACTTGGGAGTTGAGAGGGAGGTTTGATGGTGTGGAGAGACGGGAAGGTGGTTGGAAGCGTGTTTAGTGGGAGATTTGTATATTACACTTGATAATTTGGGTAAAAGAAGGTAAAAATTGTATTGTTCTTGGTATTATAGCTGTTAAGCCATTTTAGTGTGTGCCTAGAGTCATAGATTTTTGTGAAATTCTGTATGCCTTTAGTTTTCACTCGATTAAAAACAAATTTTTTTTTTATTTTTTTTAACCAAGACCCTTCAAAATATCTCTACTATAATATACGGTCTTTCTGGACTTCCCACACCCTTCTCACCTGGCCGAAAATATTCCTGTTGCTATTTCAGGGTGTCGGAGAAGTACACTGTTGTTTTTCTCTGCTTTTGTTTATAACAAATGTTCCCTTTATTCTTCTATTTTCACACTTCCGCCTGAATACCCCTTTTCTGGAAGAATTCATCAATTATTTATACTTTTTAATTACAATTCCGATAAAAACGAGATGCTAAAAACAATTGCCCAATGAGATTTTTTCCAATTTCTCAGCCAAAAGTCAAACAAAGTTTGAATTTGTGATTTCCCGCATTTTTTGGCATTGTGTTTCAAGGGTTTTTAGTGCTCTAAATTCCACGTTACAACTTTCGAAATATAAATTTAGAGATTTTTAGGTTTTTTAAGGCTATTTGAAAGGCGAAAACTTTTAAATTTCGAATTTCCCGCGCAATTTGGCATTCTGTTTTACGGGTCGAAAATTGGTTAAAATTGAATTTTTTAGGCTTTAAGTAGTTTTTTTATAAATTTAAGGTCATTTAAAGATCATTTGAACCAATGTATTTTTTGAATTTCTTGTTTCCCGCCATTTTTGGCATTATGTTTCAACCTTATTTTCTCTCACAAAACCGTTTCTAATTATTTTTTGACAGTATTTTAATTGTTTTAACGTTATTTCGAGGCCATTGCGGGTGCAACGTTTCGGCCCTCGAATTTCCGCGGCGGTCCCAGGAATTGGGCGTCTAATTAGGATGTTACGTCGCCTTCGTATGTCACATTATTTGTTTCCGTTTTCGGACGATTAGACGAAAAACGACCCGAAAACACGAGAGCCCCAAATTACTCGTCGAGAACGCTAACTTTGGCAGGCTGGTGGCGTTGTTTACGGCGTTGATTACAGTAGGAAAATGAGACGTAAAAAGTCCGGCATGTGGTGTGTACTTTGGGCTATGCTACAGCTGAATTAGCTAACACAATTTTTTATAGCGAAATTTTTTATTTTTCATAGGCAAAAAAATGTTTTTTATGAATTTTTCTCTGGGATTTTTTGGATTTTCACCCAAAATTTGAGCTAAAATACGGTTTTAATATTGCGAAAAAATTTTTCTTATGAAAATTCGGGGTACCTAAAGGTTTTTCATGCAATTTTTCAGATAAAAAATTTAAAGTAATTTTGATTACAGACTAATTTCATCATTTTTATCTTATTTTAGTCCAAAAAACTTGCCAAAATCAATAAAAACCCTTCTAAAAATTTCGTTTTTCCTATTTCTTTTTTGTCCGACGGCATTGTAGGACATCGTACTATCCATTTCGCGACCATTCTTGCGTTCTCCGAATTAATTTTCGGCCATAAAAAAGGGTTCTTGAAAACAACCGAACCGGAAGAAAAAATTATTTTATTTTACAATATTTATAGGCCCTCAGGGGATGTGCGCGTGTGCTGTTATAAATTTAGAGGGCATTTTTTCGTATGGAAATTTTTGCAAGAATCTTTTAAAACAAATTTTGATAAAAAATAATTTTTTTTTTTTTTTTTTTCATAAAAAAAATATTTTTTTTTTGAAAAATTCGTACTTTACTTATAAGTTATAACCTCCTGGGAGCCTTTTATAACAGCCATTCGCTTGGTTTAAGCAATTTTTCGACAAAAAAAACTGTTTTTTATTACTTTAGACAACAAAAATTCAAATAATATTTGAATGCTACTGAGTACTTGAAATTTGTCAAAACAGTGTGCCATACCCACAAAATAGACTGTAAATTTCACACTATACAAATTGTAGCCGTACAATTTAATCATCAAGATTTACAGCCAATAATTATACACATTATACATAACATTTTTCCTCTAAATTTCTCAAATTTTGGTTGCATTTATTGAATCTCTGTGCGAAAAGTGCAGAAGGTCAGCTGATACTGACGGAAACAGTATTTAAAATTAAAATTGCTATTGTTTTTGGATCGCTTTTGTCAAATTGGACGCAGTTTCCCCAAAAAAGGCCTTTGTTTTGCTCGAGTTGGTCCCAGCAACTGAGCTTTTCAGAAATTCTGACCTTTATCTGGCTGAATAAGATATTAGATGGCAAAATCAGTTGATTTAGACGGTTTGACTTACTAATTTTGGAAAAGTATCATCTGTTTTACCTAGAGGTGGCAATCGGGCCGGGCCGGGCCGAATTTTGCGGCCCGGCCCGCGGGCCGAAGTGACCAGGCCGGCCCTGGGCTTTTTCAAATTTGCTCAGGCCCGGCCCGGCCCGGCCCGGTGAAAGCCCAGGCCGGCCCGGCCCGGCCCTGTTTGGCCCGATACTGCAAAAAGGTTGGATAAAACTTTATGCACTCTCTACTGGAACTTTTTATGCCTTCCAGCGGGGTTTTACGTCTATATGAGTGGAATTAAAACGTCTAGTCGGCTGACTGGAACAGCCGAATAGGTACCTAAAACCTAGCCAAAAAGTTGGATTGTGTCGATTTTTTTTATCCTATAGAAAGTTAGCTATGTAAAAATATGGACGTTATGAGGCTACATGTTTAATCAAAAACTGCGTAGATGCGGTCATTTACCTCAAGGAATCAAATTACAGCGAAATGTTTTTAACTTAAAAGTTTATCATCAAAAATTCGAAGATTTGCCCGATCCTTGCATATTTGGGTGGGATTTTACATATACATAATCAGTGATTTTAAAGAGTTTGAAAAGGTGGTAAAACAGTATATAAGTCAAAAAGGTTTGATTTAATATCCATCCAACAATTCTGCTAAGCATTTGTGCTTTATTTTGCTGGTTCAGTATTAATTTTTTTCACTTATCCACCTTCCGGGCCGGGCCGGGCCGAGAGTCTCGGCCCGGCCGACGGGCCGAAGCGGTCAGGCCGGCCCTGGGCTTTTTCAAATCTGCTCAGGCCCGGCCCGGCCCGGCCCAATCACCGGGCCCGGCCGGGCCGGGCCGGCCCAGCCCGATTGCCACCTCTAGTTTTACCTGGTTATTGTCAAAAAATTGAGAAAAATCAATGTTTATCGTCAAAATATGCAAATTTTTATTTTAAATTCTGACCGATAATAGAAAAGCATTCTGTAAAATTTTGTAAAAAAAAACCTGGCCACTTCGTATTTTACCATAAACTAATTGAATTTTTGATTTTTCTCGATTTTCAGCCGACTTTGTCAAATTTTGATGACTTTCGAAAAAATGAAAAAAAATTTGTTTTAAATTTCGATAGCCAGCTGTAAATACTAGCGTAAAATTATGTGGAGCAACTTTATAAAGCTTGAATCTTACGGTAAACACTTTGAATTTTCGAAAAATCCCGATTTTTATCCAATTTTTCCAAATTTTTGATGATTTTGGGGGAAAAAACTTTATTTTTAACCAAAAGTTTGTTAAAAAATAAAAGATTTTGATTAAAAAATTCGTACACGCTCTTCAAGATTACTGTAGAACACGCCAATGATTGCAAATTTCCAGAAAATCCCTAAAATCTCTCCTCATTTCTCGAGTGTAATGCCTAAACGTCCTTGTCCCATTCCAAAAACAATACCCAAATATACATTTATTTTCGCGTTAAATTTGTTTTTCTCCCCGTTCCTCCCCGAAATCCATTAGCCCAATTTCCGCGCACAAATTAAACCCATTCGTGGGGCCCGGCGGGCCGGTTTTTTAATTTTCGTCAAAGATCCCGCTGGCATGTCGTTAAAGGCTTGGTATTTCGCAAAGAAGGGATGTCAACGGCTAAGTGCCACACTTGGCGGGCCTACAACGCGTGCTGGTGTTAGTGGGATGGGGTTTTAGGCCTTTTGGAGAGCGAGTTTTTATTGGTAATTTGAGAGATTTTGTGGGGTTTATAAGGTGCTGAAAGCGTGGTAAAATCACATTTTTGTTGCTGGTTTTTTGGACTCATGGTGGATTTTTTGTTTGAAAAAGTTATTCAGCTGTAAAATTGATATGTAAAATAAGCAAAAATTTTTTTTAAATATATCAAAAATATGTCAAAACAAAAAAAAATCTTATGAAAAAATGTCTGGACCTCCATGTTATCTTATTTTTTACCAAAAAAAAATATTTCTCAAGATACCAAGTGCTATGTTTTTCATATTGCGCATGAATAATCATCCAACGACATAAATCATTCGCTGAAAATTTTGGCTTGCCCTTTGCAAGCCTAAATTTTCAGAGAGATGACGTAAAACAAGGAGTTCGCTAGACGCCGATATCTTTTCAAGGTTTGCGATGAAAAAATTTACCTTCTCTCCTATCAATACTCATCACAAATATCAAACGTCAAATTGAAAATCGCGTATTTTACCGGATTCCCAATTTCCTTTATGACCTTTGTCACCAGGCCAGTAAAACTTCCGGCTCGAAAAAGACATTCGAGTTTTGTTATTTTTAAATCAAATTCGGCCAAGAGGGTTTACGACTCATAAACTCTTGGCCCATTTATTAGACAGACAAGTTTTATTGGAACCACCGGCGAAACTCGCCTCATTCCCGATGTTATCCTTGAGATCAGACTTGTGGGTTGATTTGGGCCTTGTGGGCTGGCGATTGGACCAATGATCTAGCAAAATTATTTTTGATTTCTTGAAGGATTATTGGGTAAAATACGGGCTGTGAAAGATGTTTTACAGTAAGCTTTTGAGCAAAAAAATCTATAGGGGAAAATTGGTAGATACGAGTTTTTTATCTTTTTTACAGACAGAGTACCATCAAGAACCCTGCAAAATTTGCGGTATAATCTCTGAATAGCCCGTTTATCACACTCTAGAAATTTTATCCCGTGTGCTATAGCCGCAACGGAGATATTAGCAACTTATTTTTTGAGAGAGAGCATCAAAAGAGAGGAGAGTCGCGCGTGAAAAACTCTTTACTCTATAACTTTTAAATTTGAAGTCAGGCTGATTCGTTTTTTCTTGCATAAATTCGAAATTCTTCTTTGATCTCACTCTAATTTTTTCAAGGAAAATTGCAAAAATTTTGCTAATTTTCCGATGATTTTTGTTTACCTTCTCCAAGAAAGCTTTGGTCTTTCCCCAGCCTCCTTGTAGCTTCAAATTAGTCTCCGAATCTCGAGTTCATGCAAAATCTGCAGCTTCGGACATGATGTTTGTTATGTTAACTTCCAAATTAAGGAAGGAAAAAAACATGTCAGAGTAATTACCGTCGAAATTAGTCGATAATTTTGTTCAAAATTTGTGCTGGAAAAGTTTTAATTAGCTATTTTTACTTATACATAATGAGCAAAGCTGCAAAGAGAGACGTTTTCTAAGCCCCTAACTGTACGTAGTTCCTCATTAGAACGGAAAAATTGCAGGATGAACGGAGATTCCCGACCTTCTTTGTTATTTATATTACCCATCATGCGGTGGATCCCATATTTGAACAGGCTTTATTCGTAATCAAAAATGTTAGATACCGGTATTTGTGGTTTATAAACGCCTCTGATTCTAGGAATTTGGAGAAATTCCATTTTAGTAAGCAACTGGAGATAAGCAGATTACTGTATTTTTAAACATATATTTTTGATCTAATATAAGGTGTTTGACAGTGGAAAAAGAGTTGTTTATGAAGATGCTATGCTGTATACAGGTCAGTGGTAAGACAAAGCTAAAATTTGAGTCAAAATTAGCGTATTTTACAAGCAAAAAATATTTTACGAACAAACATTTAGCAAAAATTTTTTGATGATATTACAGTAATCCATAGACAAAAAAAGGCTGATAAAGTCTAAAATAGAAATGATAGGGCATCTACGTTTTGCTTATTATACTCTCTTAATGATGTTATCACGTCGGGTATAACATTTTTTAATTTTTCGACCCCAAAAACTACACTATTATTACGCACATATACGAGTGCCTCCATTCTCCCCACAAACATCCACCTATTCTTTGCGTAATTTGTGCTCGCATCCCGTGCATTATGCGGATAATCCGCCAAAAATTTGTTCATTAGACAGAGACTTTGTTTTCAGAACAATGGAAAATAGAGTTTATGATGGTGGGAATTTTTAGGGAGGGACAGTAAAATTATGTCATTTTTAGGGGAAGATGAGGAAAATGGGAGAGGTGATAAAGTAAGGTGGTTTTTTGTCTTTCGGAGACCACGAAAAAATCTATTTCTCTCAAAAAATTTTTTTTTTATTTTTGTAGAATACGAAGATAAACCTACTTTTGCATGATTTAATAAACCTTGAACCCACGATCTCTTCATTAACCATGCTTTTCACAGCAATCTTTTTTAATTTCCCCCCGTGAAAACACCTTTTATGGGCAATACTTTGCCTCTGGCACGTTTCCAATTTATGACCGATTCTGTTGTCAAGGCCTTAAATTTTACGACCAGTGGACAGCCACCCACAAAAAAAGCTCTACAAAATTGCTGGAGGCATTTTATTTCCAAATTTTCGATCGAATTCTTGAGCCCAAAAATAACAAATTTAAGGGGCAAAAGAAGAATTTGATTATTTACATTTGTCGTCAGAGCCCTCAGAAATCGTGTCGCGTATCCCCAAGGGGATTCTTTAGCGATTTTTTGGATGCAAAATCAGTTTAAGTTTGTGCTGGATATTCGCGAAAAATCCGGGCATTTCGAGGCAACGGATAATGAGGAGGGCGGCATGATATCGTGGACTTGTTGTCTGGCCCTGCAAAGGGCATTCGGGACGGTTTACGTAGTGTTTTTGAGCTTTGTGAGCTCAAGAGTACGGATTGTAAGGAGGGCGGTAAGAGAGAAAGGCTTTTTCAGCCATTTTTTTGCAAATTTTGTGTGGAAAAATTCATTTTTTTGTGGGAATGTTGTTCTACGAGTAAGAATGAAAATTTTCATGACAAAGTTTGCAAAAGATTTAGTGTTTTTATCAACTTTTTTGACTTCAAATCAGTTTCTGCAAAGCGCCAGCGACACATTTCGCTTGTGTCCTAGAAATTTTTAAACTTACAAGGAAAATATCAGAAGTGCTACTCTCAGATTTTCTTTAGAGTTTGCACACAAGTCAATCATAAGCTAAATATCAATTCATGAAAGTTTTAGCTGGCGCTATGCAAGCGCCACCGATATATTGGACGATCTTTGCCGCCGAGAGAGTACGCTGAATGCGGAGAGCGGTCAGAAAGATTAAAACTTTTTGACCATAACTTTGCCTGTTTCCCGCGGAAAAAAAAAGATTTTTGGTGAAAAAATTACGTTTTACGGTAGAAATAGGTCTGAAGTTTTTCGTGCCGAAATTTGACAAAAAGTCTCAAATTTTCGCCGGTTTTCGGTCTCAAAATCTCGGTTGTTTCTGCAAAGCGCGAGTTAAGATTCTTGCATATATTTTAGAAAAAAATATTCTAAATTTGTGCCAAGTTTCATCAAAATCTGAGCGTCGCACTTGGAGTACTTCACCTGTTAATTGACGTTTATTATATAGTGTCATTATCTCCTCAAAAATTACTGTGTGAATTTTTTGAATTCTGCAAAAAATTCTCTTTCCAAAAATTGTAAAATTCCTGCATCTCGCAAAAAAAAAAACAAAACATATTTTTTCGGATTAAATATAGACCAGTTGAATTTCGACGTAACGCCAGCGAAGCGGAATGCCCTCTCGATTGTCAGGGGATTGTTCCAAGAAATATTTTCGAAAGCGCTGAGGCATTCGTTGTTGGTTCAGAGGACGCAACATCCGGCAAATTAAATGACCACATAACTTTTGCTGGAAATGAGTATTCCTGGTAGTTGTTATTAGAAGAGTTATTAGCAGGAGAAAGTGCAAGTCAATGAGAATTTGAGGGGATCCAGGTCGAAGATCAAGCAGAAACTTGTGTAGTTGGAGGACAGAATTAAAATATAAGGCATGACAAATATTTTGGAGGTTGTAGAGCCCTATAAATTATACCACCATCTGGTAAAACGGCGGGAAATTACTTTAGACACCAAAATCATCAAAAATTTGCAAAAAATCTCGAAAAATGATCGATTTTTCTATAAAAATTTCCGTTTTTTATTTGAAATCAGACAAAAATATTTGTGTTCTGTATAGTTGTTTGTAAAATACATCTGTTTTGATTCATTTCTATATAGAATTTTTCAAAATTCCCTCGAGTTTAAATTGAAACCTAAATTTTCGCTAAAGTTCTTCTAACAATGCCTTTTTAATTTAATTTCCCTCCAAAACACGGTCGCTACAGTTTCGCCTTTGCTCTATTACCCCGTAGACATGTTCGAAAACAATTTACAGACATGCTTGCAGCACGTTTTGTCTCCATTTTCCGGTATTGTGACGTATTCCCCCGGGTTCAGAGACTCCTTTCGGATCGAAAGAAACCCTCCAATTAGAGTCTTTGAAAAAGCCAAAAAGTTGTAGCCAAATAAACCGAGACATGCCCTGTAAGATCTCTCTGTGGGCTTGCGTAATTAGCGAACTTTTGACTTCAAACACGAGCTAAACTGAGCGCTAGTTTGCATCGTATTGTTGGCCGTTTGGAGGAGCCGGTCGCGCGTGAAAATCCGGATCTTCTGAGCTTTGCGGGGCTTCCGGCCCAAATGGATCTAAGTTTTTTTAATGCCCTAAGGGCTTAGGAACATAGGGGTACTTGCGTTTCTGCAGGCTAATTGCAAGGTTTATCAATTCATCTATATTTTGTCCGGAAAATTTTGGACCTTTTAGGAGGCTTATAAAAATGGTCGGATAAACGTAAATTTTTGAATCTTCTATGGCGATTAAACTACCGTACTGTTAGACGGTACAATCAGAAGTCTTTTCAAATCAAAATATTTTCATTGACCACACTTGTAATATAATAGTAAAAAATAAGCTTTTCAAAATTTGCCCATCTTATTGGGCCATGTACAATATCGAGGATTTTCTCGCAAACCAATTGCTCAAATTTAATCACCTTGGGCTCTAATGTAATCACAGACAATGTGCTTTCAAACAAATATAAGAGCATACTACTTGGCATTACAACATTTATGGTAATCGCATTTCAAACTAAGGCACAAAAAATACCATTAGATCTATTATTAATACGATAATGTCTTCTCTTGTCATAACATTGACCAAAACTTTCCCTTCCCCCCATAAAAACACTTGAACGCCACGCAAACGAAAGGTTGTTACGACCAGTAGCGTCACGATATTCGATTTCAAATCCATTGAATTGAAAGCAAATATTCGACAGATCGTTTTTGGATGTCAAAATAAAAAGGATCGTCGAAAGGAATATTTTCACGTGAAGATCTTTTTTCTATTTTTCTAACTAATTAATAATGAGTTCTCTTTCAGGCGTTAATGGGTCAAGATCAGTCCAAGTCTTCGATGACCGCCTTTTCCAATTCGTTTGACAGTGCCACCGTCTACCAAACAAATCGCCATTCTCTTGCCCCAAGACGCGCCGATTCCACCGCCTCCGACGACACGCAGTCTACAAGTCTGAAGGAGCCCAACCGACCAATCGCCGGGTCTACCGGGTCGTTGCAAGCCAACTCAACGGGTCTCCGAAGACAGAAGAAAATGAGTATGGAAAGGGTAAGATGACTAAAAATGCTATCGAAAGTATTACACATCGTATTTTGATCGGTTTTAAAATGCTGTGAATTCGTTAAAAATACGAGTGTCGCATCTTCTTTCGTATTTTAAAACAATTTTTTAAAAATTACCCATTTTTCCGCTGACTAATTACCGCTGACAGCATTAATCATATTTTTTGTCATCAAGCTAGGGCGCAGCTTGCCGAATGGAAAATCGTAAAACACGGAGAACGATTCTAAAATTTGAATTTTTGAGTATCCATGGTCTTTTTTCAAATATTTCAAGTATTTTTTCGCTATAAAAACAGCAATTTATCCATAGATTACCTCATAATTTAAAAAAAATAAATTTCTAAATCCCGAAATCTGAGCTCAACGTTCCAAAATTCCCATTGTAACTTTTTTCTTTTTTTTTCTTTCCCCTCCAAAGATTCTAGAATTACCCGGCATTCTCGCTACGTGTCTAATTTAGAGTATGACCCATTAAACTTTTCGAAATTCTGCATTTTTCGCATTAAAAATTTCTTTTTTTGCTCCAAATTTAGCGAACCCGCCGGGGTGATTGTGACGTCGCTGCAAATGTCTTTCCTTTAATAATTATTATTCGGAAAGTGTGGCCGTTCCATAAATTCTTAATTCGGCTGCCCTCCGGCGCTTCTGAAAGGGGGGTCGTTAAAAATGCGACGAGTGGGTTGTAAGTTTCGGTAATGGATGCCCTCAGGGGCCTTTGCGATGATGAGCAGAGACCAGGTTGTAAAGGAGGTAGTAGATTATCGGGAGTTATGTTGGCACGCGATGAATCCGGGTCGGAAGCCGGGAAAAAAGTGTAAAATTAATTGGATGCATACGGTAGCGGCGGAACTTCGGGTTTGAAAGATCTTTTTGGACTTTTGTGGAGGCTCGAGGATTGATGTTTACTAAGGGTTGCGTCACGGAAGTTGAAAATTTTTCGAAATTGCTTGATTTTTGGCACATTTAGAATTGAAGTACGCAAAGTTCAACTCTCAGATTTTCTTCAATTTTAGCATAGATAATCTACATAGGCCATATTAACATCGCTGAAAATTGTAGCTCACAATTTGCAGCCGCAGCCGAGATATTCAACGATCTTTGAAGCAAAGGCAAATAAGGAAGTTGCCATAAGCTATGACTTGCAAAGATCGTTGAATATCTCAACTCCGGCTGTAAGTCATGAGCTAAAATTTTCAGTGATTTAAATATGGTCTATGTAGATTACCTATGCTGAATTTTAAGACAATCCGAGACTTGAGCTTGGAGAACTCCCACAAAAATTTTTTTTTGGATTAGGAAACATAGCCTTGTGTCTTGTGCCAATATCACGTATCAAAAAAAATTTTTGCATCATTTCTACCGCACTTCCAACTCAAACCCACCTCCTCGCACATTCTCACCACCAGCATTACTGTAATATCACAAGCTCCATGTGGCCCAAACACTCCTCTTTTCCCACACCCGCCCGTTCTTTGAAACCACCAGAACGCATTTATTTTTAACATTTTTTCACGATGAATTCGTTATCACCCAACATCCCGTGCCCGTTTTCGGGGGTTGTTTTCCCATATTCACCGAGAATGTGTAGCATGTTTACCTCAGCTCCCAATAATACCCGCTAATTTTTTATTTCTTACCAATTTTACGTAAAAATTGGACAAAAAAAGATTTGTCTGAAAAAAATTTTCAGCAAAACATAATTTAACCTAGACTTCTCTTGTCGTATTTTACCTCAAAATAGATTCTTCAGCCAAAAATTGTAGCCAAAATTAAAGCTACAGATTTTGTTCCAACGCAAAGATAAAGATCCCTGATTTTCATTAGTTTCGGCGTCGAATTACAATGAAATCACTAATACAAAAGACGGATTTTGTTACAAAAACAGTTTGGAAAGCCTGGGGGTGAAAAACTTTGGACATCATGAGGTGTTTATGAAGGGGGTGGGAAACGGGATTTTTTCGAAATTCTGGATTTTTTTTCTGTGAAAAATTTGATGACTTTGATTATAACTTATTTGGTCACTCTTGAAATCAGAAGTAATATTTTGACCGTTTTGAGATTTTTTAATCGAAAAAATCTAAAAATTTTTTGTTTTTTTATCAAAATTCTCCAATTTTTTTCGATTTTCCGGTAAAAAAACGATCACTTTTGGTACAAAATTTGTATCCTAAATTAAGTTTCACACGATTTAAATGGCATATTTTACCCTTTAGTTTCAATTTGAATCCATCTTTTTCCAAAACCGACTTTTTACCACCAAATTATACTAGTGTAATATATTTTTTTCAATTTCTTATTCTTAAATTTTCCTTCAGATCCTAATCGTGCACGTTGTTTGCAGTACACGATTAAGCTCTTTGTTTACGTGCAGCTATTCACACCTACTTCCACCGCATCTGTTGTAGTTTTCTTCCACATTATTTTCGTCTGTCTACTGAATAGACTAATAATATTTGTTATGATTAAATTACTGTCTAAAAAACCGTATTTCCCTTATAAGTGCCGCGAAAATACCGTCGAAAGCGCATTTGGGCGAGATTGTACACATATTCTCTTGTCCAATTTGTAGCGTTTCTGTAGTAACTAAGAGGGTCGGAAATGGGGATGTCTCATGTCTAAATTAATCCCAATGCCCGGATGGGAAATGTACTTATGTGGGTACAATGTATATTGGTAGGAAGTGTATGAGGCCTGCTTTCAGTTTATATTGTATAAACTTGTATTTTAGTGGTAAAAATAGCAACAAAATTGTTTGAAAAGGAAAGTATTAGGTCTAGAAGTATGACTTTGTCGTTTTTTTTGTTTTGCGTTTTTCACAGGTTAAGATACAATTTCGCACCTTCTGTTTAGAGGATCTGAAAGAACGCTGAAAACGCTATCTACTGATACATGTTTCATATGGTAGGGCTTTATATCACGACTTTTATAAAGCGTCCAAGATGACCAACTTCGCCTTAAGAAAATGTCGTTTGCAGGGAACTTTATTCTGCACATGTAATGTGATGATACATATCGAGGCTTATACCAAAAAAATCGCAAAATTTTTCTGATTCAGAATATGTAAAAATTAGCTGCCCAATTTTGATTTGTAGGGGTAAAAAACCCCCTCAGGACTTTTCACGCAACACCACGCAAATGTTCATTTTTTATATTGGAACTACAAGTTAAGGTGTAGTATTATAAAGTTTGATATTGTAAGGCTTGTCAAGATACCAGGGTTCACATTAGCTCAAAACAAAGCTTTTTCATTGGTAAAAACTCGGTCAAAAAGGCATTTATTTGCGTGGTGTTGCGAGAAAAGTTCTGAGGATTTTTTCACCCTTACAAACCAAAATTAGGCAGTTAACTTTTACATATTCTGAAGCAGAAAAGCTTTGCGATTTTTTTGATATATGTCTCGACCTGTAACTACATACCATAAGAAGTGCTTTCCTTGTGAAAATTTTTGATGACCAGTTTTAGACTGACATACATTTTGAGTATTTTAGGGAAAAAAATTGAAATTCCAAAAATAAATTTAGCCTCCACATGACTTATGAAGCCGCTTCCCTCCCATTTAACTCATCTCCCTCTGTCATACATCACAAACAACTCCAAAATATGGAGAATGTCATCTTCGCCCATGTTTTACAATTTGTCTTTTCTTCGGCCAGTAATATTCGATTTAAATATTCTCCCAAAGCCGCTGAAATCGAATATCAATTACAATTTTCCCGGCGGCCTGTGACGTCCCCAACCGTTTTCCCTTCGCGTTCCCTGAGGCAGAATAAAAGGGGCGGAGTTTCGGGGCGGCGGTTTGTTCGGGAGAAGGGGGGAATCTTTTGCACTCGCGGCCCGACCCCTCTGGCAACAAATATTTTTCGACAATTCCACTTGAACAATCAGTCCAGCCCAATGTTCGGCTGGACTGTTTAGTCGGGGCACGCGACTCGAGCTCGAGTGTTACACTTCAAACCGGCGGGCAGATAGGGGCGGGGAATTGGACGTGTGACTTTTGTGAGCGGACATACGATTGGGACAGAGGGCTCAGGGAGTGGTGGACGATTTGTAGCATCTATTTGATGATTTTTACGCCCAATACACTTGACTTGTAGATTAGAGAAGCAATTTTTATATTGTACTTGAGTGCTGGCCAAGAGATGGACAAAAAATTTAGTTTTCGATTTTTCGAAGGAAAGTAAAGATTTTACAGTAATCTATAAATATTGCAAATTATTTCTAGAGTATATTTGACTCCTCTTATTTATCATTTTTACTATTTTAAGTATAGAAATTTTCAATGTTCTTAAAAATCATCATTTTTCGAAACTTTTTCCGGAAAAATGTCAGCCCTGATTAAAATACAGTTACCACCTTGTATATTATAGTGGCTGACAAAATTTTCTTTCCACCTCTATCTCGGGAACCGTTGGGCCTAGAACCTCCAAATTCGGCATAGAAACATTATGGGGCAATCTAACATCACACCCAAAAAATCATATCAATTGATGCACTTTCAGTGCACTTTTTATGCAAACGGCAAAAACGTGATGACAAAATTTTCTTTCCACCGCTTGTAAATCATAAGCCAGAGGGCGCTATGGCATGATTGTGGTGTCGTTGTGATCGCGAAGAAGTCCTCTTTCGATCCGTGGCACAATTTTGCAGGACCTTTTGTTTGTTCGCCCTTGGGCGTCTGCCCATCGTTGCCTTGTCCGTTTTCTGCCAAATTCGTGGCCGAGAAGCCCGCAGAAGGCCCAATGAGATGAAACTGCCGTTAAAAAATCTGCTATTTATGTTTGCAACATTGTTTACACCGGCAGTAAAATTAGATTCAATTTAAGTGTAAAATGTGCACTTCCAGGGTTTGCGAAACCCGAAAATCGCTTATGTACAGAATGGAGAAGTCCAAATAACATGCGTTTACTAGACATATGGCGCATTTTAGGTACTATACGACAGTCTGTGTTGAAATCTACTACCTTATCTTACCCCTCTCTGGTCTATGTCGTCTTTAGTAACGCAGGTTGTTGCATTATATGACGGGGAGGAATTGGCATTACTTAAGCATGACATATTGGAACTTTTGACTACCAGACTTCCTTAATACATTGACTTTGTCCTGCCTTTAACGTTTTTGGCACGACAAGTTGCTTGCGCGGGAAGCTTAGGGTTACAAATTTTGTACATGGGGCATGCGGAATCTTTCTTCTGCTCAAACCTAAACGCGACATCAGAGACTAAAATCGTCACTATTTTTTAAGGCTGTAGTATCATTGAAAACATATCAGCAAAAAATGTTACTTGAATTGTCTGCAGTGTTCCCATAACAACGTCATTTTCTGGTAACGAGAACCCTGGAAGTGCACATTTTCCTATGCAACACGCTTAAATTAAATCTAATTCTACTGCCGGAGTAAACAATGTTGCAACCATAAATACCAGATTTAATAAGGGCAGTTTCGTCTCCTTGGGCCTTCTGTGAGCTTTTCTGGCCAAGAGTTTAGCTGAAAACGGACAAGGCGGCGATGAACAGACGCCCAAGGGCGAACAAACGAAAACTATTGTAAAATTGTGACACGGATCAAGAGAGGACTCCTTCGCGAACACAACGATACCACAATCATGCCTTAGCGCCCTCTGGCTTATGATTTACAAACGTTTTTCCAAAGTGGAAAGAAAATTTTGTCATCCCGTTTTTTGCCTTTTGGATAAAAAGTGCACTGAAAGTGCATCAAATGATATGATTTTTTGGGTATGGTGTTAGATTGTCCCAGGATGTTGCTATGCCGAATTTGGAGGTTCTAGGCCCAGCGGTTCCCGAGATACGAGGTGGAAAGAAATTTTTGTCAGCCAGTATACAAGGTTATGGTGCCTCGACAAAGAATTTTATATCAAATCAACTAGGTTTCGTATCTATTTCTGCCAAATTTTGCCTTATTTTACCTTTATTTTCCGATTTTTTAATAATTTTTCGATTTCCTCAAAAATGCCCGTAAAATTTTCAATTTCAATCCCTTCCAAATGTAAAATACGCTGAACTAATTCATCATTATTTTCAGCGTTCCGGTTCCTCCACACGCTCGACCAGTACAAACGGAATGGCCAAATCCCAGCGAACCCAGAGCCAGTCGGCCAAGTCGGTCAGCAAAAAGAACGGAATCTCCGGGTCATCACAGGTACGCCAACTACTCTAATCTATTTTTTTCGACTACAAAACTATTTCAAAAATTGAGCGAATTAGGCCAAATTTCGCGAATTTTCCGAATTCGGCCCTCGTTTTTTAGACAAATTAACCGTGTTTTTTGGTGTCCGAGAACAAAATTTTTACGAAATACGAAGCCGTCGTGCTCATTGTCGAGTCAAAAACAATCCCATTTTCATAATCAACACTTGGCCAAAGGGGAATTGCGAAAGTTTATGACGCAAAAATACCCGTGCCCTTTGGGTGTAAATTGTGTACACTCAAATGTAAATGAGGCCATAATTATTGGCCAAATGCAACTCGCTCCATAATTGATTCATTTCTGACGTCGCTGTGACATTTTTTGACGTAAACTAACAACGCCTTTTTCGTAGCGATATAATTAAATTTGCATATGGAAAAAACCTTGAATCAATTCAAAAAAATGTTTGAAAAAAATCGAAAATAACTAATAAACCAAGGCAAATAATTGCAGGCAATAATCAACTTCTGCATCGAGAATGCCAAAGGCGACGTGGCCAGCAGAGTCGTGACTCGGATGGCCAACAAACGCGAGGATTTCAACCAATTCCTCGGCAGTTTGAACTCCGAAAATTGGAATGCTTTTGTCGGCTCACTACGCGACTACTTCCACGCCGTCGTCCAGAATCTACAGTCCTCGGATAAGGTAGGAAAAGCCGGGAATGACTTTGATTTGAATGGTTTTCAGATCAAAGAGATCTCAGTGCAATACGGCGCCGACCAGGTGCCGAGGAGAGCATGGGGATTTAAGGCCGATTACTTTGCGGTAATGGCGAGCGCGCTGACCACAGAATGCGTGTTTTTGGATGGAGCAGCGCATCAGGTAACAATCTTGTATCAACTTGTCTAATATTATATAGATTTTGCCAAATTTTTGAGACTGTCATCAAGTTCTAGCCTTGGATAATATAATTTTTGGTTAAATTATTGCTTTAAACTTATATTTTTGCAGGAAAACTTATTTTTTATTCATTTATTTTTATCTAATTTTTATTATCTTCAGCCCACCGAAGCGATCGAGGCCTGGGCCGAGCTGGCCGAGCTAATGTTCAGCAATATCCGAGATGGTTACTATCAAAGGGTAAGCCGCTCTTCAACGCCTTGCAATCCCGCAAAGCCGCCTACGGTAAAAATCTGGCAAATTGCTTAAACAAGTTTTGCGGCCAAACACAGAATTAATCCCCAACTGCATGCAAGAGCTGAAAATAAATTGTAAATACGATTATGTCGCTTCACGGAAATGCCGTAATCCGCTTGCCTAATGGATCGCTACCTCAGCTAAGCCGGATGCCCGCAGGAGAAATTATGTTGTTTGGGAGCTCTGCGGCATTTCCGTGGGGTCGCGTCGGCGATTTCGCGGTTTAGTAAGCCGCTTTCTTGGGCTAGCAAAGCCATGTACGGTATTTCGACAACCACAGATGTTACGATGCAAGGTCTAGACGCTGATTAAAATGTGAATAGGAAAGTATAGGAGCTGTAGGCGATTATGTAACAGTTTTAGAGGACTCCGGGATAGGAAAATATCCAATATTACACTTGACATTACACGCTGTCTGGTGTAATGTAGATGGTTACCGCAGGTAACCCAAAGAAAATAGAGAGAGAAACAAGTCGAAATATGATATTCTAAGAGCTCTAGCGAACATTTCAACCAGTTACAGTCACATTGGAAATCATAATCCATCTTATATTACACTTGACATTATTGTCATCTAGTATAGTATAAATGGTCATAGAGCAGCAAAATAAAGAGCTCTAGATACTAATAGCTTACTGTAACAAACAAAAAATTTTAATTTTTCCCCAAAGATCACCTAGTATAATATCCTCATTTGCAGATCCGATATCTCCGCAAGAACTCGCACTGCTTCAACCAGCTCTTCACACAGTCCTCGGATCAGAGCACCGAAGACAACAGTAACCAACTCCTGACCCCGAACCCGTCCCCCAACCGGCTCTCGCCCAACCCCAACTCGAAGCCGCCAACCGACCGCCGAAACAGCACCCTGCGGACACAGAACACGCTCGTCTCCGGAGACACCGTGCGGTCGTAGAATCTGCATGATTTATTTACCTTTTGTGATATGGCAACTATCTTCTCCTATTAGGCGACATGACCTCTTCTTGGGCCGGTTGATTTTCGAATTTTGGGTATTCTAATATCAAAATTTCAGTATTCTAATATCCAAATTTGCATATTATGGTATTCAAGTTACAATATTATAATATCCAAATCTGAATATTCAATTATCAAAATTTTGAAAATTCAAATTTAAAAAATTTGCATATTTCAATATCAAAATTTGAATATTCTAATATCCAAATTTGCATATTATAATATTGAATTTACAACATTATAATATCCAAATCTGAATATTCAATTATCAAAATTTTGAAAATTCAAATTTTAAATTTGCATGTTTCAATATCGAAATTTGAATATTCTAATATCCAAATTTGCATATTATAATATTCAAGTTACAAATTATAATATCCAAATGTGGATATTCAATTATCAAAATTTTGAAAATTAAAATTTTAAAAATTTGCATATTTGAATATAAAAATTTGAATATCAACCCCGGCCTCTTGTTATCCCGTACAATATCGTATAAGAGCATTGTTCTAGTCTCCCCGGTTTGTCTTAAGCATGATCCTGTTGTTGAGCTTCGGCCCAGTTTTTTTTTCAGTCACCCCCAATCCTCATCATATCTCATGCAAATTTCTGTATCGTTTTGCCACTTGTACAGCGGTTCTCCATACAATAACTTGTATAAAGCACACAAATATTTTTCTGTATAATAATAATAAACGTTGAAATACATCAAAACTTTCGGATTTCTCGTCTAAAATTGTATAAAATCCCCCGTGGATTAGCCATAGGATTTCCCCTTTTTCTCGAAGTAAAACCTTTGAAAAAATCAATTTATTCGTTACGTCAGAACGTAATATGAATACTCAGCACGGTACAGGTGTTTTTTGCTAAACTTAGAATACTAATAATCCCAGTTTAGGGCCCAAAAACCGCTTCAAGGTACGTAATTTTCGAAATTTTAAGAAAAAATGCCTGCGGCAACTTTTTTGATGACCTCAGAGTTTAGTAAATACTTCTATGATACTCTTCTCACTTCAAACACCGTGCAATCAAATACTTCCTGTTCCATTGAACCCTGCAAACATTCAAAAAACGAGGATATTATTCATGACCCGGGTTTATTTGGCGATTATTAGAAAAAACAATATAAATTCGATCGCTTAGCACTTTAGACTCGATGTGAGGATGCAAACTCCATCTACAGTGGCATAATACATAGTGTACAACAAAAAATTCATACAAAAAAAGTGCTCGGCAGCTAGACAAATAGGAATTTTAAGTGTAATATAATCATATAACTTTATGTCTGGAAATGTGCAAAGCGCCCGGGAATGGTCGTTCAATGCCATTTTTTTGTATTCAGAACACCATTCGCGGGCGTTTGCATAAGATCTCCTTGGTTTGAATAAATAATTCATAAGACATAGCACTACAAAACAGTCGTATTTTAGGTGTAAAATACGAGTGAAAGACGGGCGGAGGTAGCGAATGTGTAAATTTTAATGCTTATCATTGGGATTGGACAAGGTTTCGGGGTTGTAGACCATCAAGAACAGTCGAATTTGTACAGAAATTTCAAAAATTTATATTCACCTTGACCAAGTTGGATGGGCAGCTCGGCCAATCGGTCCTATCATCTTCTCATTGGCAGAAATGCAGCTAATACAGTCTATAGGGGCTTCCAGACCACTTCTATTATCCATTAATGCCCTCGATTCAGGACTGGTTCAGTCTGGGACATTTCCGCGAGCCTCAGGAACACCTGTTCCAATGAATTTTGGGTCAGCGAAAAGTCGATGATTCTTGGCTGAGAGCTGCCCGGAGGGAGGATTGCTTGATGTGGATGACTGTCAGCGATTTCCTGTGCTCTTCGGAACAGCTTCGACCATGTTTGTCCGGGCAATCGGGGGATTTCCCAGTGCTGAGTGGGGGTCTCTGGGGGGTCCAGGGTGGAATTGGCCTGCAAAAATTTTCCATATACCCATATAAAATATTACAAAACACACATCACTCCCAATCTACTGAGCCATATTTGAGTGGACCCGGATACAAAATCCTCCGCTCCTCCGCTGTTTTTTATGTTATTTTAGACGATTGTGTGTAGGTGAAGCGAAAAATTCGCAGGAAATTAAACCTTCTCACGGATATCCCTACTACATCATGTGTTCTACACTCGCACATACCTCTGTGTGCATTTGTACTGCTTTTCGATGAATATTTCGACAAATTTCAGTTCAAAAAATTCAAGAATTTAAACCCATTCAAGAGATATAAAGAGATATTATTTTAGATGAATTTTTAGTCAAAGAAAAAACGAAAAATTCAACGAAAACAGCCCTTTTGGGACGCCTACGTAACGTCGAGGAGACGATGCGTTAAAACTGTTGTGAAAGGATGAGTTCAGAAATACATTTTTGGCCTTATTCATGCCTTTAATGAGTACCGTAGAGGGCTTTTCAAGGGCAAATGGCTACATTTTCAATCATTTTTCTGGTCTAATATTCATGCTAGAGAATACAACGTGAAAACAAACTTTTTAGCGGGGGCAAAAAACCAAAATTTTTTTGGCAAAAAATGACTTTTTCATCTCAAAAAAAATTTTAAAAAAGTTTGAAAAATGACTGAAAACGTAAATTTTATGGCCTTTCAAGGAGTGTAGATAACATTTTGAGCCAATACACAATGAAAAACATTTGAATTTACCCAAAATTTGCAAAAAATTATCTTCACCATGACAAAAATTGATGTCAAGTTAAATAAAAAGGGTCAATTCTCCCTTCTCTTGGCCATCACACAATATAAAACAAATTATTTGACTATGCCACCAACATTTTTCATCTCTTTTCTATCAATTTCCCTCATTTCTCGCCCTTTTTTCCCAAAAAATCTTCAATTTTCCTTTAATTTTTTGTTTCCCACCAAAAATGTTTGCTTATTTCCGCCTTTTCTCCCGATATACGACAAAAATACGATATGTCGACTCATCAACGATTCCCCGCAACATTTCCCACGAGACCCATTCCACATTCTTACGTTGAATTCGCGGGTAATTTGAGCGTCCAACGCCGCGCTCACCGCCGGCTCCGGATTCGCGATGGTGAAGGTCAGCAGGAAGGAGTTACCGTATCTGAAACAACCGGGGATTAGTTTGTGAGGTCTTGAGGATCTATAATGATCATTAATTAGTTTGAAGATGATAAAAAAAATTTTTTTTTATTGAAATTTCAAAAAAATCGTGAAATTTTGCTGTTTTTGACCGAAAACACGTATTTTCGATCATTTTACAGTAGTTTTTTGACAAATTCTTGAGGTCAAAAACCTCAAAACTACATTCTTTGTCCTTGAAAATCTCCGAAAATGTCGTTTTACATAAAAAATTATTGAAAAATTCCAATTCCATCCATAAAGAGGAAAATTTGTCATTTTTCGAAATCAAATGATAATTTCTGCAAAAAATACAGTAATCTACAGCTAAAAACAGACTTCATTTTACCTGTCAGGCTTCTTAAAGTGGTTTGTAACAAATCTTAGTCATTAAAATTTGCATCAACACTTTGAAAATGGCACAAATCTAGTAAAATCATACAAATTTGATGAAAAAATAATTTTTTTTCGCTCAATTTTTTCCATTATTCTGAACATTTCCTCTCAAATAATCTTTAAATTAAGCGTTCCACCTTCTAAACTGTCTGTCCTTTTTTTAAACTGCTCCATTAAAAATTCAAATTCCCAATTATTCAAAAGACTCCAAGATTCTCAACTTTCCGCGAAACGCCAATCTTTCCTTTGTTGTTTCGTCATAATTGTCGCTAACCCGTGTGGGTGACAATTGAGTGTTCCAAAAAAAAATCCCGGCCAAAATTCGCGGAAATGGAGGGCTTCCAGACAATGGCGTGGGCCGATTAAGTTTTCTGATGCCGCCGCGTTTGCAAGCGAGGCTGTTTGAAAAAGGTGTAATCTAAGGTGCACAATCTTTGGTGCTCAGCTCAATGGGTCAACAATCGGGGGAGGTCACAGGGTTAAATACTGTAACACATCCGGCAATTTAGGAAAAAATTTTCAAAAAAAAGTGTAGAAAGTGCTTCACACTTCGCGTAAACACTTCAAAAGACTCTTTCACGTCACTTTTCACCAAAATCTTACAGTAATCCTCGAAAAAAAATTTTAATTTCAAAAATTTACAAAAATTTTAGCAAATAATCTTAACAAAATCACTCCAAACTATGTTCTAACCGCTGAATAAATCCCAACACACCTTGTACAACTCTTACCGCCCACATATTACCGTATTCTCAATGCGGATTTTTCAAAAAACACTAATATTTTAGTCAAAAATCGTCTAGTTGACTCAAAATACGTCAAAAAACCAGCTTCGTGACCTTCAAAACCCCCGAATTACTTCCCTAAACAACAACAGCTTTTCTTCAAAGCCGTCTTAGTGCCTATGCGCAAAAAACACACAAAAATTCTTCCGGAATCCGGTTTGTTTTCATTACAAAATCCATAAAACTGTACGTTTTGCGCTTTTTTTAAACCTTTCTACGTCGCAAATGTAAATCTTGCAAAATTAATCCGTAATAAACGATAATGGGGCCTAATAATCGGGTTGAATGCAAAATTAGTACAATCGGATCGGAAATCCAGGGGATTTACTTCAAATTGGGGCCTTACCCATCTCCAAATTGCTCATTTTTTTAATTTCAATCCAATTACTCGATAAAAACGGTTCAAAGAGCACTCTAATTACCTCAAACTTACAGAAAAATCAAGTTCAAGCTTTTTTAAAATTAACGTTTTTCATCCCTAAATTTTTACGTCATTCATAAAATTTAACGTTTTTTCCATAAATTCTCCAAAACTTCTAGAAATCATTTTCCAATTAAAATTTTACCTGCTGTTGAGAACTTACACATACATCCTCAAAAAAATCGTGTGCAAACTTTTTAAAAGTTTACGTTTTTCATCCCTAAATTTTACGTCATTCATAAAATTTAACGTTTTTTCCATAAAGTGTCCAAAACTTCCAGAAATCATTTTACAAAACCAAATTCAAACTTTTTTTTAATTTACGTTTTTCATCCCTAAATTTTTTCGTCATTCATAAAATTTAACGTTTTTTTCCATAAACTCTCCAAAACTTCTAGAAATCACTTTCCACTAAAATTTTACCTGCTCTTGAGATGCTGGCTGCTTCCGATGCTGATCAGGGCTCCTTTGTTCATGAATCCGATCCGATTGCAGAGCGCCTCGCACTCCTCCATCGAGTGGCTGGTCAGTAAAATCGCGACGTTCTGTTTGCGTACCGCTTGAATTAATTGCCAAATCTTTCTGCGGGTGGATGGATCAATGCCGGCGGTGGGTTCGTCCAGCATGATGAACGTCGACTTGGACATGAGCGTCACTCCAATCGAGAGCCTTCTTTTCTGGCCTCCCGAGTAGAAACCGATCAATTTGTCGGCTTGAGGGGCCATCCGAATGCTTTCTAGGACTTTTTGAACGCGATGTTCGACATTATGGAATCCGTTCAGTCGGCCGAGGATGGTCAGGAGTTCTCGGCCAGTCAAATCCAAGGCAAGGGCATCAAACTGAGGGCAGTATCCGATGGTGGGGCCGTCCACAACATCCACTCCTTCGACGGTCGCTCGGCCAGCCGAGGCGAACATTTCGCCGGTCAAAATACTAAACGTCGTTGTTTTTCCAGCTCCGTTCACACCTGAAAATGGCATATTAGGACAGAATTTTTTTAAAAACCCTCAAAAATTAAGGTCCACCACTAACAAAAAATCATGTCAAATCACCGAAAACCCTCTCCAAAATCTTCTAAACACCCTCAAATGACAATTAAAAACATTAAACTCAATTTTAACGCCCCAGAATTCCAAAAAACCCACTTTAATTTTTACCTAAAATAATGTCCCAAAATTCTCAAAATTGCTTTTCACACCAAAAACATCTTTCTAGAATCCTCTAAACACCCTCAAACTGCAATTAAAAACATTAAACTCAATTCTAATGCCCCAGAATTCCAAAAAAAATCACTTTTATTTTTACCTAAAATAATGTCCCAAAATTCTCAAAATCGCTTTTCAACCCCAAACCACCCTTCAAAAATCTTCTGGATACTCACAAATTTCAAATCAAACCCCAAAAAAAGTCTTAAAAATCGCTTACCAAGTAATCCAAAGCAATCATTTTGTTTGACCCCAAAGGTCAACCCTCTGACCGCGCAAAAATCGCCATAAAACTTGTAGATCTCTCTGACCGTCAACGCGAAGGCATTGTCTTCCTTTGACCTTACATTTTCCCTTTCTCTTGTGACATCTTCATCTTCATTGAGTTCCACTTCTCCATCCACCTGAGAATTTATCTAAATTTTAGCAAATTTCAATTTCAAATTTCACATCCAAAGCAAAACAAGGGTCAAGAATTCCATTACAAAGCTCGGAAAATTATTTACAATAAAAAAGATTCACAAAACATCAAAAAATCGTCTTTTTCAGACCAAATTTACCTTATTTTAGGTAAAAACTTGACAAAAATTGCACTTACGATCTGATACGGGCTTCTTCTGATCTTGCAATGGAGTGAGTGGGCCAATAATGCAATCCTCTTTGATTCTAGGACACAAATTATCGACCAGAAGAGCAAGCCGCCAGCCAGTTGACAGTAAATTATACTCTTGATGGCTTCGAAAACGGTGCCCTCTGGAAGGTTGGGGATTCCGGCATGAATTGCGACTTGGATGATTCCATTTCCGAGGGAAAATGCGGGGAGAACAATGTATGTGAGGTAATGGAAAACTTCTCGAATTCTGAGTTGGAGGGCTTGGAAAGTGACGTCAGTAATCAAGGCGATGACTGAAATCACAACGTTCCAGCAGAGCAGCGCCGCATATGCTTTGACGGAAGAGTTGAAGAGGAATGAGAAGCAGTAGACAAACGGCAAAATGGACCAAAAATAGAGCGCCCACAGGACGAAATTCCTGAAAAATTAAAATTAATACCTAAAATAATATATTTTTCATTTTTTTACCGTCTAAACTTTTTTTCCATACATAAATTAGAATCTAAAACAACTTTTCAGACCAATTCAAGGTCAAAATAATCCACATTTAAAAAAATTTTCAAAATTTTACACCTAGTGTAATATAACTTTTGCCTAGTATAATATCCAAAATCGCCTCAAAACTCACTAAATACTATTAGAACCCCCTTACAGATCATATAACATCAAAGCATCCAAATTTTTTCAAAAATTTCCTCAATTTCTACCTACTACAATATAATTTTTCCCTCAAAATCCCACTTACTCAATCATAACTCCTTGCATCCACCCAAAAGCCACAAAAACGATCGTTAGGAGTAAACAAAACACCAAATATATGAGCAAATGCCACAATATCAAACTGATCCAATAGGTCCAGATATTCATCTTGGTCAACAGGAGCTGATTCTTGAATCTGGAAACATTATCTTCCACAATTTCCATGACAAACGTCGAGGTGAGACTTGAAAATGCCAGGATAGCAATAATCGCCACCACTAAATTCACATCCGTTCCCTGTTTTGCAATTTCCGCCGACTCGAAATCATGCGTTGGGACGTCGTAAATTTCGATGCTCAATTGGATCGCCTGAGGGCCTTTTTTGAGCATGCTGTTGGTGACCAAATTGATGGCAGTTGGGGGTCCATGCAGGAAGGCGCCATTGAACAAGGCCATGATCGTGTTGTTGGCCATGACATTCGCTCCGATGCCTAAGGGCGGGTCTTCGTAGGCGCGGCGGATCAGCTCGGCGGTCATGTTACCAAGTGGCGACAGGCTTAGCAACCGCATCTGCGGCAATTTCCCCACCAAAAACGGGATATTCAGACTCGTTGTGGAGCTTTGGGAAGTGATCACGGGGATGGAGAGAGGGTCCAGAGAGGCTAGAGATAGGTCTTTGGATTCGTTTTTGATCGTGTTATCGTAGCTGTGGAAGCCGGCGTAGAGTCCGAACAAGATCAACGACACCAGGATAGGGCCAATAGTGCGCCATTTGTTGCGTTGGAGGTTGAGGAAGTGTCGGTGGAAGAGGGTGGCTATCTGTTTCAGACAAAGGACCTGGTCTCCACATTGGGTACCTAAAATTACATCATCAATAGCTCAATATCTTCAAAATCCAAATCCCAACCTTCTAAATTAACCCGCAATACTTCATAAAGCTTAATAACGACTTGTAACGACTTACTTTCAGTCGAAAAAAGTTCGGCAGCATCTTTTTCGATTCCTTCGTTGTCTTCTTGATGTTGCTCTTGGGGATCGGCGATTTCTCCGACTCTGAGGAAGATTTGTTCAAGAGTGTTGAAGGACAGTCCAAAGTCTCCAATTTGGAGTTCCTTTTTGCGGCTTTCAAGTTCTTCAAACAAGTTGGCAAAGCTGAAAAAAAAACAAATTATTTTTGGTCGGTAGGTCAAATAAATCAATGTTAATCATCATGATGATAAAGTCAAACTAATTTTCTGCTAACGCCAGTGCCTTTGGTAATCATTAAGCTATTAAATAAACAACCGAACTTATAAAAATTCGAATGTGTCATCAAGAAATTCACGATATTGTACTAGGCACCTCTAGATATCTAAATCAATTTAAATCGGCTATTACTCTAAAATCAAGTCAACTCAAGCAAACCAATGTATCCTAAAGCCTTCTCTAGTATCTCCTGTATCTAAAAACTCCAAAACCCTTACTATTTCTTTTGATCCACCGGCAATATTACACTAAATTCATGTGGAGTCATGTTGTCCAACTTCGCATCCGGAGTGTGTTTTTTGGCCACTCTTAGAATTCGTTCAGCCGTAGTTTGAATCGGTTCGACTTTATAGGTCTGATCCACAGTGAACGTCAAGATATATCCCGTTCCAAATCGGTGTTTCAGGAATTCCGAGGACCCATTGCAGACCATCCTTCCCTTCACCATGATTCCAATGCGATCGCCGAGGAGATCGGCTTCGTCCATGTAATGAGTTGTCAGCAGGATCGTTCGATGTTTTTTGGACTTTTCGAGGAGGATTCGGACGTCATTTCGAGCTTCTGGATCCATTCCGGCGGTCGGTTCGTCCAACAAAACCACTCGACTGTCTCCAATGAGGGCCATCGCCACGCAAAGTTTGCGTTTCATGCCTCCACTAAGGGCTTCAGCGAGCTGAAAATTGCTTCATAATATTCTAAACGCTCCATATTTTATACCACACTACAACTCAGACTCCAAAAATCCATGAAATTCCCAAAATTTCAATTTATCTTCTCCTTGCCACACCTACCGTATCCAATTTCGATTTCAGTTGAATTTGGCCGGTGATTTCGTCAATTTCCGCATCTACCGCATGCGATTTCTCATCCGACTTTAGTTTGGCATAGAATTGAAGATGTTCCTTGACGGTTAACCTTGGAAAAAGTGGGTTATACTGAGGACAAAATCCGACATTTCTCTGGCAATCATGGAGATTCTCTCTGAGGTCAGCTTTACAAATGTATACCGATCCAGACGAAAGCTTCGTGGATCCGGAGATGACTGAGAATGTGGTCGACTTTCCTGCGCCGTTGTGGCCAAGAAGGACGGTGATCTGAAAGTACACAGGTAAAAAAACGATCTAACAATAAACACGTAAGAAAATCAAAGCATGAGCTACAGTGGCGGACCTGATCCAGTGGCAAAAACCGTACCATTTTGCATCCGAGAAGTATCAAAAAGACGTAGCAAAATACCTCCCTCTCCAAGTGAAAAAAACTCTGATTTCAAAAGCCCGCCCGCTCTTTTTGTGAGGGCCCTTCAAAACGGAGAATTTTTAGTTGGGGAGGAAGACATTTTCCTACATTTTTTCATACTTCCGGGATGCAAAATGGTACGTTCTTTGCCACTGGATCAGATTCCTCACTGTAAAGACTTAATTTATAGTCTAGACAAAGCATCTTTGCCAAATTTCAAACAAATCCGAACATGCCACTTCGAGAATTTCCCCTTTCATTCTTCCCTATCAAGTACAATATCCCAATTGATCAAGTTTCACTCAAACCCTTTCAAATCATCTTCCCCTTTCTCACCTGTCCCCTATACGCTCTGAAGCTCAAATCATCCACGGCGCGTTGTCCAGTTCCCTCCCAAATCTTGCTCATGTGCCTTACATCAATATCGGCCAAATCTTTTCCCATGGCCGAGTCCGTTTCCACATTTTCATTGACTTCATCCGCATCTACTTCATCATGTCCATCCGTTAACAACTCATTATGATATTTATATCCGAACAAGAACCATGGATGTCTTCGTGGACTCGAATCCGTGGGACAAACCGCGTCCAAATACAAGGCCAACAGCAGCATGATCAATATATCGAAGACCAGCATGAGCAAAGCCAGGCCCACAGTGAAGGTGTGGGAGGAATTTGCGAACATGTTGGTCCATCCAATGTACGATGTAGTCGTTTCGGACATTCGCATCGCCGAAATTCCCAATTTCAGAGCCGTGAAAACATTCAGTGAGGCCAAAAAACATTGGGGAATTTTGATAAGCGACACTGTATACATCATATCGATGACAAAGAAGCCAATCCATCCCACCAGAGCCGCGATTAGGGCAAGGGTGGGCTTTCGGATGAGGGCGGATATTAGGATTCCGAACATGATCGAGGCAATTGCAAACAGAAGGGAGAATACGATGAAAAGTGATGCGCTGACGTACTGAAATGCTCAGATATTACTCCATTCTGCTCTCTAAACTTGGAAAAACAATATAAACAAATATAAACTTACGACCAATCCAATGCTGAACGTCCCAGCGCATATTATCATGGTGATTCCGACTTTCATAGCGCCAATCAAAAAGTGGGATCCATAAAAGGCAACGGAATTTAGACCCATTGCCATCATGAAGGTTTTGATTCCGGCATCTTTTTCGGCAACAATGTTCTTGACAGTGTGTAATAGGGACATCAAAACCAAGATCATCCAGAGTCCTGGGGTCCGTTTGAGGAACGCGATGATCTGAGAGTTCTTGAACTCGGCCGTGGGCATTCGCTGGAGATATACTGGGCCTTCAATGTTGGTTCCAAGGAGCTAAAACAGGGAAAAATGCTTGAATATTTGAGAAAAATTTATATTAAACTAGGCAAAAATATTTCAGCTTTTTGTCTATAAACGATCTCAAAATAATGCATCTCTCTTCTGCCAACTTCTAATATGCAGATTCCCAGACCAATTTCGATTTCAACACTTTTTACACCTAAAATTTCAAAAAAAAAAACTAAAACAACATACCTCTAAGAAAGAGCTCTCAATTGCAAACTGAAGACTCAAAAATCCACTCGACCAGTACTGAGGCTCTCCAGGGATGTAATTGAAGTCAGCTGAGGCACTGTATGGCCCATCTTCGGGCCAGAAATCTTGTAGATACCACTTTTGTTCCATTCGCCGAGGGAAGAGTATCCGATATTTCAATTCTTTCGACGATAAATCCAACTTCTCGAAGTGGACGCCACCTAGAATCAAAGGGGACATTAGAAAACATAATTTCATTGGGATTTATAGGGATAGGAGAACACCTAAAAACAAAAACAATATAACTTACCAAGGAATCTTCCGCACATTTTGTCCGATGTATCGTTCAGATCTTTTATCAATGTTTTCCTGAGGGCATCAATGTTCTCAAATTGCCGAATTGTAAGTCTCGTCGGGTTTTCTTTGAATCTTTCTTCGATCTTCAACATCAATGTGCTGGCTATCGTTGAATCATATCCGCTGAAAGAAAATTTAGACGTCAATAGGCTCAAAATTATTTTTCGAAGGAAGCAAAAGGTCTATTTTATTAGAAGAAAGTAAACACCGACTAAAACAGGTATTATTTACCTGTATCCAACCAATTTCGGCGATCCACACCATCTCTGGAAGATCCTCGCAATACTCTTGACCTGCTGCTGGATATCTTGCGAGTTTCCATGAAGATTCACTGGCCCAAAACTCTGACTCTTGTGTATACCTCCGCCACTCTTCTAAACCAAGAATACATAGAAAAAAACTCAACTTACCGCAACAATGAAGACAATCAATGGTAACAACAACAACCCGGCCAGAATCTCGAAGAAGAACCACAATTTGCTCCGTGATATGATCAACAATTCCTTTTTGAGCAATATGCCCACTTGTCGTATCAATTGTCCCATATTGTTCTCGGGGATCAACAGCGGGCTTTCCGAATCGAGGCTCGACGAATTTGAATGGGTCATAACATCGCGGGGACGTCGATTTCTCAACTTCATATGAGATAAATATGTTGTTCACAACCAGCAACACGTTGTAAAATGCTTTACCGCCGCAAAATGACCAAAAATTATATTATACTAGACGAGCTAGTATAAGATGGCCGAAAAATGATAGCAAAATAGACGCAGAATATTTCCCAAATATTAAACAGATAGTTTAGCAAGCAATAGCCTCAATTTCAGCTGTTCCGAATAGATTAGAGCAGTATGACCTTGTTATAAACAAAAGGTCCGGCGAAAAGTGTTTTTTGATAAAAAAAAATGAGGGAAAACAACGATTTTTTCGCCACTGCTCTTTTTGGAGTGTGAATCAGCTGAGGCGGTGTGGGTATCGATGCATAAAACTGCTTTTTACAATCGAATTAAATTCGCGTTCACTAAATTTAGATTGTTTTAGGTACAAAACATCAATTTCTTGTTATTGCTAACGACAGTCTGCTTGGAACAGACAATAAATCATATAAACAGTAAGTTTGAGCAATAATAAAACGATTATTCATGAAATTACTCACGGATAAACGCTTTTTACTACCTAAAATCCAGATGGCTCATGGTGAATATAAAGTTTACGATTTTTAATCCGATAAAGGTCCGAACTAAAGAGTTGGATTCCGCAAAACCCCTTGAATGGTCCTGTTTACGGGCAATTATAACAGTATGAGTCACAAAAATCGGGCAGCAACTCTCTTTCACCACCAATTTTCTTCCTGAAAATCTATGGAAACGATCTTATGAACCCCAAAAAACAGCGGGGGAATGCCGAAAAAAGACGAACGCTGCGCGAAACCCGTCGACTTTTGGATTCAGGAGGCAGGCTTCCGATTTATCAAAGAATCCACCCGCAATTCAAGGTCGCAACCTAGAAAATCCCAGTAAAACGGAGATCGCACCTCTAAAAAAATAAAAATTAGAGGAAATTTATGTCCAAACGAGCTGAATCTGAATGTGTGGAGTTCGGAATCCGCTCTCCAGAAGTATTCGAATAAAAAGAATCCGATTTCGAGGCGAAAAACAAGAAAACACCAAGAATATTTGCGCTCTCTTCGGACTTCGCGTCTGTCGTCTCCGTTCCCTCGCGCTCTGTCGTCCAATTTCTCCTTATATTCCCGGTTTTTTTGTTGCGCACTTTGCTTCTCTGCCGAGCCCTCCCGTTTTTGCAGAGAGCTTTTCAAAGGATACGGAACAATCGCTCTGAACACTCCTATAACACGCGCTCTATCACTTCTTTTCCCTTTGTTTCCTGTGTTCCCTACTCACTCTGACACTCTCATGTTTCCAAAACTCACTCCTTTTCTCTGGTTTGTTGGCCTTTCTCGCTTCGTCTCTCAAATTTTTGCGTTATTTTTCGGACCTCCTCGGTTTCCCTCATAAACCCACGTTATCTCGAGCAATTGGCTTTGGAAATAAGCTAGAATAAACATCGGAAAGCCGGTCAGTGTCCGAAATTGACCGGCCTTTAGTCCAGAACTCGTTTACAGACCACACAAGGGGATGTCGGACATGCACATCAGCCATGAATAACAAAGAATTGGAAACAGCCGTCATCCAATCCTGTCCTCTGGCTGTAATGACCTAATTTTACTGTTTATGGCCTCGTAAATATTGAGAAGGCTCCCGTGGGAAAACATGGTGAATATTGGTTTAATGAAGAGGAATGGTGTTGCGAAAGTAGTGTAAAGTAAGATTTATTGAACTAAGATGCAGTCAAGGGTTAATGAAGGCAATCTCGCTCTTCTCCCGGGAATTTCCCTGCGAGTTCGATTGTTCCGGCTTCGTAGAATTTCTTGGGACGAGGACCAGTGTTGACATACGCATCCGGAATAAAGATGGTCATCTTGCGTTGGCAGGGCTACAAATTGTAAACTTAAGATAAAATCCCAGCATATGAGTCTTCTAGAGTTCCAAAAAATCATTCGCTATGATGATGGCCCGTTACAGAGGCTTACTGTAGCTAAAACTCATTGGAGACCTCTAAAATCATCATTTTTTAATCTTTTTGTCAAAAAATTTTGTACGCGTATATTTCAACGAAAAAATCGGTTCGCCATTAGGCTGGACAGCCTGTTCTACGATATAAATGCCATTACACCACCTAAAGAACTTTCGGATTTTGCAAAAATCATCAAAATATACACCATGTCACTTACACGGATCCCATCTTCACAGTCATGATAGATGTTGATTTTAGGGTCGATGGTGGTAATCTCACTCGTAGATCCACTCAGTGAGAATTCTCCTCTCTCATTAGTCTTAGTATCGTCCAAAAGATCATCGGCGTCGATACCTACAAGTAGTTTTATATTACACTTGAACAAAAGATGGTCATGAGTAAGATGCTTGATTTTTGATAAGAAGATCAGATAAAAATTGCTTCAAATTGATGCTAAGACAGCAGGAGAGCATGAAAAAGATAACAGTGGCAATATTTTTGCCCAAATGGTTTACCTCTGTCGTCATCGAAGAGCTTTACTCTGACTCCAGCCAAAGGTTTTCCGTTACAAGTCAGCACTCCTTTGGCCCCGCTGCTCTGCTCTCGTCCCAACGAAATACAACTACATTGATACAAAATAGAGACAGCAATAAGAATACGTAACAAGTTCCTCATTTTTACCAAAAATCAAAGTCGAAATAGAGTAATCAAGAAGCGGGAAAATAAGTTTTTCTCGCTGTAAAGTTGTTATTTTCCTGATCTATCAATATTTCGGCTGGGTTCTTCAAAACTCAGCGAATTGAAATTTATACGCTCTACCTCGAGGTCAGATTATAAGTCATTGTGCTGGCGATGAATGCAAAAAATAATTGAATGTTTGTGGATTTAAGGTAAAACGGTGACTCAAACTTTTTGAACGCTCAGTTGGAAATTTGAAGGTGAAAGCGCATGATAATACGACTTCAAGTGTTCCAGATGACTCAATTATTTTGTGGAAATATTGAGCTTGAAGAAAGTTCGTTTTGACAGGGACATAATGCATATTTTTCTGATGATTTTATATTTTACTCTGGTTGGCAAGTGTAATATGCAAAAAATGTAAAGAAATAATATTAAAAAGCAAAAGTAAGTGAAAATCAGGTGCTTCGTATAATCAACAACATCTTTTACAAAGTTTTGTTGTAAAAACATTACAGTTTAAATCTCAATCCGCGTCCCGCAGCGAAATCGTTCAGCTTGCAACAGAACGCCAAAATAGCAAAAAGAATGCTCCAAAAAAATGGAAGAAATTTTCGAGTCCAAGCCGTAAACCCATTCACTGCCTTTTTTCTACCGTTTCCTGCGCTTTTTCCACTGTATTTCTCACCATATTACTTTAAATACCAAAAGATAATATCTCCTTGAATAAATTTGCTGTTTTTAAGGTTTTTAACGAGGGGAAATGCTAAAATAAAGTCGGGATTTTTGGGTACGTTCGTTCTATACTGTAAGGAGAGAGATAAACCGCTTTGGTTTGAAAAAAATCCGCATAAAATTACATTGAGTTTGATAAGGTATTATCTAAAATAATATTATGCACTTTCACCTGTTAGGAATTGATTTCTTTCAATGTTTTTATCTGTTTACATTTGCTCTGATACCTAAAAAAACACACTTGTTTACTTTCAGTTCAACTTCAAAATGGCCGACGACCAAATGCACGACAACATGCATGACCACTTGCAAGGATTGGACATGGATTCAGGAAGTATCCCACCGCAGATGCCCCAACAGAACGACGATTGGTATATGGATGAGAGGATCAAACGGTTGCTGCTCGATTTACAAAGACATTGGTTGTTAGATTATCAGGCTAGTCGGGAAAAGGCGTTGATCGAGTTGACTGAGAAGGTAAGCAGATTTTTGTATATTTTTCTCTTGTTTTAGGACAAGGATAACATTCATGAAGATTACTTGTACATATTAAGTGCCGTCAACCATATATTTTTTCAGCTGCATGCGGAGTTCTTGGCGGATCAACAGAAAATCCGGACAGACCTTTTAACGCAATTCAAAGAAGAACTTGACCAGACCAGGTAAGTCAATTTTATTTATCAGTATTCTTTGGCGTTTAGGTACCAAAATCGCTGTCTTTAACAGAAAATCTGCTAGTAATTGAAATAATTATACGTCATCTTTCAGAAACGACCTTGAGGCTCGATTCAAAGAGAATTTACAAACCGAAATCAACAAAGTCACCGAGAGACATCGACGGGAAGTTGCGTCGATCAAGAAAAAGCAGTGGTGTTGGCAATGTGAAGCCGAAGCCATTTACCACTGCTGCTGGAATACCGCGTACTGCTCCACGGAATGCCAGCAAAGGCATTGGCCCACTCATCGGCGATTCTGTCGTCGAAGACGGGCGAATAACTAAACCTTTTTCATATTTTCTTGTTGATTCTTTCCTTGTATGTACAATGTAATCGGATTCCGGACTTCTTTTCTCTAATTTAACTTTTTTTTTGATCCTCAAGTGATGCTGATGGACAGTTTTCAACATAATGGTCTTGTTGATGACGTTTTTCCGGCATGAATTTACAATAGATTGTGTCAATGTAATTTTAGACCAGACACTTCAAGAAATTCTTTCCATTTCTCAATTTTCCTGAAATCTATTTGGTCGGCGTTATGTTCAGATAATAAACCGTGGTTTTGGATACATTTTGACGGGTTTATTTACGATCTGTAGCTGGTTTTCGAGGTCGATATTATCCATGGTTTTTATTGATGGGAGGGATGATTTCTTTGGATTAAAAAAATAGTTTTTAGTCAAGTTGGAAGTGTAATTTGTTCTAGGTTATATGAACAGGTCTAAAACTATCTGAGAAAGCCGTTTTTGACGTTTTCAATGTTCAATCGTGTCAACGACGGCCAACGGAAAGTTCTCTGCGTTCTCGATGATTTTTCGAACACAAATCAAAAGATTCATTGCGAGAAGATCATCTCAACTGCCTTGGAATTGGTCGATGCGGGATCAGAGTTTATGTGGATTCGGGAATCTATGCCAGAGTTTACATTCACCTTGGATGAACACTTCTTTGCTCCGGCCTATGAGAATATAAGGGTAGCTGTTGGTAAAGATGATGAGATTACTGGATTGCTGGAAGGGTTACTGACGAATGAACGGTTCGGATATCTCTTCGAGGACAGGGCAGTGGTTAGATATGTTCTGGTAAGTATTTTACGCACATTTCATTGGACTCTAGGGATTCGAATACCAGCTGATGGTCTAGTATAATATAATCTCAAATTTTCAATAAGACAAACAGTGAAACAGGCGGTAACATGCAGCTTAGAGACTCAACACGGCTATTGGATTAAATAAATAAAAGATTCCTTTCCAGCTTGACCTATCAACGAGATCCAGCCCTCTTTCACCATCTCTGACGTCAAGTATAATATCATTGTTGGTTGAAAGTGCCGATAATATTCAAGTCTACAGAGAAACGGACAATATACAAGTAATCGCCTTACTTCCAGACTCATGGGAAACTGTCAGAGCAATGTCTCGGCATCCGGTTGTTGTTCAACATGGTCTACATGAAGATGAGTGAATATCTGACTAATTATAGAGGTAAGTGTGGGTATATTGACGCAAATGAGAGATGATATTGCCCTTGACCTTACCACACAGCCGGAAGCCGGACCGGTCTCGACCTCGCTTTCTTTGGCGAGATTAGAACAGTTTTGGCATTTCGTCAAAAAAAGTAGGCGAAGTGTCAAAAATTCATCGATTTGGGCCATAAATTTGGCCAATTGTTTTTCTTTTCCCTCTTTCTGAACAAAGAACACTCTTCGACGCTTGTCGTTGTAATAACTACTTGTTTTTTTTTCAGGAGCCCCGAAGACCAACTGTTTTGCTATTTCTCTAATGATCTCTTTTCCGAGCCCGCTCTCTCGCTGAAGCCGATCGGAAGAAGAATATTCCGTTCGCTCATACCTGTTCCAAGTGAGTTTTTCGCTTTGTGTGCCCAAGTTTAGGTAATTTAACACTTGTTTGGCGATCGCGTATCAATTGTTGTATTGTGATAGGTGTTTTTTGCGAATTTCTTTTTTCTGCTTGAATTTTTATAATGGTTTATGGTTTGAACGCATCGGGAACAAACTAAAATTGTTTTTTACAACAAGAAATATTTCATAAACGTTGGGTAATAGTATGAAAACATAGATTTTTTTTGCAAAACAAGCTTAGATATCGAGTTTTTTGTGTTCCTCAAAGAATTCTCTAAAATTTGGGTAATAAATTTTGATATTTCAGCTTACAATGTCCTGAGTGTCAACAAGAATCATATTTCAAGCTTCAGTATTATCAATTCTCAGCGATGGAAACAATCAAATACTATTGGGCGGGTCTCAAAGACTTTTGCACTCGGGTGGTACAATGGCGACATCCCATGACCGTGCCGTATATTCTCGCAGTAAATGGGATGTTCTGGTAAGATTTTGAGAGCAATTTTCTTTGTTATGTCTTTAGGTTTTTGGTTCGAAACAACAAAAATTAATTTGGACATCTAATCTTGATGGATAATAAAGTTTTGCCCCATAAGATTGTTGATTTCACTTTTTATTAATGCGTATTTTACATTCAGGGCCACTGTCTTCTACGCTGATCAGGAAATTCAAATGAGGGTGCTTGCTGGACTAGCGATAGCGCTCTTTTCGACGGATTTACTTTTTTCACCAACTGGAGAAAAAAGTGTTATTGTACAGCTTCTCATGTGGCCCGTGAAGGATCTGTGGAATGTAAGACAATATTTCCTAGCCAAATACGACTCAAATTTTTGTAAATTACCTATTTTTTAGACAACGGCAGTTGTGCTTTGTGCTTACGGAATCCAACAACTGATGGAGGAAAAACAGGAAGAAAGAGCTCTGTGGGCGGCGATTGGAGCCGGTAAGTCTGGTTTTAAGCTAATCAGAAGATCTATAGAACTCTTATTGACTAAATAATAGTCAAATTTTAGTAAAAAAAATATTTTTTTACTAAAATTCGACTCATTTTATCCATGATGGATAATAAAAAAAGTCTGGATTTTGCCTCTAAAATTTTTCCATTTTCAGTGTCATGCACTCTAATTTCACCAGTCTACTACTATCATGACGTAAATGGCAAGATCGGGTCGGGTTTCCGGAACTTGGGCGCCGGCATCAAAAAAGTCCTGCATTTCCTGATAATTCGCCCCGTTCTCTTCGTCTACGACGCGCTCAAATACATCCTCCTGCTCAAATGGATGCCTGGTAAGCTGTGTAATGCTCTGGGACACGGGAAACAAAAAATAAGAAAATGAAAATTCACCGTTTGAGTCATTAAAATCAGGAAAGAACGGTCCAAAACGGAACGTTCACGGTTCGAATCCCTCAAAACACTGGGTAATTGGGAGCGTATGTTCGGTTTTATTGCGGAAATGCGACTTTCAGGTTGAGGTGGGCATTGTTTTGAGGAAAGTTGGGGAAATTTTTAGGGCCCTGGTCATGTGTAATATAAATTTTTGGTGTCTAAAGAAATTTGTGGTGTAGGATTTGAACTGTTGAGCTTGATGTAGAATTTGGTGGTAATTTCAGTTGATTATAGATTTTTTTTTCGATTTCTAAGGAACTTTTTATATTATAGTAGGTCATCATTCCTTAAAAATGTATGTGGATGAATTTTTAAGCGAGCTTACCCCTTTGTATAAAGTTTTTATATCCTTTCAGGACTAAAGAAACGAATGTCGGCGCTCGGTTCATACATTTACAACACTTTGGACTACTATCTACTACAATATATTAGAGCTGCAGGTCGCCGAATCCATGCATCTTTTGTGTATTGGTGCTACTTCCATTGGTGGACGGACCTCAAGGCGGTCTTAAAAGTGTGGATTGGAGATCCGGCGGTTCAGAAATTGCGGAGAATCAGAGAAAAGTTTATCTACGTGTTTGGTGGATATTGGCTGGCTCCGCTGGCAAAATATTGTGGAAAGTAGGTTGTGATTTTATTGTATAGAGCAGTATTAGTTGTGATTTGGCAGTGGACGTCTTGAAATTATGTTTGAAATGACGAAAACACTTGAAAATCGTCAAAAATTAGTCAAGAAACACTGTTTACACAGGATTTTGTGTTTGTTATGGGCGAAAAAGTAGTTGAAACGTTTAAAAAATGACTTTGAAAGGTCTGAAGAGTAGTCAATTGTATCCCTGAACTTTTAGTGTCGCCCTGGACGCGCTGAAATACATGGCGGCCGTCGGAAATCAATGCGCAATAGCCATCGGGAATTCCGTGATTTATCCGTTGCTGGTTCTGGTTTACGATCAGTTGAAAGTTGCCACAATTTACACCTATGACATCGTGGGAAGGCCTGTGGTCGACGCTCTGATCAAGAAATATAATATCGCCGAGGATTTCGCCTTCATTTATGTCCTCGGACCAACTGCAAATGTGGTGATTAATTCGGTACCGGAGAAGAATCCGTTCTGTGGTGAGTGGAGTTGGGGATTTTTTGGATTTTAGAAGGATTTAGGGTAAAATACGGATTTTTTTTGTTTTATTACCTAAAATACAATTTTTCAAATTTGTAATTTTTTTTTTTTTTTTTTTTTTTTTTTTTTTTTTTGAGAGGAGAGTGGTTAAAGAAATTTATTTTAAGAATGAAAAAAGGCGGATTATCGAATTAAAAGTTTTTTAATTGCCTAAAAATCAGTATTTTAGACTGAAAATAAAAATTTTTGATACCTAAATTTTGACAATTTCCAGAGTTTTTATTGAATTTTACTTTTGTTTTTAACCCTTGTTTTAGATGACACCGACGAAGACCTCAAAGAATTCATCCCCAACGCCGCGGAATCAGAATTTGAAGACGAGCAAGAGGACTCGGATTCGGATGAAAGCCTCCCACCAATCGATTTGCCAGAGAAAAAGAAGGATCTTAACATATCCAAGGCCACTACAGACGATCTAGGTAGGGTTATTACGAATTATTTTTTGTGTTTTTGTTCCATTTTGTAAAGTTTTTGAAAATATTTTAATTTTGTTTTACCTTTAGATGACGACAGTTTCCTGGTCAACCGATTAAATCGTGAACTCTCCCTCTCCGACAGCAGCGACGAGGAATTCCTTCTATTTCAGCGTAAGGAACGCCCTCGTCGACGGAGGAAAGTCCAATGAACAATGTGCAATTATATTGTACATGCCTGATGTAAAAAGTTGTAGATTTGAAGCTTTATTGCCTAACAGTGTGCCATTCAGGGAGTATTTTTGAAAATCTAATCTACACAGTTTTCTTGGGTTCTACTCATTTTTTTCATTTTTGATTATTTTTCGATATTTTTGAACTTTTGTTGGGCGCAGCTCGCCAAAATTAAAATTGACGTAAATTAGCGGAAAAAGAGTAAAATCCAAGAGAATTAGTTGTTAGAATCTTAACACTGGTATCTCGTATCTAATACAACAGTAATTATCATGTCTATTGTGTATTTTATCTTGTTTTTTTCAAAAATTATCTAGTTTTTCGTTTTTTCGCTTATTTTATGAAATTGCGGTGCCCAAATTTGTATCGACTTTAATAAAAATGAATAAAGAGTATAATAATGATGAAAATGAATGGCTCGGATATTGGTTTTGACCAGAAAATTATTATTTTGATAAGTTTTTGCCTAGTGCAATATGGCAAGTTATTGTTCATGAGTTTTTTCAGGAATCGGCTGAGATTCTGGGTGGACAACGGGTAGAAACCAGTGAGAATCTCGGTAAATCAGCAGAATCTTTATCCAAAACAGGGCAGAAATCATGACGATCTCCATCGAAATGCCGATTTATTGCTTTGATGTCATCATCAACAAGTTGCAGCGCAAATCCACTCCACCTGTACCGGCGAGCATCCCGAATGAGTGTTTGTAAGTGATTTAGTAGCCAATGAAAGCGGTTTTTTACATTTTTTTGTCAAGGATAATTTTGAAAAATTTTTTTTATTAAGCCTTAATGATCAATATTTTAGCCCATTGTTTGTCACCTGGAAGAAGGGACCGAATCAAAATTTGAGAGGATGCATTGGGACTTTTTCGACCAACCTGAATTTGCACAAAGGGCTGACGGATTATGCTAAAATAAGGTAATTTTTTTCTTTTTTTTGTTGAATTTTAGGCCACGAAATTGGATATAGATGAAAATGATGTCATAATCAAGGATTTTTTGTGTTTTTTCACGTTTATTTTTTGCAAGAAATTGAAGATTTTTACGACTTTCTAACAAAAAACAGGAAATTTTACCTACTGTATGAACGAAATCGATTTGTTAAATTTACCAATGAAGAACCGCCGTATTTTACCAAAAATTACATAATGTATATTCCAGTGCCTTCGAGGACAGCAGATTTTCCCCGATTTCCCTGGAAGAACTCCCTCAACTTCACTGCGGCGTTTCTCTCCTGGTCCGTTTCGAACCCGCCCAAAATTATCGTGATTGGACCGTCGGAACCCATGGAATCCATATCTATTACAAGCAGAACGGCCGCGATCTTAGCGCTGTGTATCTCCCAGAAGTGGCGGAGGAACAGGGCTGGGACCATGTGGAAACTTTAAATCAATTGATGAAGAAGGGCGGGTGGAAAGGCCAGATCTCGGAAAATGATCGTCTCTCTGTGAGAATTGAACGCTTCCAGTCCGAGAAAATTACAATCTCGTATCAAGTAAGGTTTATTTGAAGATTTGAGAGGGGTTTTTTGTGGGGTAGAACGAATTTTTTGAACTAGGCGGGCCAAAAAGTCTTGAAATGTTTTCGCACCGTGCGTGCGCATGATTTCGGCGTTGCGACAAAGTGTCGCGCGATAAAAATTTGGCGGGGTGCGAATGAAGAACGCACTGTGCGTTGTTTACCCTTTTTCAAAACAACCTTTTTGCACTGTGCGAGGTCGCATTGCACCGTAAATTTTTCTTCTCGCGACAATTTTCCTGCACGACGGCGCACTGTGCAGACATGTCAAGACTTTTCGGCCCACCTAGTTATATTTTAGATGATTTATGACAAAATTTTTAATATTTTTTTTTCAGGATTACGTCACTTACAAAACCCGCCTCCCCAATTGATCCCATTCCTTGTACAAAGCCCCGATGGATAATTATTATGTTAATTGTATCAAATACCAAACAACTTTCCATTAAGGATGACATTTCCAAAGTTTTCATTTTTTTTTTTGAAGTTCTTGCAAAGATAAAGTGACAAAAAAGATTTCTGTTTAGGCCATATTTTCTCCCTTGCTTTCAAGACAAGCTTTTTTTGTGAGGAAAAGGGCGCGCCCTTCAAAACGAAGTTTTTTTTTTCACTTGGAGAGGGAAGAATTTTGCCACATTTTTGATACTTCCCGGATGCAAAATGGTACGTTTTTTGCCAATGGAACAGGTCCTCCACTGTAATATTATGGGTTCATTTCTGGCAAGGGGCAAACAAAACTCGTGACATTTCGCATTCCAAGCCGTAAAAGCGCGATTCAAATGTGGTTGTTGGAGCCTAATTAGAATGTCAATAAAATTTACATCGGACTTGCATAATAAATAGAATAGCCCCACTAATCTATTCCTATTTAATCACTGTCATTCCCTTTAACCCCCTCAATTATGTGGCTTGTCATATTCGCTTGTCTGTTAACAACCGTTGTCGGAGATATTAGCGGAGTTGTCAGCGCTGGGGATCTGGATAAACCCAGATGTAGTGAGGCGGAGAGGATGAACGTGGTGTCCAAATTGGTGGAGATGGCGGGGTACAAGGATGTTGAGAATATAAAGGCGATCTATGAAGAGGAGGAGAAAAATGTGAGTTATTAGCCCACAATAAAGAACTGGCTTCATATAGATCAGAAATTTGGCCAAGAAATATAAGATAAGAGCAGACAAGGAGATCGATGAAATTAACGCCGCGCTCTGTCGTGTGGCCGCTAAGCCCACTTCAATGCAGATTTATAACGTTGCAAACAACATTCGGACCCTCCGCTATAACGTCTTGAAAAAAGTTCCTCCAGCCGAACTCATTTCGTTGGATCAAGCAATCTTCATGTTATTCTCGTTGTATGATGTAAGTCAGGTTCTAAAATTCTTTTTTAGTGTCATTCATAAAAAAGGTCATAACTTCTAATCAAAAAATTTCAGAACCCAAACAACTATCTTTTCAAACATGCCGCGTATCTGCTCAGGCTAAACGACACTGTAATCCGACACGGAATTGTATATCTTTTGGAGGCAGGGAAGACGCTCAAAGTTAACCCAATTGAGAATATAGAACTGTTTTTGAACGCCCTCAGAATAGAAGGAGCGAATAAGCAGGCCGTAATAAATGGGGAAGTGGTCGAGACAGTGGCTGTGTACAATGCCTTGGTTACTGACCTTTCTAAAACAAAGGAATCAAAGAAATTGGTTAAGAAGTTCGAAGACGCATTCATAGGCGCGGACTGGAAAGCAATTGGTCCACCAACAATCCCAGAATAATAATTCAAGCGATTTTTTGTTTTTAAGATTACAAATAAACATAAATTTATAATATTTCTTAAATGACGGCATTTCCTCAAGAAACAGCGATGATTTCTTGCGATGGTGGCTAACTACAAGTGGGACATCTTCGCTGGCACCACAAAGTTTAGTTAGGGTGAAATAAGTAAAGGAATGGCTCAGAGTGGTGCCTTTCTGTCTAAAAAATAATGCGGATTTGTCGCAGTAAAGCGTCTTGTGGCAGCCGCACACAAAAACCCCAGCTGCGAGCAGCCGTTGCAAGGCAATGATAAGCGATTTGAAGGCGCGACAAATCCACATTATTTCCCAGACTAAGATTCCACAAGCGGTACCAAATTTGTGAAATCAAACTCCAAACAATGTTTTCAGGAATTGAATTGTGGTCAAAGTCTAGAGGGGTAAGTGGTCGAATAAACCTACAAATGGGCCTGGCTACCGCTGATATTCCAAAGGACCTTTACCACTCTGCTTATCGTATCTTCAGTGATTGTGATTGTCTTTAAAAAATTAATCTTACCTTGTCATCAAAATTTATACATAAGGGCTGAGCTTCGAGCACGCCATTAACTTGATGATACCGCTGCTTTTACTACAAGTCATTCTGAATTAAAAAGTGTTGCGGGATATGTTCCAGTCGCCTCTCAAGGTTGTTTCATCGCCATTTCTTTTATGTATGTTGACAGAAATTGATCGTAAAACGAAGATTCATAAAAGGGATCGGTTTTATGACAGGTCAATTAATTTTCTTGCACAGGTTTATCCGCAATTTTACAGCGGAGAATTTTAACATTCTTTACATAAAATTAGTGATTTCAGCTTTTTGAAAGCGTTTTTCTTTTTGGGAGAGGAGGAATGGCTTGTTCTCTGTATATTTTCTGATCACTCGACGTGTTTACTTTATGACCTTGTCTTATTTATTGACAGAGATCATGCTGAACGAGGAAACAAGAGCTTTTACCTTATTTTCTCGAGGTTTGCTTTAACAAGCCATTTTTGGGCAGAAAAAGGCTTTGCTAATTGTAAGTAGTGGTACATGGTAATTCCAGCAGACTTTGGCTGATTTTTTGCCTAAAACTGTAGTTTAAACTGTTGAAAATTCATCAAGATATGTAATAAATTCTACACATTTCTGATACATTATACAAATTTTTGGTATGTTCCAAATTTTGTCATGTTTCGTCAAAAATCGTCCACTCTTTTTTCAATCAATTTTGCATCACACGACCTTGTGTCTCATGCTCTCCCAATTCGTAACTTCTCCCCCACGTGCCATTTACCCTACTCAAAGAAAAAACAGCGAAAGAGAATGGCCATTGCTTGTTTTGGAAGGATTTGGCTCGCCCAAAAGCTCATAAATTAAGCAACATTTTCGAATATCAAGAGAGTAGGAGGGTATTAGAAGCGAATTTTATTTGGATATTGGCAGGCCAATGTCGGCTGATTGTCAAAACATAATTTTAGAGCCGGATTTTACAGAACTTGGGGGTGATTTACGACTGTATGTGTTGGCCATATCGCTGCCAATCTCGCTTTGAAAAAATAGTTTTTTTTCGTGGAAATGCAGTGTCTTGGGTCAAAAAATGGCTGAAATTTGTTCATGCCAAAAGCTGGTATAAAGTTCTTAATTAGCAACATTATTTTTCTTTTTTTTTAACGTTGTGGTCTAATTTTTCATACTGTAATTCTTTTTTGTAATCATTCATAATCTCATATGGCATAGTTTGGGCATCGATCTACAAACCAAAAAAGAAATTTGTGTCAAAAAAACCCCAGAAATGTTGTCATCTCGCTTAAAAACCACAAAAAAGTAATTTGTTTTTTTCAATTTGTCGGTTTTACTGGCTTGTTGACGAGAAAAAAGTCGGTTACTATCATCTTACCCAGCCTTCATTGCGCTTGAATGTTTAGTCATCATCCCTGTTTCGGGGTTTGTTTCAACTTATCATGACTATAAATTATATTACAGGGTGACAAAGAAAAAATGCAACTCATATTTATGGCCATATTTTGTCTAAAACACCAAACTTAACCAAAGTAACGGTGAATATCAGTAACATAGAGCATTGTTAATAATATGCTCGGCCAGTTTTAAGGTGGCTGTTCTTGGCCCCGAGATAGAGCTCAAAACGTGACTTTAAATTTTGGCCGATTCGCCGAAGCTTTTTTTGGGGAAATCGGTTCCGTTCTTACTAGTCCTTCCGGAAAGTCGCCGGACGGAAATCGGCGACATGCACTCTGCGAAATCGAAAGTTCACTTTGCACTGTGCAATTTTTGGCTTTTTGCACTGTGCAATAAGCTTTTTCGAGCTGTCGCTCGCACCCTGAGTTTTTTCTCACAGTGCATGTCGCCGATTTCCGTCCGGCGACTTTCCGGAAGGACTAGTACCGCAGCGATCAATTAGCGACTCCAAACTTTTTTGGCGTGAACTAGAGGTCCTGACTTCTAACTAAACAAAAAACATAATCCACCGGATTCAGATCCAGCGAGTAGACGGCCATTTCGCAGACCACATAAAATCGGGAAAACAGGTCCTTTCCTGGCCATGCGTCTTCTTTGCTCTATGGATGATGGCGGAATCCTGCTACGGTGTCTGTTTTGAACCGCCAAAGTGCTACTGAGCCCACGGAATCACGATGGTGTACAAAATGTCGCTGGTAGACTTATCGGTTTGGTTCTGACCCCTTTATCCAAGAAAACCAAGGATATCACGCCGCTGGCGCAAGACTTTGCCCCAGGCCATGAGAGGTCGGATTTTTTCTGGGTTCAAAAATGGCGGATGGTTTTTGACTCTCAACAGTCCAACTCCTGCAATTCTGGTGGTTGTAGGCCTGCTCGATGTTGAAATATTTCTCATCCGCGAACAGGACCTTCTCTCATCGCTGAGCTGCGGCGCGACGGTTGAGTTTTCGACATTTTTTGCGCCGTACTTGCTTGTAGTGTTCCGTCAGGCGCTAAGCTTTTTGGAACTTGTAAGACTCGCTCTACGGTACATTGATCACCATTCGCCGATCCGTTGTTGCCTTGATGCCGGTCTCCCGGGCAATTTTCTTCATGGACACCATCAGATTTTGCTTTACTCGCTTTTTGATGATCTCAAGGTTGGCAGAAGTCTTCAAGATGCGCTTCCTTCTAATTCCTGGACACTTACCACCATGGCCAAGCTCGTTGAGTCGTTTGATGGCTTTTCGTATGGCAGGTTTTCCTACACCGACCAATTTAGCAATCTTTCACTGTCCTTTTTCTTCCCGTGACAGGTTTAAAATCGGGGTCCCTCTGTTTGAGACTCGAAACAAACATGTTAATCAACCGATATGGGTATGAAAATTGAGAGGCTAGGACAAAAAAACACGGAGGATTTAATGGTATGAACAATATTTTCCTAAACCTAAAAGTTTTCGCGGCAGGACCCATGAAAAAAAGTTGCATTTTTTATTTGTCACCCTGTATTTAACGAGGAAAAAGTTATTCGCCGTTTATAGATTTGTTTTCTGTGATTTTGGAGATGAAGTTTGCTAAAATACGGATTTGGATTTTGTCGAAAATTGAGACAGAGGAATTTTATAGGCTTGTGTTTACTTTGATTTTATTTTAAGCCAATTTTTAGAGGTGAAAATTTTGATGGGAGTTTTTAGAAAGTGGAATATGAAAAATTTCATATTTTTTGAAAATTTTTGAGGTAAAATACGTTCAGAAACCTTTACGCCATCAAAATGTAACGTACAAAAGTTTTACTGTATCTACAGTAATCAAACCCCAAAAATTTTCATCGATTTTTCACAGCTCATCCCCAGGTCTTGTGCTCATTCAATAAACATATGTGTATGTATATACGATGCTCTTCCGTCCTCCATCCATTTTTATTTTAAAACAACCACTTTGGACGTCTCTTTTCCCTCCGTCTTCCGAAAGGCTCTCTATTTGCAAGAATTTCCACGGAGAGTTCGATCTTACTCTTTACGGCAGAGGCCGCGAGGCTTTGTCACGACCCATTCGGACGGCGTGCGGATTTCGGAGGCGAGCGAGGCTTCCACATAATTGTTTATGTTTCGATTTTGAATATTGAGCTGGGTGGACTGCAAGGTCTGTCATTGATACGTCAGATTTTTGGATAGGCTGGTAATCGAGATGGTATACCATGTTATCTTGAGTTTATAGTGAAGAATTGACATCTTTTTTTGAGTGTGGAATATACCTTCAGTACAAGAATGTAATATTTTGCTTGAAAAAACTTTAGGAAGTCAAAAAAAAACATCTTTTTTCTGACCGGCTCTCTTCATTTTCCGTAGTCTCTCGCTTTCATGATTGTCTCGGAAGTGCTTGCAACATCTCGGCTAAAATATTGAGGGTTTAGTATATGGCCAAGGCAGAGTGTGTATACAAAATTTTACGGAAATCTGAGGGTTGCACTTTGAGTTAAGCGGCTTGAAAGGAGGGCTAACCGATGGAACAGACTTAGTTTTTTCACTGGAATTTCTCATATTTTTGTAAAAAAATGTTCGCAGAGAGATGCGTTGTACTTTCCTAACGTTTTGTGAAGGAAATTTAATTTTGCACAGTGAAAAATCGAAATTTCAAATTTTTGAAAATTTCATTTTTTACTTATAAATTTTGATATAAATTTTGCCGACCCTGTTACCCATGACATTCAAAATCTGTTTTTCACATCTTCACTTGCTTTTCCACCCTTCAGAATCCACAAATTCTCATTATCCAACCCTCCTTGTCGAGTATAATATATTGGTTATGTCATCAAGCATTTCTCCGGCTGATCACACGCCTCCGACATTGGGGTTTCGCTTTGTAACCGATTAGAGGCGGTGTTTCTTTTTTGCTGCAACGGACGGGATTTTGTTAAATCAGCGACAAGTAAATTCCCTCTGCTGAATTTTGATGACTTTCAGTTGATAAATTTATTTTTTCGAGCAAAAATAAAAGTGTTTTGAATTTTTTTTTGCTTGATCAAATTTCAAAAGGCTTTTTACATTTTTTGGGAGCTTATTATGTTGTAACATACCGGCCATAACCTGCCTTGATTTCGGTAATATTTTTAAAAATCTGTAAATCATTCTTTTTTCTGCTCCGTTATTGAAGTTTCGAACCAAAAATTGCTTTAAACTGACTTTCAAAGTAAAAAATCGAAGCCACGGCCTTCTCGACCATCTTGCCAATCTCCATCCTGTATAAAAATTTACATTTTGTGACTTTTACCCTCCTGATCTCCTTGCGAGCAGCGTTGCAACACCGTCAACTCCACCCAATCCACTTTCCCATCCGGCCCTCTTCAGGTGGAGCCGCGAAAAAAAGAGTGCAACGTAAACACGAACAGCCCAGAGAAGGGGAGAAAGGCGAGAGAGTGTGGACGGAAGGCCTCTCCATTCGCCCCTTTTCACCCCGCATCCGATGGCTCCAGCACTTTTGCTCTCTTGTATAATACGTTTCTTTCGCCTTCGTCTCCATCATCGGCACTGGCCATTGGGTCTCGCGAGAATTTCTAAAAGGTCAGATGCTATTTGCAAATTGATTGTTATGTTTCTTTCCGTTGTTTGGTCTATGCGATATATCTGGTGGTGGGAAATAAGGGGAAAGTTTCACGAAAGTGAAGGTTTGAGGCGGAAGATTACGACAGAAATCGAAGAAAACGGTCTTTTTTGCGGTGGTTCAAACATCCATAGAAGTAATGCGACTAATAAGATTAAAAGTTGTAATCTTATTTCTCAAAGTTTGTGGAGAACTTTTAAGATTGACGTAACATACCAAGGTCTCACACTTTTAAGAGCATGCTACAAATCCAGCACCAAGATTTCTTTCAGCTCCCATAGTCTTTTCTCAAGCGCTTACTCCTTTTTCGAGAGCTAAAAACCTTCCATATGTCCTGAAAAATTGTCTTAGTTCGTCGCTAGTTTCATTAAAATCAAAGCGTCGATCTTCCAGCACTTTATTTCTGCTGACAATTCCACACATATTACTGATGATTTTGCCGAAAAATTCAAACTTTTGGACCATTTATGAAGCCATTGTTATTTTATTCATCCTCTGTACTAGTCACTCAACATTTTCGCATACAAAAACCCACATTTCCCCCGAAAAAGTCTAAAGATTCAAACAAAACAATCTTTTTGATGACTAAATATATTATCACATACAAAACCCCTCTAGCCATTACACAAATTTGCAAGACTCGCCCGAAATTCCCAGCCATTTCTCTCAAAAAATCTCTCCTTTGCTCCCTCTTTTCGAAAATTTTTTCTGAGTTTTTCCGAGATCACCATTTCAATCTTATCCTTGAACTCTCGCCCTTTCATCTCGCCCCTTCGAAAAGTCCTTAAACCCGGTTTTAATCAAAAAAAATTCGCTCATAAATAGTATTGTAAGCAGGGGAAAAAGACTCTCGTTTAGGTGGCAATTAAACGGCCTTTCCACTACGGTAGTTCAATTTTTTAGGATTGATTTCTCTTTTTTGCGGACGGAACTTTGTTTTGAATGGTTTAGAGGGAGCTTTGGGATGATTTTTGTTTATTCAAATGTGGTAAACATCAAAAATATCGGAAATTTGATGAAAAATACCGTGTTTCCTCTTGTGTTTCGTGATTTTCAGATCGAAATGATATTTTTTGTCGGTTTAAAATACGGAAGTCGCTAATATATTGGTTTAATTAGCACAAAACTTGATGTAAAATAAATTTCTTTCCCATTATAATCCTTGTTTCATCAAGGTTTCGCTAAAATTTTTATCCTTCGGCTATTAGAGCTATTAGAGAAGTTAATGCCCCATGGGATCTTCCAGAAATAGTCCAATAAGGCTATAAAAAATGGTAGAAAAAAGCGAGTGCAGACAGACACAGGAAATGAGTCTTTGTCCATAATTAATCGAGGTTTTTGTGATCTTTAGGCCAATTCTTATTGGATTTCCGATTTTTAAACTGATTTTTTGGTTCTACTCAATATGATAGGTAGTAAAAAGTGTGGTAAAGTAATCTTTGTACTTAGAGCGAGCCATAAAAGTTATTTTTGAATCGAAATAAAAAAAAATAAAATTTCTGATGATTTTTCGAAATTTCATAAAATTATGAAATTTTACAATTTTAATATAGAAAATACCGTAACAAACAGTTCTCAGCTCAACTAAGGTACCATACATCTAATTTTTTTGAGTTTTTTGGCCTTTTTTATTTTATTCTTGCTATCAGATCTCATTTTCCCAAAAAATTGATGTTTAAATCAATATCATCTCAATTCCACCCACCCTATCCCTCCACCTGATGAATTGTGGTCTCAGAAATGCCAGACTAATCCCGTCAAGTGTCCCTGAACTCTTCGAATCGATTGTTTTTCTTTTTTTTTATTATTGTGTTAGGTAGAGGAGGGGAAAGATCTCCTGTCGGGGTCATAGAAAACAAGGAGGCGGAGAGAGTGAGAAGGCCGCAGAAACGAGAGCCCCACGAAGACATCAGTGGGCTCTTTTTCTGCCGGTGCGGGGATTCTGGGGGAGAAGAGAGCAGTCTTTTTTATTGTTTCGACCCAAAAATAAACGTCCCAGAAAGCTTCGCGGAGGGATCTTGGGTAATCAGCTGATGGTCAGATGGAATGTATAAGGTCTGTAGAGTCTTATATCGCTATATTACGTCATTATAAACCTATAAACTAAGAGTTTTTGGCAGTTTTGCCCCGTGTAATATCAGAAATTTCAAGTGTATGCCAAAATGTTGAGGAGAACCGGCTCAGTAATGCATAAAAAGACGAGTAATAACTCAGAAAGTAACGCTTGGTAATAAAAAAGTAGTCGCGGAGCCAGTTACACTTGTGATTTATCATTTACCGATCTTATCTTCCGTGTATTTTCCTTCCATTTTTCGGTGGTTCGTTCAGTAGGTCAGCTGATCGCCAAGTCGCCAACTTATTACTCTCGCCTTTCTACCGGCAATTGCTCCTCTCTGGGTGTAATTTTTTCGTCACATAACTTTTTTAGATTAGATAAATTAACCATGATTTTTTATGATGACAAATAATACGGTAATATTGAAATTGAGGTTTTATCTGAAAATTTTCAAAGCATGTGTAAGGCCGTGTGCTTCCTAACGGAAGCGAGTTTCATAATCCACGCTGTGGAAGGGTGTTCGAGGACAAAAGCAGACTTGAAAAGCGGGATTATCCCTCAGTATGACTTGACGCATTTTTAATCATCGCACAAAGCCAACGCTCCTTATTGAGCAAGATCCTACTGTATATATTGATAGGTGATGCAAGTACCTTCGAAAGAATAGCTTTAAGGATACGTCTAGGTTACTGTAATCGCATCAATTTTTCGAAATTGACCCATCTGACCTATGGATAATATAAAAAGTCCAAAAACTCGAGTAACCTTTAGCCATAATAAATGTGTTTTGATAATCTGGTAATGGCACACTTCTGCCGTAAAAATAGCCGCCATACCGCAGACGAGAAGCCTCAGGTTACTGTAATCCAATCGATTTTCCCCGAGCATCTCATCTAATCCATGGACAATATAAAAAGGTCCTAAATTGGCCTTGATCTGAGAGCCCTTGGCTCACCGAGGCAATATAAACACAGAATAGGTTGTATACAGCCATTTGCGATCGTAATTTCAGTCAGCTGCGCCCATCGTCCGGCTCTAAAAGCCGTTGCGCGAATGCGTTGAAATTTTTCGCGTGTCTGAGCCGGCCGCCGAGACAAATGACCTTTTTTTTGTCGTTCTCTCAAGCGCTTCGAATAAATTTTCTTTATCGTTGTTTTGCAGCAGACTCCAGACTTGTTTGGAAATACTGGGCTTACTTTCGCATATTTCCTTTTTATTATGTCATGAATAATATAAAACAATATTACAACCAATTATATTGCATGGAGCCGCTTCGAAATTTTACACGAAAGGTGGTTTACGACAAATTTTTAGTCCTAACAATTTTCTTCATGTACTGTAATTCAATCGTATAATCTGCAGCCTGCGAAGCTCGGGCGCAGGTCGACATCTTCAAGACGATTTTCTGTTAGCAATTTTTGGCCAGAATCTTGTTGTCCCTAATTTTGCGGATGCCCTTTTCGTGCAGTTGTCCCATTTCACGAGGATCTCCAACAAATTTTATTCGATTTCAGAGCAATCAAAGCCCAAGAACCAGCGGTGGATCCGGGAACATCGAAGCCGGATTCCCCCACAGCGACCACAACTCCGACGTCGAACCGAAGCCGCAGCCGAGAGTCCTCTGCGACGCGCCAAGTGTGGAAAGAACGGCCCGAACTTTTGTCAAAAAAGTTTCGCCGGTCGTTCGTTCCGCCCGACATCAGCGAAAATTCGGCCTGAGCGCGCAGTGAACGCGGCGTCCGGGTCCTCGGCGACGACCCCATCCAGCCAACGGTCCGTCCGCGCACGCCAGCACAGCCGACGGTCCAGCGAAGCGCCCAGCGCCAGCGCCCACTCCACCGGTGAACGAGCCTCCACTTCTGTGAGTTTGGTTTTGAGAAACTGTTGATTTATAGTGTAATCTCTGGAAATTTAATGGGTTTTTATCGATGTAAATGTAGGAGGTTATGTAGGGATGAAGATGAGTTTGTTAGACTTTTATAACAATGGTAATTGGGGCTCAATTTCTACGACTTTTCTTGAGGGAGTCCAATATTGATGGTCCAGTGCAATAACGCTTGTTTTATAGTCTTATATGGGGTTGATTGCTCTGAAACTTGTTCCAAATGAAAGCGAGATCATCTGTTCTACTAAATAAAGTCTATTCTTCCTCAAACTTTCCAGCTTTCCAATGTTTTGCCACAATAAATATTATCCATGGCATTTCTTTAAAAAAATTAAAGAAATGCCATGGAAATCCCTATGCGCACGTCACTGTCCAGCCGCCCATTCATTAAACGATACTCGAACATCTCCTTTGCTAAAATTAATAGCCGTTTAAGGGAAGCGTCTGCTCTCCTCATATATCTGGATGTTATTTTAGACCACCCAAATGGTACGGGAATCTCGTTTCGCAGGGACCCAAGATGTTTACCTATCTATAAACCAAGGATTAGACTTGGTTTTTGAGTAAATATCAAGAGTCAGACTTTCAACGTTTTTGTGATTTTGAAGAGGTCTTGAAATTGGTTTCCCATTTGATGAAATATTATCGCCAAAATCACAAGCTATATTCAAAATTCTGATGGGGTGCGGTATAAATAGCAATCAGGGTGTTATTGCCGAGCGATAACGACCATGCTGAGCGGCGGTTTCATAAGTTGTTTAGCAGTTTTCCCCGCGAAATTATCGGTTCTAATGCCCAAAACAACAGGATTCTTGGTCGGACGAGCTGGAGAAGGTGGTTCGCCGCGTGCTAACCGGTATCACACATGCAAATAGCATTTCCGAACCTCGAAAACATTCATTCCCATCCGTGTTCCATTCAACTTTCCCATTTCCCAACTCCCCCATGGCTATTTAGCACGCTGTTTCTCTGCGGCGCTCCTCGCTCGGCACAATCTTCGGGACGGAGTGTGTTTTGAAACGAGATTTTCGCTTTGTTTTGTCGAATTCTTTGCTGGGGACAAAAATGGTGCGGAGAAAGTGGAAGGTTTATGCGTTTTGCTCCGTTTCTTGTCAGCACTTCATCCAGTTATTCTTTGCTCTCGTCTTTGGAGAGGAATGGGTCGATAGGCGGTGTGCAATCAGCTGAAGGCTAATTTTGGAATATAAAAAATGATAGATAAGGAGCTGATATTAAGCATGGCTAAAGTTAGTAAGGGGGTCTTTAAAGATTGGAGTTTTTCTGATAACAGGACTAGATTTAGAGGATTATAAGTTGGATATTATAGTGAGGAACTTCTGATATTTTTGTATTAGGTTGATGCAAAAGGAATTGCGGATTTTTTAATTTATTCGTATTTTTTTATAGGATAGCTCAATTCAAAAATGGAAAAAAGTATATAGTAGTAAATTTTAAGAGGATTTTTTCTGTATATGTGCTATTCTTATAAAAGTTATCAAACGTTACCATAAGTTACCACGAAAGTACCCTAAACATGTTAGTATATTTTAAACCAATTTTTTACATATTGTTTTGCGGCTTTATCCATTTTTGAAAATATTTTGATAAAATACGTTATATTCTATCAAAAAACAAAAAAAAACCCCATTTTTGGCAAAGCGTTAAAACGCTATCCCAAAAATTCAAATTTCAGCAAATTTTACAAATCGTGTCATATCTTTTTTTAATAAGTCCAAAATAAAAAATTCTTTTTGCTTTCGATTAGTAACAACATTTTTAAGATTTTTGTGACAAAAAACATCAAAATCAAAAAAATTTATTTTTTTGACATTTTTTGACCAAAAAATAAAATTCAAGATTTTGATGTCTTTTTTTCACGAAAGCCTTAAAAATGTTGTTACTAATCGAAAGCAAAAAGAATTTTTTATTTTGGACTTATTAAAAAAAGATATGACACGATTTGTAAAATTTGCTGAAATTTGAATTTTTGGGATAGCGTTTTAACGCTTTGCCAAAAATGGGGTTTTTTTTTGTTTTTTGATAGAATATAACGTATTTTATCAAAATATTTTCAAAAATGGATAAAGCCGCAAAACAATATGTAAAAAATTGGTTTAAAATATACTAACATGTTTAGGGTACTTTCGTGGTAACTTATGGTAACGTTTGATAACTTTTATAAGAATAGCACATATACAGAAAAAATCCTCTTAAAATTTACTACTATATACTTTTTTCCATTTTTGAATTGAGCTATCCTATAAAAAAATACGAATAAATTAAAAAATCCGCAATTCCTTTTGCATCAACCTAATGGTTGATTTTGACACAATTTTTTTTACAGGAAAGTACTTCTATGGGGTATGGAGTTACAGGCCGAGTCTTATATCAAAAAAATCGCAAAATTTTTTTGATTCAGAATTTGTAAAAATTAGCTGCCTAATTTTGGTTTGTAAGGGTGAAAAATCCTCAGAACTTTTCTCGGAACACCATGGAAATGCCTTTTTGACAAAGTTTTTACCAAATCAAAGGCTTTGTTTTAAGCTAAAGTGAACCCTGGGATCTTGACAAGCCTTAAAATATCAAATTTGATTAATAGTACACCTTAATTAGAAGTTCCAATATAAAAAAGGGGAATTTGTGTGGTGTTGCGAGAAAAGTTCTGAGGATTTTTTCACCCTGACAAACCAAAATTAGGCAGCTAATTTTCACATATTCTGAATCAGGAAAATGTTACGATTTTTTTGATATATGTCTTGACCTGTAACTTCACACCCCATAGAAGTACTTTCCTTGTCAAAAAAGGACGTTTCATCCTCGTTTCTTAATTATTAGATCCCAAAGTTGTTTTTGATAAATTAATTTTCCTTTTTCTTTTCAAAAATTTATATTATTCATCAATTATCTTACCCCTCTCTCTCTTCAGAACGAGCCCTCGTCATCTGATGTCTCTGTAGGATCGGCCAATTCCAACGGACCAGGTCCCATCAGAAACAGAAGACTCCTCCACACCCATCGCAACACCCCCAGCCTTCCCCGCTTCTCAGAGCGCCTCCTCCAAACCTACGAAATCCGCAGTCGCCTGTTGGCCGACTTGTCCGCACTGAACAGCAGCACCTCATCGACCTCCACTTCTTCCACGACCTCAACCAGGACGTCGTCGAGTAAACGTCGTCACACCGACTCCGATTCTCTTGATTCCCCCGGTCAGCCACAAGTCAAGAACAGGTATGGGCTTTGAGTATTATTTGTGTTGTTTTTAGGTATCAAATTGAGAATTTACTACTGACTTTGAGGGAAACAGTCGTATTTTTAATGATGTTATATGGGATATGCTTTTTTACTAATTGCGATGTTTTTAATAGCCAAGTGGACTCAAGGGCTGCAAAAAGTTATATTGCACTAGATTAAAAATTAATTTTTTGTCAAAAAAATGTGTCCAAGATGACTTTTTTCACCAAAAAATAACTTCTGAGGAGTTTGCGACTGTAATAACACCATTTGCATGCCAGCCGGGCCTAAAATTTATATTACACTAGATGTATCTGGAAATTTTGTTATGATTTGTCTTATATTTTTCAAAAAAAAAAATATTTATTACACTACGCCTTATTTCTGCAAGTGTTTAGACGTATTGAAAGTGAAGGTTGCAGACTTTTTCTTTATTTCTTCCTTCAAAAAATCTCTGCCGACCTTCACAGATTTTGAGTAATGTTTTTTCTTTCGCCTTTGTTTTCTATTCGTTTCACTTTTTTCGGCTCTTTTCTCGAACAACTTTTGTGATGGTAAAAAGAGAACGCTTGAAACTGTTGACAGTTCTCTTGGGTCAAAGTCTAACCCTTGGAAGAGATAAAATGAAAAGATTTTGGATAAAGTTTGGGTAAATCGGATCAAAGGAATCGTTTTGAAGAGTCAAATTTGACTTGATAAATGACCCAGGAGCTGAATTAAATTTAATTTTTTTTATTTTTACTTAAACATTTGTCAAAAATTATATTATACTAGGTAATAAGTAAAAAAATGTCAATTTTGGTATTTTAATAGGATTTTGAGTCGCTTTAACCTTTTTTTCTGCTCTAGTTTAACCCTTAATACCATTAAAACGAAGGCAGGCCGGTTCTAAAGTACATAAAGAGCAATAAAATCAGGTGCACTTTTAAACCACGGGATTTCTCCGCGGAATTAAGAGTCAGAAAATAGAAGACCTTTCCTAATAAATTCATGAGTTTGGGCTCAAATGGCTCGGCTTTTTCGAGTGAGCGCAGAGAGGGCATATTTTTGGATTTGGTACATGCCACGAGGAGGATCCTCGTGCAAATGGCGTGTTTTGTGGTTTTTATAGCAGAAGGCAGAGGAAATGATGATTTTGAAGGAGCTAGAGGAGATTTGGGGAGCTTTGACGAGAGCTTTCATATTACTTTAAGTACAAGGTTGAGGTTTAGGAAGGTTTTTTAGAGATTTCGAATGTATGTTCTTTCAAGTATGCTAAAAATGTTTTTTCGAAGCTTCAAGCGCTGTATTGGGGTTCGAAATTCCAAAGAATGTTGAACTCTGTGGGTTCTGGCCTCAGGGCAAATTGACACCCAGGTCCCATTGTCGCGTCCCGAGGTTATTTTTGCACGCCTCGAAATCAGGTGCGAGGTCCTTACGGAGCAGAAAAAAAAGCGAAAAATATAACACGCGACTGATTATTTTCGCCCTCCGCTGCCCCACCAATCCCTCGTTTCATGTGATTCCAGCGGCACGGACTGCCACTCTCAGGTCAATGAGAAGGAAGGGAAAAAAAGAGTGAGGGCTGAGCGAAAGGAACGAAGCAAAGGAAAGGGGAGAAAGTTGGGAAGGACGTCGCCCCGTCTTACTTGACTCGAGCTCTACACGGGTTTTACAAGTTCAACACATCTGTTTTTTGCTTGTTTTCTCCGGGATTTGTGGGTTTTGGCCCGAAAGGTGAGCGCTTTCTCCGATTGTCCTCCGCTCGATCTGACTCTTGACCTAACTGTTCCTTCGGTTTTATTTCGATCGGATTACTGTAGATCTTCGATTCGGAAAAGGTCCTCGATTCATCGGCGTTATCATATTGTACTGTCAGACTAAAAAAGTTGTGTGAAAGAAGTGTTTATTGTTTTTCTTTCTCGTTAAACCGGTTCCTCGTTTTTGTGACGGTAGGCTGCTCTCGGTTTTATGAACTTCTTGCGCAGGCTTCGAGCTGCTATATAGAGTAGATGTTTTTTACAGATTTTTGACAAGGAAAGTACTTCTATGGGGTATGGAGTTACAGGTCAAGACATATACCAAAAAATTTTTTTTTGATATATGTCTTGACCTGTAATTTCATACCCCATAGAAGTACTTTCCTTGCGAAAAGTTTTGTCGATTTCTAATAGAAAAACCGCTTAGACCATAGTCAAAAAATCTTGTCTTATCAAGATTTTTTGACTATGCTCTCTGTTTGCTTCTTCCATTTTTCGATTTGTTTTGTAAGTAAAGTTTTTTGTTCGGAAAAATTTTGTTAGTCGAAACATGAAGTCCCCTCCTTTACGTAGGTTTTCTGGAGTGTCTAGTCCAGAACAAAGTTCTTTTTTGGTTTTTGACAAATTTTGTTTCCGTGTTCGGACCTTCCCCTTCAGCGGTGAATATGGAACGACCTTTTTGGCCTCTTTACGTGAAATTTTTTGGGCGGCCGAAAGAGGAAATGACCCAAATTTACGCCGAAGCCGAAACATGGCCAGTGTCTCTCATTTTGGCCTTAGGGCTTTAATCGTTTTACAAGTTTAGTTGAGAAAAGCAAAAAATCGGACCCGAGTCGCTTTTTTCTCTCCTTTTTTTATCACGTGTGCTCCCCTTTCCGCCTCTGGTTCTCTCCCTTCACTCTTGTTGTTCTCGGTCTCTCCGAGAAGCGAAATTTGCAGGCCAAGTCATACGAGATGAAAATACGAACAATAACAAGATTGGTGATATTACTTTAGATATATTCGTTGTAATCTCAATAATTGTTGTTGTTTGCGCAGGGAAAACAGGTGATTTTTTAGTTCGAAGTCAACAATTTTTGGTTTAGTGTGCTCCAAACAAGAAGTAGAGGAATTTTTTTTTGGTCAAAGAAATGTTGATAATGGTGTTTTCCACTGAAATAGGTTAATACGACTAGTCAGTAAAGCGTATAAATCCCCCCACGAATGATTGATCTGACTGGTTCTTGGTTGTTTTTTTATGCGAAGGCAGCTGATTTGAACATACGGTGGGCTAGTGTAATATAAAAAGTATCATTTTTGTCGGGCTTTGAGGGGCAAATAGTTTGCATGCAGTGTTTTAAGGCCACAGCGATTATTTTTAAGAGGATTTTTTAGATTTTTTGACGATAAATGGGCGTTTTAGTTTTTATATTATACTTGAAGATGAGATTTTAATTTTTCGATTTTTGAGTAGAGTCTAGACTCAAAATTTTTTTTGCAGGCGGATGCAAGTTGGCAACGGCCCGAACTCCCAGTCCCAGCAGTCGCCCGCCTACGCAAAATCCGTCGCCGACCGAATCAAAGGCATCAACCTCAATGACTCCGCCCGCCACAGACTAGCCGAGCCGGAACTGATCCTGGACGGCGTCCTGGATGGACCCGACAGCCTCCTGACCACCGTCCAGCTCGCCAATGGCAATGGGGTGGACCGTGTGGAACACCTCAAAAAGGGCAAAAATTCGACCGCCAACAGCCTGATGAACAACAAGGCGAAGAAGCCCAGTCCAGAACCTGTACAGCTAAACGACTTTCAGAAAAATGCGATCCGCATCATTGGACAGTATCTGAACGAACTTGGGCTAAAGTAAGACCTTTTTTTATATTGCACTTGTTTTTTAGGTAATAAAGATGAGAGAAGGAACTAAAATAACATGATTTTAGTAGTACCGCCGAAACACTGGTCGACGAGTCCGGTTGTCGCGTGGAAAACCCTCTGGCGGCGAGAATCCGTAACCAGATCTCTCAAAGGCAATGGCTAAAGGCTCTAGAGACCCTGGACCGCCTCCGACCTCAGCTCACTGAGTGGGCCTACCTTCAGACACGGGTGCTTGTCATCGAAGAACGGATAAAGGAACTTTTGGCGGGGAATGAGGTAAGATTTGGATGGTATTACGAGAATTTTTGGAATTGCTTATATTACACTAGGCGAAATTTAATAATTTACTAAATTTGGAGGATTTTATGCTGATTTTTTTTGGAAAACAAGTTTGTAGAACAATATAATTTTAATTATGACAATTTTAGACGCTGGCCGCCCTCGAAACCCTTCAATACGACTACCCAGACGAGCCACAATTCCGCCATCGGCGCGAATTCTACAGTACTTTGTTATTCCGCAACCCCGCAGAGGTGATGGAAGTCTTTGAAGGACACCAAGACTCGGTCTCTCAAGCCCTCGAGGCATTACACAAAATCCTGCCAAGTCATATTCTCCTACCTCCAAGTCGCTTCAAAAATTTGGTGGATCAAGGTGAGGATAATATAAAATTTTTGCGATTTGATGGGTAAATTGAATAACAAGCGCTTGTTACAGCATGTCTATTCCAAAAGGATCAGTGCGACCTACATGTGGAATCGGATTTAACCAGCGCCGACCCTTCGGAATTTGTTTTACGGGATCATTGTTGTTCATGTTCGGGTTTGCCAACTAAGTGTCTACAGGTGAGATGGGGTATTTTATTGATAACTTTGGTTATTTGGAGTTAATTTAAGGCGGGGTTGCATTATTTATTTATCTTTTTATGTTACCCATGATAATTTTTTTCTTGATCCTTGATTTTCAGGTCCTCACCGAACCGAAAACCGAAGTCTGGTCGGTCCAATTCTCCCCGTGTGGCCTTTATCTCGCCGCCGGAGCCAGAACCAACCAAGTCCTAGTGTATAGTACCAAAAACATCCTCGAGCCCAGCTTCTTCCTGTATAAACGACTGCATATCCCCAGAGAAATCAAAGGAATCGCGAGTATAAGCTTTTCCGGAGACAGCAAACTGGTCGCCGTGACGGCAACCACCGAATCCTCCAGTACGGGCGTTTATGTTTTCAACCTGGACTCGGGATGCCTAAAAACGGATATAAAACCAACTCCACATGACTTCAGCTATTCGTCCGCCGAGTTTTTCCGAACGGATTCACGTCGGTTGGTCTGTGCCGGACTTCATGGGAACTTTGAATGCCATGTAAGTAGTTAAAATTTATTTATTTTTTTTGTGTTTAGGTATATTGCAGTAGATTTTGGATACTGAAATTGAATGAGGCTATGGTTGGTTTCTGAACTGGTGTGGTCTAATATTTCATTTAGACACCTTTTTTTGTTATTGTAGAAAGTTTGAGATTAAAAATTTTCCTAATTTATTTTCAACCTAGTATAATATAAATTTAGGACCTGAACAAGGAAATACCGATCCAATCCTTCACCGGCTTCCGCATCAAATGCCTTACGACCCTGAAGGACGGCTACACGGTCCTAGCGGCCGACTCTCACAACCGCATCCGCCAATACAACTTCCTCTCCATGACCGAGCAGACCCTCTTCAAGGAAGCGTCGGAGATCATGAGCTTCACGGTCGATCCCACCGAATCCTTCTGCCTGGTCACCTCAAAAGAAACCGGTCTCAGGTTGTGGTGCCTAAAAACACGACAGCATTTGGTAACATTTACGGGAACTTTGCACAATGACTTTGTAATCCAATCATCGTTTGGTGGGAGGAAGGCCGAATTCGTGGCCAGTGGATCTCAAGGTGGGTGTTTTGGATTGTTTTTGTTCGGTTTTTAGAGAAAGGATCATAGAAAAACTGCTGTTGGAAGAATGGGAATAAGAGATTGATTTTCAGACGGAAAATTCCTCATCTATAACCGCCGTTCTGCCGAACCAGTCCACGAAATCCAAAGCCATCGGGGATCGAGTGTGAATTCGGTTGTCTGGAACCCAGTGAATCCCAATATCATCGCCACTGGTGGGGATGACGGCACAGTCCAAGTATGGGTCCCAGACGTCCTCTGGCGTCGGCAGAAGCGACGAAGAAGCGGCCTAAACTCCAGCGTCTCATTACAATCGTTGGATTGATAAGATTTTAATTAAGAATCGATTTTCTTTCTCCTTTTTTCAAATTTTATGTTGTTTTATTAAGAAGGGACAGTAATCTTGGCGTGCTAACAAGATCCAGCAAATTTTTTTGGTCATTTAATGACCTTTTTTATATTGTTCATGGTCAAAAAGAGATGCCAAGATTATTTGACCCAATCTTGTCTTCATTTCTCTCTGTTTTTCATAAAATTTGTGCGGGTTCCAAAGCCGAAAACGGACTCAGTCACGGAGTATTCATCTCTTTGTTGTACTATCCCCTCCCTTCCCTCCCCCAACCCCCCGAAACCTCTGCTTTTATCGGTAATTGTTAATAATATAAAATTGTTCTTCAGACGGGCAACTCCTGAAATTTCAAGTGCGTTTTTCAAACTCTCATCCCGAAACTCTTTCCTGTGTCGTTTGTTGTGCCCACCGACATGTTTGACCTTGTTTTAGACCAACAATTTACAAAAAATTTCACAATTTTGGAAGACTTTTTTTAAGATTTCTAAAACGAGGTCCGAATGTCGCGCACACTCTTAGATTCCGGTTAAACTCCACCACCGAGAATGAAATCCTATCCGGACATCATTTTTTCATCCCCAATCTGGTCTTACACTAGCAATAATTTGTGCAAGATGTCGTCTGTACAATGTAACATCTGAAATCTAGTACAATTTCAAATGTCTGTCATCGTTTGAAGGATCATGCCAAACGGGATAATCCAACCATTCAGAATGTAACTCCAGGCCATTGGCGATGTCTGAACAGTGTTTACCGGTACTTTCGTATATATCTATCTTGAACACTGCAACAATTATATTGTCGTCACGAGTGTTCATCTCCATATGTATATAGGTTCAGTTGAGTAATAAACTTTTCACATGTTTTTGGGGCTCTATTTCGTATTTGCGGAGCAAGATTGGCCAGCAGAAAGCAAGAATTGGAGAATGGACGTCAAGTATAATATATTGGATCCTCGCGGGCTCGAATTTTCGAAGGGAACAAAGACTAAAAGAACTGAAATAGCAAAGAAGCACTTACCGAGTAGAGAGCACGCGCTTTTTCGACAGAATTATCGGAAAATTTTTTAACACGGGCTCGCCCATTGCGTCCCACCACGAAAACGCTCAACGTCTGAGATAAAAGACCACGGACTGGCAATTGGTCGCTTTTTGCTCCATCTTTGTGCTTTTTACCGAAAAAACTTTGATTTTACAGTCCGAAACGGGTGATATCGAATAATAAAACTGGTCCGTGCTCTAGCCCATCTAGTATAATATATTTGTTTGTGGTGTTTCAGCGTGCAGCATGACTTCCGCCGCGATCGATGTAAACCAGAGCATCACCGGCCAAAAGACGGCCGCCATCCGTAACTACACCACTCAACCGCGTCTGAGTAGGTTGACTTGCTTTCTGCCTTTGTTGTTTTAGGTACCAAGATATTGGTATTGTGAAATTGGGCGATGTAGACGGATTTTTGGTGGCCAGCCATACCTCTTGTCAATGGCTGTGGCCTCCCCAATCTTTTTTTGATCTCTCGAGCTAGATTAAAAAATTTTGGCGCTGTTAAAATTTTTTTTGTTATACTCTGTCGAGTATAAGGTTAGGTAATTTAAAGTTTGTAAATGTTGGCATTCAGAAATCGTATTGCCAACTTGTGGTGGCTACATAGTCTAATGTCCAAAAAATATTGGGAGGGTTCGATTTTCGAATGATTTTTATATTGTACTAGGTATTAGATTCAAAAATAGATGAGAAAAATTTGCAAAAAAAAATTAATTTTTGTATAAGACCTGTTCTTTTTTAGCTTACAAGACTGTTACTGGTGTAAACGGCCCTTTGGTTATCTTGGATGATGTGAAGTTCCCTCAATTTGCTGAGATTGTCGCCTTGACCTTGCCCGATGGAACCAAGCGTTCCGGCCAGGTTCTTGAGGTCACCAAGACCAAGGCTGTTGTCCAGGTGTTCGAAGGCACCGCCGGAATTGACGCCAAGCACACTATTTGCGAATTCACTGGAGATATTTTGAGAACGCCCGTCTCCGAAGACATGTTGGGAAGAATCTTCAATGGATCCGGAAAGCCCATCGATAAAGGACCACCAGTTTTGGCCGAGGACTTCTTGGATATCAACGGACAACCGATCAACCCATGGAGTCGTATCTATCCCGAGGAAATGATCCAGACTGGAATTTCGGCCATCGATGTGATGAACTCTATCGCTCGTGGACAAAAGATCCCTATTTTCTCGGCCGCCGGTCTGCCACACAATGAAGTAAGTTAAAGTTTATGGCTGATAAGAGTTTATAAGAATTTAGACGATGCAGTTTGACTAGGTTTTTTGTTGTTTTTGTTTTATATTATACATGACGTTTCAGATCGCCGCCCAGATTGTACGTCAAGGCGGTCTTGTCCAGCTTCCGGATCGTCAACACGAGGAAGGAGATGACAACTTTGCCATCGTGTTCGCAGCTATGGGAGTCAACATGGAGACTGCTCGTTTCTTCAAACAGGATTTCGAAGAGAACGGATCCATGGAAAATGTATGCCTGTTCCTCAACTTGGCTAACGATCCTACGTAAGTGTTTTTATTTTCTTTTTCTGACTTTAGATTGTCCATAAGATTCAATATCTCGGATATCAGAGGCTCACTGAAAATGAAATTATTTTTTCCATTTCAGTATTGAGCGTATTATCACTCCTCGTTTGGCCCTCACCGCCGCCGAATTCTTGGCCTATCAATGCCAGAAGCACGTCCTGGTCGTGTTGACCGACATGTCCTCGTACGCCGAAGCTCTTCGTGAGGTGTCCGCCGCTCGTGAAGAAGTCCCCGGTCGTCGTGGTTTCCCAGGTTACATGTACACTGATTTGGCCACCATTTACGAGCGTGCCGGTCGTGTCGAAGGAAGAAAGGGATCCATCACTCAGATTCCTATCTTGACTATGCCCAACGATGGTGAGTTTTGAGATTTTGAGATTTTTTGTGATCTTATAGAAGGTTGGATGATGGGGAAATGAGTTTTTTGGTTTTTTGAGGGATTTTTGGGTTATAGATGGTACTATTGATATCTAATTTTTTGTTTTTTTCAGATATTACCCATCCAATTCCCGACTTGACTGGCTACATTACCGAGGGACAGATCTACGTCGACCGTCAGCTCTACAACAGACAGATCTACCCACCAATCAACGTACTTCCCTCTCTTTCTCGTCTCATGAAGTCCGCCATTGGCGAGGGAATGACCCGCGAAGACCATTCGGACGTCTCCAACCAGCTGTACGCTTGTTATGCCATCGGAAAAGACGTCCAAGCCATGAAAGCCGTCGTCGGAGAGGAGGCCCTCTCATCCGACGATCTTCTCTACCTCGAATTCTTGACCAAATTCGAGAAGAACTTCATCGCCCAAGGCAACTACGAGAACCGAACAGTGTTCGAATCGCTGGACATTGGCTGGCAACTGCTTCGTATCTTCCCCCGAGAGATGCTGAAACGTATCCCGGCCAAGACCCTCGACAAATACTACCCAAGAGGAGGCGCCACCGCCCAAAAAGAGAACTAAAGATTTTTTTGTCTGTCTAGTCGACCCCCCGACTAGATACCCCCACAAATTCACTTAATAAATGTAGATTCTGCTACTTTGATCCGCTCGCCCGTTCTCTCTCTCTCTTCGTGGTCATTCCCTTCGGCTCTGTTTGATATTATCCATGTCCAAAATAGGTTTCTAACGTCTTGTTTTTGACCCCCAAAACCGCTGCGTTCCCCCCTCTCCCCACCACTTACGTTGTCTATAAACTAAGTTAAATAGCTTAGAAGCCCCCCAGATTTTTACTCGCTTCAATTGAAATTCTGTGATTTTTTAGCAATCTTTGAATATTTTCAGTTATTTTTTAGAGAAGAGTTTATAAATAAAGTAAAGCGATAAGTTAAGGGATTTTTTGAGGTAAAAAAATTTTAGTGCCTTACAAGGGCTCGGCAAAACCTCGTCCCCTGGTTTTATCTTGAAACATATACCATTCGAAAGAGCGTAAAAAACTGGTCTGGGATCACCTTGAATTAGCTGCTATTATCCACTTACGGGCTGGCTAGCGGGCATTTTTTAAAATTTCCAAGTTGGATTTTGGAACTCTTTCCTTCTGAGACGTGAACGAGATCGAATAATCACTTTTCATATAAATATTAGTCATTTATGAGGTTGAAGCTTCAACCTATGTCAAAAAATACAAAAGCTTTTCTGAGTTTGAGACATTCAGGTTGATGTACTCAATGAGTGATTGCGCGATGTTTTAGGTCCTGTAACTCAAGACAAACGAAGATGTTCCAAACATGTATGATGTTTTCAGACTCAATTTTTACGTACTTTCCGTTAGCGGGCATTCCTAGTAAAAATATGAAAGCCTTCGAAAGTTTCAACCACCCAGGATGTCCCACTACAAGGTCAAAGAGGCCAAAATAAAAAAAAAACGAAAAAGTTGTAGTTTTTTCTTTTAAAATGAACCTGAGAATACACAAAAGTCTAGTCAAAAATTAAACATAACTTTCTGACTCTATTTGTTCCATATTAGCCAGAAAAATTCAAAAGAGGATTCGAACCCGCTTCGCAGGTCCTTGAGCAGCGCCTTTCCCCACTAGGCCACCGAAGCACTGCTTCGGTTTGCTTTTGAAACCAATCGCGTTTGTTTTGTCAAATGAAGGGTGAGACTAGCCTAGAACTAAAAAATTCTCGCTAGCCAGCGCGTAAGTGGATAATAGCAGCTAATAAAAGTCGCTTCTAGACCAGTTTTTTACGCTCTTTCAAATGGTATATGTTTCAAGAAAAAACCAGGGGACGAGGTTTTGCCGAGCCCTTGTTAGGGAAAATTTATGGAAAAACGAAACATAAAATTTCGCTGTAAATACGATATGTAATTTATTATAAATATTTTTTAAAATGTTACAGTAACCGTTCTATACATTTAAACATCGATTTAGCCAGTAAATCGCGTTTTGTTCGTTGCTTTGAGATGTTTTGTTGAGCACTGTTCGATCATCTCCACCTTGCCGCCGACCTCTTTGAACACGGTGATCGTCGCTTGGCCTGGGTAAACATCCTTATGCGCGAGGTTCCAAATCACTGACGCTATCGAAGAGTCATGTCCAACAAACACGATATTTCCTTTCCTGATGTCGCGAAGTAAGTCGACAGTTTTAGAGACTCGTTCGTCACAGCCACTGAAGTTCATTGGCTCTCGGGGCAAAGGCAGTTGAACGACTGGTCGATAGGTGGCGTCGATCTTGGGGAAACGTTTCTTCAGTTCTTGGAGAGTCCGGAATCCCGGAGGGTTATCGCAGAGGACGAGACTCTGAAAGAATAGGGAGAAATTATCAAAAAATTATATTATACTTGATATTAGATGCAAAATTTTACAAAATGTTTCATATAAGTGTGAGAAATAGCTCAAGCCGATACTAAATGTACACTCCATTTCAAAATAATAGACACGCCTACAAAATTTTCAATTGCGGTGTCGGGGTTCAGTTGACGGATACGAAACCTTAACAGGTTGAAAGAGGAGGTTTGAAAACCTAAACCTACAAATAAATTTTCTCATTGCACTGTAATTGCACTACTACACAAAAGATTTTCCAAATTTTGGGTGTTTCAAAATGATAGACACGGCTGCTGTTTTTGCTAAAAACTTGGGAATATGGGCCCCATAGGGCCTGAAATTTTTAGCATGACTGTATTGCAACTGTCTGGACTTAACTGAGCTCAAAAAGCCCAAATTTTTATGCAATTGTCCCGGGATTGCACATATACCTCCATTTTGTGCAATCTGGCCTGCATCTGTCAGAAGTCCACTTTCCATGGGCACAGACAGTACAGATGCGACCTATGGTATGTAATGGAGTAGATCCAGTCAGTTTTCCCCAGTATGCGACAAAAAAATGGGTGGCATTTGCAACAAAAACTGCTTCCGCTGCGACATAGTCAGCTTTGAAGGCTACCCTACGTTTCGAAACAAGCTAGATGCGAAGAAAAACTTCTTGGCTGGAATGTTTAGGTTTTTGCAAATACGTTTAGCACGGTAGCATGTGCAGTATTGCTTCAGCAGGTCCGCAGTGCACCATTCTTTTGTGAATCTATGCGAAATAGGCTTAAAAATGGGTCAAAAAGGGCTTTTTGGAAACTTGACGTTTTTTGGCGTTGGCCCGACTGAACCTGGACATAAGGATTATGTAATAACGTTTGTATGTGGTTTTTCAAGATAGTTCAGAGCTTTTTTGGTTGTGCAAACCACAGGCACCCGCTTGAGAAGCTTTAAAAGTGACGACTTTCGCTGCGGAATCAGTTTTCGTTGCAATTTCCACGCATTTTTGTGTTGCATACTGGTGAAAACTGACTGGATCTACTCCATTACATACCATAGGTCGCATCTGCACTGTCTGTGCCCATGGAAAGTGGACTTCTGACAGATGCAGGCCAGATTGCACAAAATGGAGGTATATGTGCAATCCCGGGACAATTGCATAAAAATTTGGGCTTTTTGAGCTCAGTTAAGTCCATACAGTTGCAATACAGTCATGCTAAAAATTTCAGGCCCTATGGGGCCCATATTCCCAAGTTTTTAGCAAAAATAGCAGCCGTGTCTATCATTTTGAAACACCCAAAATTTGGAAAATCTTTTGTGTAAAGTGCAATTACAGTGCAATGAGAAAATTTATTTGTATGTGTAGGTTTTCAAACCTCCTCTTTCAACCTGTTAAGGTTTCGTATCCGTCAACTGAACCCCGACACCGCAATTGAAAATTTTATAGGCGTGTCTATCATTTTGAAATGGAGTGTATTTATAAGATATTAGGTTGATTCAAAAGTTTTTCCACATGTCTTTAAAAAATTTTAAAAAATTTAGACCAAAGCCAGTGGGCCTGATATATATCTTGTTAGAAAGAGGGCTGTTTGTAGATTATAGTAGATTAATAACTTTTTACAACTTAGCAATTTGTAGTAGTAGCGCCGTGTTAAACCTTAACTACTCGAAGGAAGAAAAAGTAAACCGCCGGCGTTACGTCTAGAGTGGCTGTATCTTCTTAATATTCTAGAATATGGTATGCCTGTATGTAATCTCTATGGCATCGAGGACAATTTGCTATAGGGCTAGTCGAAAAATTTTTAGTGCGAAAAATCAAAAATTAGGGTCTGGCAAAAGTAGACCCTGTAGACGCAGCTATTAGAAGCACTAAGAGATAACGCTTTCTGTTATTGTAGTGTATGAGTAGCACTACAACGCCAATGCTAAACATTCGCGCTAGCTTTAGCTATGCGGCAGAAAAATCGAATCTTTCTAATCTACCAATATTTTACAAAAGTTAGGGGATTTTTACAAAAACGTTTTCTGTTCATTATTCTCGCCCGGTATTCTAGTTATTTAATAAATAATTGATCCTACATGACATACACTATCAGTTGCTAGACGCGCTAAGCTGAAGGTCCTCTTGCCATACCAGTAAAAAAATTACAAAAATTCGCCTAAAAGTGCAGTTTATGCTACTTTTCTACCTTATAAGGCAATTTCAGTTGGTGACTTTTTGAATGTATCATCAGCATACTGTCTTTGTACAACCTGAATGGCAGCCGAGTCAAAAAAGTCTAACTCCTTTCAAAAAATTTTTAAAAATCTGCTTTTGATCGGTAGCTCGGCTCTTCGGCCAACTTTATGGGATGCTACAAAAAACGTCAGTGTAGATATAGGTAGAGCAATAAATTCAGAAGAAACTACAGCCATCCCCAGTACGAATAACCCAAAACCCGAGACTTTTTAGTGGGCTGGAAAATTGCTAGGGCCCGGGATATTCACCATGACACAAACGGAGAAATTTTTAGTATTTTTGAAATATTCTGAAAGGAAGCTTGTAGAAAATAAAATGCTACGAATCAAAAATTTTGCAATGTTCTGCCCCATACATCTATGCTTTCAGTTTTAACGTAGATTCAATCAGGCTCCAGGAATTTTATTTTGAAGTGTCATAAAAAAATGTGGAAAAACTTTTGAATCAACCTAATACAAAACATCATTTTCTTCCCTACAAGAGCTATAAAACGACCGAAAAACGCCTTAACGGCCGCTACAACACAATGCCAGAAATGGCGGGAATTTAAAAAAATTTGAAGTTTTAATAGCCAAATTACTTTCATTAAGCTCAGCGTGACCTAAGATTCTCATAAATGACATAAATAGACTAGAAATATGGAAACTGAAGCCAAAATTATATAAATCATGACATCAGATGTAATTGTTTTACAAAAGTGGATTGTAAAATAAAAAATTGTTTACCTCACACATCCCTGGTTCCACAAGAATATTTATGTTCTTGTCTCCAACCAAAATTGAAGCGGTTTCAATGGCTCTGTCAAATGGGGAAACGAAAATTGCTTCAATATCTTTGTCGGCGAAACTGAAAATAACATGGAAGCGCGTATTTTACAAATCTTCAAATTGTGACCTACTATGCTCTGAGATCCTCGGCTTGTAATCGTCCCTTGGCCGAGAGTGGAGGATTATCATGGGAATCGCCGGGCGCAGGTCGCCAATTTCGGTTAATGTTATCTTCACGTTCGGCGTGCCGAATGGCATAAATATAACGAGCTGTCTGTGAGATCATCGTCGTGAAAGCTCTGGAATTCAACGGCAATTTATTATATTATGGATGGGTCTATGATTTGGACAAAAGTTGCACGAATTTTTTTTAAAAACAGGGATAAAATATAAAAAAATGTAAATATACGGACAAAAACGGAAATACAGTTGGCTAAAAATGCCCATAAGCAGAAGGACATGCTCCTATTTTTGATAATTGGATAATTTTCTACACTTACCCAATACTCAGTGCATACTAAAATGCGAGGAAACCGACCGTTCGAGGATGGAAAAAGAATGACATTTTACAAAAAATAGAGGCTACAGCGAAGTGTAAATTTGGAGCCCTTTACAAAGTTTTGTATACTCCCGGACATAAATTTCTGACCACCCATATCTCAAGTCAATATAACGCAATCGCTTTGAAACTTGGCATGTATACTAGCCATGACAGACAGAATGTGCCACATAAAATTGTTTTTCGTGTCTCTGTCCTTAGGCGAGTTATGCAGGTTTTTTCAAAAATTGGTGGACAACACTCTCTGATCACCTAAAATAACTAAAGTTTTCTCAGTCTCCTTGAGTAAGCGACATGGTTCAGTTATCTTCGAACACTATTAAGGGACCTACAAGGACGATGGGTATGCTTTTTACCACCAAATTCGGCGTGTGCCCTCAAGCAACTCGTATTCTTGCAGCGCTCTTTTTCTCGTTAAAATCACGCCTTATGCGGCAAGGACGACTTTTTTGTTTCAGAAAAAGTAATAAGGAACTCATTGGAGGTAGTGATACAAGATCTTACTACCCTCCAATGTGAAATATGCCATTAACGCCTTAAGTAAATCGCCTAGGAGTAGCCGATCTTTGAATAATTGATCATAACCGCAGGCGTTTTTATTAAATCAGTCTAGAAATCCCCTACAATACTCTTTGTTGAATACTAAAGAACGTGGGATAGCAATCTCCCGTTATCTTCGCATTTCGTGCGCACACTAACGCAAAAGTCCAAAAAAACGCAACTTTTCCGATTTTGTAATTACAAAATGGTCAGAATTTGCCAAAAAATCCTCAAGTTTGCGTTATCGCGTAATTTCACCCCCAAATTTCATGAGGCCGGGTCAGCACTAATATAACCTTATTCTTCATTGTGTAGGGCTAAGCCATGTTTAATTTCAACCAGTTTGGGCTGATTCTGAAAAAGTTACAGGCCGCTAAAGTCCGGCCGGCTGGTCAGTTTTGTAATGATTTTGCACATGCTTGATGAAATCCTTAACATCCCTCGGTATGATGGACGGAGATTGACCATGTGTGATCAATTACATAATCCTGTGCGTTTTTTACCCTTCTAGCCCACCTCGAGCCGTCGTATACTAACAAAATCGCGTAATGCGCAGGATGCACAACCCCTTGCGACGTATGTTACTACTTCTCGATTTTTTGCCGTAAATATATGCGGTACGTCTGTGCTATGCAGTATAAGCAGTTTTAGCCCCGTGGCAAACATTTTTCGGCAGTTGCGAACAATTTACCTAAGTGATCAGAAAATTTTGTCCACCCTTTTTTTGAAAATGTCGAAAAAACTGCCCTTAAAGTGCAAGGATGGAAAATTCCGTTTTGCCAAATGTTTTGCACCTCTTCTTGAAAGGGCTGTTAAAATTTGGAACATGTAGCTCAATTAACAGCCCAGCTAAAGGGTGGTCAGAGAGATATGTCCGGGAGTATATTTATCTGCAGTGGGGGACCTAATCCAGTGACTAGAGGTGGCAATCGGGCCGGGCCGGGCCGATTTTTGCGGCCCGGCCCGCGGGCCGAAGTGACCAGGCCGGCCCAGGGCTTTTTCAAATTTGCTCAGGCCCGGCCCGGCCCGGCCCGGTGAAAGCCCAGGCCGGCCCGGCCCTGTTTGGCCCGCTAATACAAAAATATTGGATAAAAGTCTTTGCATTTTCTATTGGAAGTTTTTATGCTTTCCAGAAGGTTTCCACGTGTGTTTAAGTGAAATTAAAACGTCTAGTCGGATGACTGGGACAGCCGAGCAAGTACCTATATAAAACCTAGCCGAAAAATTGGATTGTGTTGAATTTTTTAATCCCATAGGAAGTTAGCTATGTAAATATATGGGCGTTATAAGGTAACATGTTTAATCAAAAACTGCTTAAACACTTTCATTTACTTCAAGGCATCAAATTACAGTGAAATGTTTAGGTTTATCATAAAAAATTCGAAGATTTTCGCCCGACCCTTGCATATTTAGATGGCATTTTACATATACATAATCAGGGATTTTAAAGAGTTTTAAAAGATAGTAAAACAGCATATAGGTCAAAAAGGTTTAATTTAATATCCATGCATCAATTCTGCAAAGCATTTGTGCTTTATTTTGCTGGTTTAATATAAATAAAAATTTTTTTACTTTTCCACCTTCCGGGCCGGGCCGGGCCGAAAGTCGCGGCCCGGCCCGTGGGCCGAAGCGGTCAGGCCGGCCCAGGGCTTTTTCAAATCTGCTCAGGCCCGGCCCGGCCCGGCCCAACCACCGGGCCCGGCCCAGCCCGATTGCCACCTCTACCAGTGACAAAAAAACGTACCATTTTGTATTCGGGAAGTATCAAAAACGTGGCGAAATGCTTCCCTCTCCAAGTGAAAAAAACTCCGATTTCAAAAGTGCGCCCGCTCTTTTTGTGAGGGAAAGGGCGCGCCCTTCAAAACGAAGTTTTTTCACTTGGAGAGGGAGGCATCTTGCCACATTTTTGACGCTTCTCGGGTGCAAAATGGTACGTTGTTTGCCACTGGTACAGGTCCCTTACTGTAGGCTAGACATCAAGTCATGAAAATTCTTGCTGGAGCTTCTTAGAGCCACAAGAGATATTACTGGATCTCTGCCGGCGAGAACGCGAGCGGAATGCGGAGAGCGGTCAGAGAGAATGTGTAAATAAACTTTTCCTATCAGAAAACCCGAAAAATTAAAAAAATTTATCTCCCTTGAAGTGCCAAAGAAGTAAATAGTAATACTAAATTAAAAATTTTTGAGCTCCAAAAGCAAACCGTTAGAAAACAAGCAAATCGAAAATTTTTATGCAAAGGAGAAGGGATTTACATCTCTTGTCACCTTTAATACTCTGCTCTCCTAAATGTATTTTTAAAATCAAGAATTCCAATGTGATTTTTGTAGGGTAAAATTTTGTATTATAGTTTTAGAACATTGTCTACGCTCAACTGCAAAAAATATGAAGCTTTGTAAATTTATGACTCTAGTTAGAAGGTTGCTGCTTACTTTTCTGTTTTATTGTCATCATAAAACGGATTTACAGTGGTACAAGAAGCAGGTGTTGAATTTACCAGAAGTATTGAAATTGGGAATAATAATGAAATAAGAAAATAGCAAGAGAAATAATAGGCCATCTTTAGACAATTTCAAAATCTTAAAAATTTCAAACTGTAGTAAAGTAGAGATCTTTAGGAAGATTTCGTAAGACAACAATCCATATTCGACTACAATTATGTCGGAATATTCGTAAAGAATAGTATTAAAAAATAAGCTTACGTTGACTTAACCTAAATCTATTTTTCTGGGCGGACCTCGATTCAAATGAGGTGCAACCTCATGATCTTAATAAAACTCAAATATAGAGTATGTTACCTAACAATAAGGCATGTACCAGATTTGAGGTTTGCGCTTTGCAGAAAATCCCCCGCAGCTGCCCCTGCAAAGCGGCACCTAAAATTTCGAAATTTGGAGAGTCCTTGCAGACAAAATTTAAAAAACATTACGAAATTTCGAGAAAAAAATCGCCAACAAACAAAGCAAAAAGCCTTTGTCAAAAATTAAAAATATAAAAAAATCGGCTCTAAACTCTCGTCTTTCCTTCCAACCCCTCAAAATTCCGCCAAAAATATGAAACAATCAATTCTGTATCAGACCCTTATTTAAATACTTGATAGTCGCACCCAAAAACGATAAAATAACAAAGAATAACTCATACATACTCGCGTTTCTTGTGGTCTTTCGAAATTTCGCCCTCTTTTGCAGCCGAAAATAAAGAGAAAAAAGAAAAATGGCCGGGAAAGTGTAGTTTAGCGTTCTGCAACTGGAGGGAGGTAGAGAGAAGATGACTAATTGTAAGTTTAGACTCTGCAATATCACTGATCACTGACCAGAGAGATTAAATTGAAATTTAACTGACATAGACTAGTACTATTTGATTAATTTTGTACCATTTAAAAAAAAGTTTTTATGACAATTGTAATCTGTAAATTTTATGACAATATCTCCAGTTTAGTTGGTGATTTCGGTGACATGATGGCTGGCTTTTCCCTTCAGTGGCACATGGACGCGGTCTTGTAATTGGAGCAGGACGGGAATACGCCTGGGATTCAAATTACGGGCCTCCAAATAAATTCTGTAGTTAACACCAGCCACGAATTGTTTTTTAGCAGCGAGCACTTGATGGAGCTTGAGCTTGTCACCGGTTTCCTTTGCATGAATCTGGACGGCCTCCTTGGCAAGCCTCTGAAATCACAGTGGTGTCGAACGGCAGATGGGTACCAAAAAAAGGTTATAGGAAGTGCCTATGAGCCCTGGCAAAGCTTTTGGATGGTCGGCGGAAGCTCGGCGAAGGCTCGGCAAAGACTTGCAATACGTCCACACGTCCACTTTTTCTAATCTTAGCTTTTACTCACATTGTTTTTCCTCACCCTGAGCTATTGTAATATATACAAGACCAAAATTTGCGGCAAAAAACAAAAATCCGTAATATGTAATAATCTGTTCTAGGACCCGGTGAATCGTATTATTTCAACAACTAAGCTAACCAACGCCATAGTATCTTTGACCCAAACTGTCGCTAAAAATCGTAACGCCATTTTGGTAAGGCTAACTAATGCTCAAATCTCGATGCTGTAACTTTCTTTAAATTTAGCACATACGTTGAGCAATCATTAAAAATTTCTTACTGTATGCTTACACATAAGGTGTAGATCTCACAAGCAAAAATTGAAAACGTTTGGGGAATCGTATTTTAAAAATTACCGTTGCTAACCTGCTATTGCTATTATTTTTTTATCATCACAACTTCTGGATCATTTTTAAACTCACCAAAACTTCGGGATCATTCAAATCGACGTCGAAAAATCCACCTGGGATTGGCGATGACTTGTGGGCTGCCAAGGAGCGATGGGCAACCAGCAAGACGACAAGGAGAACAGTAACTTTGACCAACATCTTCAACTGGGGAACAATTTCAGAAAGGTTTCAATTTATACTGTAAATAATGAGAGTGATTATTCAAATATATTCAGGCCAAACTGACAATTGACTGTCAAAATTGCTTCTTTTCTACATTTTGTGGTTTAATTGGGTTTGTTAATATGATGCAATGGGACAATTATGTGTTCTTGATGTTTTAACAAATGTATTAAAGAATGTATTAAAAATATATTCTTGAAAACACAGATTTCTTACATTTTCGAACTTCTCCACAAAAAACGTTCAAGAGCAGAAAAGTTATAGTCAAAAACTGTTTCTTGCCTGCACCATATATCTTATTTCATTGGCTGTCTCAAAGCCAAGATGGTTGAGACTTCGAAATATTATGTATTATACCACTAGATGAGAAACTGCATGCGGAACATTTTGTATGGCAATGTGCCTAATGCTGAATTTTTTAGGACGATATGGGCCATGACAAAGATTTTGTTTGGCAGAGATCTTCCACTCCCTCCGATGACTCTATTCCCTAATACAGTGGGGGACCTGATCCAGTGGCAAAAAAACGAACCATTTCGTATCCGGGAAGTATCATAAATGTGGCAAAATGCTTCACTCGCCAAGTGAAAAAACTTCGCTTTGAAGAGCGCGCCCCTTCCTCCACAAAAAGAGTGCGCGCGCTTTCGAAATCAGGGTTTTTTCACTTGAAGAGGGAAGCATTTGCCACATTTTTGATACTTCCCGGATGCAAAATGATACGTTTTTTGCCACTGGATCAGGTCCCCCACTGTATCTTCAGTCCGCATTTCACACTCTGTCTTCCTCGTGCGTATCAAGAAAGTGCAACTTGCATACAACATATGCGAATATAAGCCACATCTGAAAGATTGTACGTTGGGAAGATATTTTCTACTCTCTTCGATGACTCTATTCTCTAATAGCCTCCTTTCCGCGCTTCACCCGCTCTCTTCTTTGTGCGTATCAAACAATGCGTCCGAAATAAAAAGAGCGAGCGACGAGAAGAGGGCAGAAAGATGAAAATCTCGTAAAAGAGAGCGGAATATTCCAACCAAAATTAAAGGAGACGTTAGAGCGGCGAATTAACTCCAAAAACACGTTGTTCCCCAGTTCAAAAACTCTTGGTGTTTCTAATATCCCACAAGCAAAAGGATTGTTCTTCGGTTTATTAACCCAAGTTTGAGGTTAGCTCATGTTTCGGCTCGGATCTTTCTGTGGCTGATAAAGAGAAATTTTGGAACGCTCGGCGTACATCGTTGAGCACATATTGAAAAGTAATGAAGGAGGGCCGATTTTCGTATGTTGCTGTTGATTTTTTGAATGGCTCTAACAATCGTAATAGAATATGTTTATTTGGAAATTATCTTTGAATATATTTTACTTTTGCTTGACGATTTCGGTGACGTTATGTCTGTTTTTGCCGCCCTTCAAAGGAACATGAACAAAATCATGCAACTGGATTACTTCTTTTGTAACATTCGGACTCAAATTACGGGCCTCCAAATCGATGGCGTAGTTCTCACCATTCACAATTTGTTTTTGAGCAGCGAGCACTTGATGGAACTTTAGCTTCTGATGGCTTTGCTTCGCGAAAATGTGGACAGCCTTCTTGGCGAGCCTCTGGAATTATGGATACTTGATTACTGAATAAGTTGAAGTCGGAATTTTCTCGATTCTTTTTCTACTCACCACAACTAGTGGATCATCCAAAGGGACATCGGAAAATCCACCTAGCACTTGCCGTGGCTTCTGGGTTGGCTCCGACAAGGAGCGATGGGCAACCAACAAGACAACAAAGAGCACAGTAACTTTGAACAACATCTTCAAGTGGAGAACCGTTGCAGAAAAGTTTCAATTTATAGTGGCGATAATAAGAGCAATTATTCAAATATATTCAGGTATAATTGGCGATTAATTGGTAAGATGGCTTCTTTATGCCTTCTGCATTTAATTGAGCCTTTTTCGCATGATGCAATAGGATGGTTATGTGCTATGGTTGCTAGCTTACTAAAGGTACCTTAAAAATTGTTCTAGGAATTACTAAATTTTAGTTCGCGCTTTCCAGCAGCAGCTATGGAATTCTTGCGAAAGAGCGCGTAAAATGTGTAGAACCGGCCAGACAAAAAACAATTTTTGTAAAAAAATTTTTGATCCTTTTTACGGCAAATTATTAGTTTTAATTTTTTAAATTATAATTTAAGTTGATTAAGAATATGAAACTTTATTGAAATTTTGGAAGGCAGTTAGCTTTAGTATTATTTTTTCAAATTTTGATTTCTTTTGGAAAAGGTTTAGACAGCGTATTTTGCGAGGTATGAAAAATTCGGAAAAAAAGCGATAACACGCGATTTTTTGCCTTTTTTTGTACGGTGCAGGCAGAGTTTTATATATTTGTAATGCCTTGTATGTGGGGTTCAACACATCTCACAATCAGGTCAAAAATTTTCTTGTGCAGTGTTTTTGGGGGTTTTGAAGGTATTAACAAGGTTAATACGTGTATAGCCTGGCCTCAATGGACTGTTTGGATCATTCCGAAAAGAAAGTGCAAACTTACATACAAAATATGTAAATCTAATGTAAGCCACACCTGAAAGATTTTGCTTTGAAATAATAGAATGCTTACGCTTTCTTTGATGATTCTTTCCCCTAATAGCTTCCTTTCCGCGCTTCACCCGCTCTCTTCTTGTGCGTATCAAACAATGCGTCAGAAATGAGAAGAGCAAGCGGCGAGAGGAGGGCATAAAGATGCAAATTTCATAAAAGAGAGCGCAATATTCAAAAGAAAGCTAAAGGAGACGTTAGAGCGGCGAATTAACTCCAAAAACATGCTGTTTCCCGTCCCAAAAACTCTTGATGTTTCTAATATCCCTCGAGCAAAAGGGTTGTTCTTCGGTTTATTAACCCAAGTTTGAGGTTAGCTCATGTTTCGGCTCGGATGTTTCTGTGGCTGATAAAGAGAAATTTTGGAACGCTCGACGTACATCGTTGAGCACATATTGATAGATAATAAATAAAATAATGGGCGGTTATCACAGTGTTTGTCACATTTATTACCTATATATTTATCATCCTTATTCTATGGTTCGGCAATCATTATGAGAACATAAAGCATGTTGAAGAAATGAAAGCACTCCTTGACAATGCTGATGGCCCACAGTTGTAAAGGAATTTGCAATGCAAAACAAGCGGTCTGGAATTGAAATACTAACACTAATACTGAAGACCTGCATGAATACTAAAAAAACCTTTCATGGCCAGATACTTACCAATACAAGACTACTAAGATCGTAGCTAATGTAGTGCTGAGATCCTGAAGAAGATAATAAAAACATTTGAAAATCGTGTATAAACCGCACTGACCGTGAACAGCGAACGCCAGACAGTTGTAGCCAAGGGCGAAGAAGTCATACTGCCAGTGAAGTTTGACATAAAGACGGTCGAATTTGATGACTCCTTTCAGGAAAATGTAAACCATCCAAGTGCTGGTCTGAAATCACCTTTTTTCAGCATTGCTAGTGATTACGATCGCTTAGTTTTTATTTGATGACAAACAAAATTTTCGAAGTGTTATGTTTAAATTATGTACAGAAACTGTATTATAGGTTAGATATCAATTTATGAAAAACAACAAGTTTTGAAAGAGGCAGCCAAGATATTCAGCAATCTTTGTCAACGGGAGAATGTGCGAAAAGCGAAAAGCGGTCAAAGAAAAAACATGTTTTGTAGAAAATTGAGATCTATGTATAGTAAAAATCTGGCCGAAATTTTTCAAGCAATACACTTGCTCAAATTGCAGTCGGATTTTGATCAACTTTCCAACAAAAGTCATCGGTTATTTCCGCAAAGTACAAGCTAAAAAAAATCTCGCAAATATTTTTGAAAAATGTAATCCAAATTTTTAACATATTTTTTTACATTTGCTTCAGACCCAATCGTTGCACTTGTGACCACAAATTTTTTAAACCGTCTACAGAAGAAATTTCTCTGAATACCGGCCAATTGTCTATCTTCCACACAAAAGAATTCTATCTTCTTCTCTTGAAATCACAGTCTTTACAATGTCTTTACAACACTACCCTCGCCACAACTTACAATATTGTAAAGCAGCTGTACATAATAGGCGGCAGGATGTGTTACCAACGAATAAAAGGAGGGTTGTAATCCTCTCCACAAGGTCATCTTCCCATTGTCGTATAATTTTAGAAAGCAAATTATTGTTGTTATTACAATGTACAGTGCCTCGCCCGCAATTACGGCGCCACATCCGCCTCGAACCACACATGAAGAGCAGCAACAGAGCGGCTCAAGTTCAAGATGTCGAAGACGGACTCTGCAGTAGCGATATTTACTGTGCCGTCGTTTGAAATCAACAGCTTTTGAGAAAATTTTGAACGGTAAATTGTAGCAAACACATTTTTTCAATGAAAATTTTATGTCATCATTTTTTAAAGGCCTTGTTTTGGTCTTAAATGGAGCTTACTTGTTGTAGATGGACTGTTCTTTTGTCTTTTGGAGGCAATGCAATGGACAAATGTCTCTGGCCTTCTCCACCGGCTTCATTTTGGCCGCCATTTCTTTGAGTGTCTTGTCTGGAATTTACTATTATCATATGTATGTCGTAACAAAGCTACGTTCAAATAAACTTTATTTAGACTTGGACCAGACGGAATTATAATAAAATAAGTTTTTTTTAAATAAATTTGACCGTAATTTTGTCATCATAAGTATGAACTTATGTTGTAATAAAAGTCTTTAATAATAGTATTACTGTAGTCTAAGTTCACAACTCACTTTCTGAAATATCTACAGTCCGACTTAGCACAATAAAAACTGATCTTACCCTCCCAAACCGGCGGATTAGTTGTCAAAATTCGAATCAGCCTCCGTATTTTCGACTCTTTTGGCTTCTCTTTCTCCGGCAATGTGAATTCTTCGATCGGCTTTTCATATTGAAGATCCTGACTGAGCTCGCTGATCCGTCGGACATTCTTTATCTTCAAAGCGGCCTTCTGAAATGCACGAATAATCTAAATGTTTTGACATTGAAAGTTAAAGCCACAACAGGTGAAAGGGATAAATGCATTAGGTCAATCTTTTATGTCATTAGTGGTTTTTGAAGAGTGTAGGCAAAGAAAAAGTGATGTGACATTTTGGCGTTGACTTGGTTCGGGTTTGTGACTTCAAAGTGGACGTAGCACTATTAGAAAGAACATGCTCAAAGTGAGACGTTGAAAACATTAATGAAATGCTTACAAATTGTAGTTATTTTTTCTAATGTTTGACACACGCGAGGCTCCTAATTTGCGCTTTGCAGAAGTAACTAATGGTGAGATTTTTTGCCCAAGTCAAAGGTAGACAACTTACATTATGACATATGTATGCCTAGCCTTTATCACCTGAGTTCTCCACACTTTTTAAAAAGTTTTGTCGACGGTAAAAATGGTTGAATTGATATTACATGTATCTCCAAAACGCGAGCGTAAATTTTCAGTATTGATCTTAGACCTAGGCCCATATGGTGTGTAAAATTTTTAAAAAACGAGGAAACGTATGCGTGACACGTGGGATGTTTACCTTTTTAGTACTGTAAAAAAATTTAATATACCATAAGCTGCTAAAGTAATACGTGCAGTCCTGCTTAGTCAATCAAGCTTAAAAATGTCTTCAACGTAGACCAGAGTTGCTAAGGCATCTCTTAGCAGTCCATTCATAACTACATTGAATCTACATTTTTGCCCATAGTGGAGCCACACACTTTAGCGATGCAATAAATGCATGGTTATAAATGGGCGATTGCTAATTTTTATTCAGACGGGAATCGAACTAGGGACTGTTGGATCCAAAAGCTAGACCTCTAACCACTCGACTAAATAAACACGGGCACCGCGTACGATTGGGTTGGAAGAAAAGCGAGAGATGAAATAACCACGGGTGTAGAAAAATACAAGTCGATGATTTTATTCGTATTTTACAACATTTACACTACGAAAATATTAGTACCTACCTTCAACGTCTTCTTATCCACCTCCCCCGGATACTGTAGCGGATTTATTTTGTTCATGGTTAACACGGCCAAATAGTTTTACTATTTTATGGAGTCGACAATCAAAAAGAAAACGACAAAGGACACAATAATTTAAAAGTTTTTTATTATTGGAATAAAACGAGGCGGGAGTTCCAATTCGGGCAGCGAACGTCGTCTTCGGCGGGAGCTCTCTTCGGGATCTTCGATGTCATCTTCTGGAAAAAAGAAATGTGAAATAAGGTGTTTAAAAAAGTTAAAAATTTTAAGACTCTGCGCAACAAATCAAGACCTTTAAAATTGTTGGTTATGGAAGGGTTTTATTGTAGGAAGGTTCATTTTGGACAAACTGTAAAATTTCTTTTTTTGAACCTATGAAATTGTTTATTATAGATAGATTTTGACTGGAATTTTGCTGTACAGAACTTATACTGTCTTTTTCAAAGTTATAAAAATGATAAAAAATAGGTTCAACAACATAAATTTTAATTAATTTTAAAGCTACTTCAATAAATAATTGACTTGTTTGCCCCTATTAATTTCAAAAGTTTATATCAAAACTCTTGGCATTGCATAACCTTTTGGCAACGAAGTCAAAAGTCCAGTCGTAAACCTCAAGATATGACGCAAAAAACTCTTCAGAAGTCGGAGATGATACTCATCTGATGACGAAAACTTTTTTCAATAAAATACGGACTTAGAAACATCGCTGAATGTTCTAAAAAGGTTTAAAAATCTTTTGAAAATCGCATTTTACAAATTTTAAAATGCGATTTGTTTTCTGAACCGTAATTGTAAACCTTTTTGAATTGGAAAAAGGGGAAAAATTGGCTATTAGATTACTGTTAAAAACCGGTGAAGAACCTCCTAGGCACTGTTAAAACCCTGTATAATGAATGGCAAAGGTCTAAAAGAATTATTTGTTATAGAAGGGCATTGTTTCACAGAGGTTTACTTTGGACAAAAAATGACTATTCCGGCCTTAAAAAGCGTTCGTTATAGAGAGGTTTTGTAGTATGGAAGACGTTTTCTTAAAACTTTAACTATGCACATTTATGGCCACAGTATTATAAAAAAGATTTTTGCGGCGAAAAGTTCGCTTTTTAACTCGAAATTTGGCTAAAAATAGAACTTTCGCGGCTCCCACGGAAGCGAAATTTAAGTCATCACCCTCATCATCTTCACAATATCATTGTTTCTTGCGCGTTTTTTAATCCGCAACCTCTATTCTTAGCGTCATTATAATACTCTCCAAATTATGAATGCAGAAACGCAACAATAATAGAATTTTTATGAGCAAAAATGATTTCCGACGTAAAATTTTGGACCGAGTTCAAAGTAGTTGTGAAATCGACCCACAAATTATACTCAGCACGCAAATTAGGGGTTATTCGGTGCATACGACAAACAAGTCGTCAGAAATTGCGACGAATATTTTCGAAGGAGGAAGTTGATAACTGACTAAACGTACTTTGAAAAGAAAAAAAAAAGATTTTTTGAAAAGTTCGAAACTTTGACGCGATTAATTCTACGTTGCACATTTGCCTAACATTTGCTACATTTTTATCACTCAAAAATTTCGTCACAACAAAAACAGCCGAGATTTTCAAAGAGCCTTTCTGACGAGAGAGCATGCAAAATACGGAGAGCGGTTAGAGCAAAAGGAAAAACAAAAAAAAATTGCCGCAGCTGCGACAAAACGTCCTTGGAATTTTCCGCGACTCTGCACTGTGCATGAACCCGAAAAAATCATTTTGCACCGTGCATCCGGCCGAAAAAGTGGATTCGCACAGTGCAATTTTGTTTTTTGCCTTGTCGCGCGCGATTCCCGTTTTTCGCAGCGACAAATCAACGTTTCGGAGTGCGACGGAATTTTCTGCGACTCTGCACTGTGCATGAACCCGAAAAAAACACCATGCACCGTGCATCCGTTCGAAAAAGTGCATTTGCACAGTGCAATTTTTGTTTTTTGCCTTGTCGCGCGCGATTCCCATTTTTCACAGCGACAAATCAACTTTTCGGAGCGCGACGGAATTTTCTGCGACTCTGCACTGTGCATGAACCCGAAAAATCATTTTGCACCGTGCATCCGGCCGAAAAGTGCATTCGCACAGTGCAATTTTGTTTTTTTGCCTTTTCCGTTTTTCGCAGCGACAAATCAACTTTTCGGAGCGCGACGGAATTTGGGGGCAGCGAGAAATTCCAAGGGCTTTTTGCCGCGACGCATGCTCGCGAAAAAAACGTTTCCGGTGACCACCAAAAAAAATCGGCGGTGTCCGCAAAGTGCAAGCTGTAAATCTCGGATAAGCTCATCATAAGGTTAATTTTTCTTACGCAATTGTTGTACAGAGTAATAAAAAAATTCACAAATTTTTGTTACTGAAAACCAACCCCTCTACGATCCGTTTCTCAAGCCTTACCATTGCTAAACAACTGCTGATACGCGTGTAATTGAGTGATCGCCTTGTTCCAGGCGTCTGTATTCCAATTCGGTACCATCCGCGGATCACGTAGCACACTCACCAACACTGAAAATGTAAGTTTTTATTTGGCGAAAAAAACAGATGACACTCAAATTTCGCAGGCCCCAAAAATCTCATTTCCCCCATCAGCTGATTAGTGAACCCGCTATTCGAGAGGAGGAGATTTCGTGCCGAATTCGATAAAAAGGATGACGAATTCGGAAGTAAATTGGATAATAGGCTTGAATAAGTGGCAAATGTCGAGAAAAATGTGATGTAATTTTGCAGAATTTCATTAAAATTTCAATTTCAAAATTGCATTACATTTATTGGGTTATACCAATTTAATTTGCCTACGTTTTGTCGGTTGATAAAAGTTCGGAAAATTAAGAAAATAATTGAAAAAAAGGCGTTGAAAATTCTCAGGAACATTGGGTAGAGCGCGTTGGTTCTCAGGGTTTAATTATAGGGTTGAATTATGTTGTAGGTTGCAAAAAAAGTAGGAAATTGTAAGAAAAACCGACGTGACAATAGGAAAAAATTTAAAAAAGATAAAAAAGCGTCGAAAAATTTTAAAAAAAATCATAAAATATCGAGCAAGTTTGATTTTGAAACTCCAGATTTTTTTTCAAAAAATAAAAAAAAAGGGTTTTAAAATGAGATCTTTTAAATTCAAATCCTCAAAATCCCAAAAATTTTTTTTTCAAAAGTTGAAAAAAAATTTTTAAAATGATTTTTTTATATTTAAATCCTCAAAATCCCAAAAAAAAATTTTTTAAAAAATCCCCTCAACTTACTAGAACAATGCCCAGATTTGCATCCATACATGGGCGCCCTCTTGAAGGGGATCGCCATCACCGACGCCAAGCATAGTCCCAATACCGTCCACACGTGCATTTGTCGACCCATTCTGGAAGGGGATTCATGTAAACTGACCAACGTCGCAAACTGCACGACACGTACCGACAACGAAGCCACACCCCCTGAGGGGAAAAATGTGGGAACGGCCGGGCGAATCTAACGTACTTAAGAGCCGAGGGGTTTGGATTCAAATTTCGGGTGATGATGTAGATGAGAGAGAGTGAAATTGAGTCATTGGGAGATTGAAACAAACAAAATTTAATTTCAAAAAAAAAAAAAATTTTTTTAATTTTTTGATTTTTTTTTATTTGAATTTAAAAAATTTTTGTTTAATTTTCCAAAAAAATTTTTGAAACTAAAAAAAAAATAAAAAAAATAATGAAAATTTAATTAGAAAATCTTCGAAAAATTTGAAATCTTTGCCCTTGGCATTCTTGGTGGTCCTTTTCCCGACCTTTGAGCGCCCCACAAATTCGCGGAATGACACTACAAAAAAGTCGACAAAGTTCTATCAAAATTAAATGGGGAATTGAGATGGGGCCAAAAGTATTCGAAATGAGCAGTCGAAATGACCCAAAAAAAGGAGTTTCAGGACGGGCCTCCTACGCATGGATGATTAACCGAAAACGACTATAGTCTATTACGACCTTGTCTGCACATTACATGTACGAGGAATTTGGGTGTAATTGCTGTCATCGGCGGAGAACTTGGGAGCGGAAAAAACGGGGATAGTGCAAAAGAAGAGAAAGATACGAGGTGACGTTGGGGGTTTGAAAAAATAATTTTTTATGGACTTGTGAACAAAGTAAAGTAAAAAAAATTTATAAACCGAGAAGCAACTTTGCCCAAAAGTTTATGTTAAATTTTTATCTTGCCGAGGGACAATGGAAGATGATGAGAGACAGTAACATAAAGCATTTTTGCCAGCCATACTTTGTGTGAAATTTGAGCGAAAAAGTTAAATTTTTTATTTTAGCCACATACGATAAAAATTTTTCATTTTTTCCTAGGGCCAATAGCTACTTCTTTCCTGCTAGGCTTGGCAATTTAAGTGTCCCAAAAATTTCTGCGTCCACTGTATCAATAACGACGGAAAGAGCGAGTAAACATTCTACAGTGCCGAACCTGATCTAGTGGCAAAAAACGTACCATTTTGCATCCGGGAAGTATAAAAAATGTATCAAAATGCCTCCCACTCCACGTAAAAAGACACCGTTTTGAAGGGCGCGCCCTTTCCCTCTCAAAAACAGCGGGCAAGTTTTTGAAATCGAAGTTTTTTTCACTTGTAGAGGGAGGTATTTTGATACATTTTTTGATACTTCTCGGATGCAAAATGGTACGTTTTTTGCCACTGAATCAGGTCCGCCATTGTACGTGCTGCCTAGATTATTAATATTAATTTTTTTTGTAATTTTTTAAACTTTTTTTTTGCCACAGAACATAAAAAAAATTTATTTGATATTTTCGCAAACATTTTTTCTGATTTGAAACTTCATACTTCACGTGTCCAATACCATAATTACATAATTTCCACATAAAAACTTCGTTATTAATTGCAAACTTTATAAAACCACCTTCTGAACCCAAAACTACCCATAAATTAAAGCCTTATCACCTTTCCGGACAGCTCAATGTATTAACAATTAGTTCGCCCCCTTTCCCTAACTTTATTAAAGCCTTCAGACTCCAACAACAAACCGGATACTCGTCAGTATCACCCGGTATATATTTAGTACCAAAAAACGTAATTTAATTCGAGAATATTTCATCGTAAAACGACGTTAACTACATACACAACCATCACCGAAACTAATTAAATATTTACCCATATTAGGCCTTAATTCGAGTATCGAGTGGGTCCTCAATCTTAGGCCCCCGTATAATTACCGGACCGTTAAATTCGTATACTCTGATGGCTTTCCCAAACTCCTACCGCCCGCATTTTCAATGTGCACGGAATGTCACGGAATCGGCTTCCGAATGAAAAGTTTTTGTACTCAGGAATTACGGAGAAACACCGGGATAAAAATAGAAAAATGAGAGGCAACAAGACACGGGTGGGATTTTCCTTTAGATTGTGGAAGATGTATTAAGGCAGTAATATTACAACAGTCACAACAAAACACTCTTGAAAACGAGGTGGAACGGTCTAGCAAACTCTTGAAACGGTAAACGATCGATTTCATTTTTTGTAGAGCAGCATATGTACAGTACGTATAGGTTCTGAACAAGACAACAACTTTCCGTAAAGGCTTTATTTTGCATGTTAAAGCCAAAACAGAGAGGTCAACTGTTGTCTTTGCGACAGAGCACAGAAATGAGGAAGCAAGCCTTGCAAAAATGCCTAGAACTTTTCAGGTAATCTTGTGGCTTCTGACCAGGGATGGCTATCAAATTCCACGCTCTTTATGGGGAGGCATAACTTTCTACGGTAAGAAAAGCTATGAAACGTTTCATGCCAAAATTCGCAAAAAAAAACCTCATAATATTGGCCGACTTTAGAGCCAAAAATCTCGGTAGTTTCTGCAAAGCGCAAGCTAGAAGTCTCGTATATGCCTTATTGTTAGACTTGAGTGATCTAACAGGGGAAGTACTCCAAGTGCGACGCTCAGATTTTCTTTAAATTTTGCACATACGTCGGGTATGGACTAAATATCAATTCCTGAAAGTTTTAGCTCGCGCTTTGCGGGCGCCCAGATATCGAACGATTTTTCCCGCCGAGAGAGCAAGCTAAACGTAGAGAGCGGTCAGAGAGACACACGCTTTTTACCATAACTTTGGCAGCTTCGTGCGGAAAAATTTGATTTTTTGTAGAAACATTATCCTTTACGGTTGAAAGAGCCATGAAACTTTTCGTGCCGAAATTCAGCAAAAAGTCCTATGTTTTCGCCGACTTTCGATCTAAAAATCTCGGTTGTTTCTGCAAAGCGCGAGCTAGGATTCTCGCATATATCTTAGAAAAAATTATTCTAAATTTGTGCCAGGTTTCATCAAAATCTGAGCGTCGCACTTGGAGTACTTCCCCTGTAAGCAAAAATTATCGGCAAAGCCTTTATTTTGCATGCTGAAGCCAAAGCAGGGAGCTCGACTGTTGTCTTTATTACAGAGGGCAGAAATGAGGAAAGCCGGCCTTGCAAAAATCCCTCGAACTTTCCCGGTAATCTTATGGCTTCTGACCAGGGACGGCTTGCAAATGCCATGTTCAAATTTATGACGAGACAAAATTTTGTACGGTAAGAAAAGCTATGAAACATCTCATGCCAAAATTCGCAAAAAAACCTCATAATATTGGCCGGCTTTTGATCTAAAAATCTTGGTAGTTTCTGCAAAGCCCGAGCTGGAAATCTCGTATATGAATTATACAAGGTTAATCTAAATTTCTGGCTAGTTTCATCAAAATCTTAGCGTCAGATTGGGAGTATACTTCTCTCGTAAAAATTTACAGAACTTGGACACACTGTGGAAAAGCTGTAAGCATGTATGACTTGTAATAATTAACACTCGGCATTCTTAGAACTTTTGTAATACATATGATCCGACTACGGCACATTAGAGACCACCAACATTTCTGTACTTGTTGAAGGCTCTAGAATTTGTAAAAAAGAGGTAAAATTATGTGAAAAGTTATTACAATATTTCTTAAAGCAATCCTTGACACATTTAACTGCAAATATTTTTTAAATTTCCTATAATTGTTGTTAATTATGTTTCGAAGTAGTAATGAAGAAAAAAATAAACAATTTTTTAGATCATAAAGATACATACTTATTTCATCACCGTGGTATTCAGCTCAAAATCAAAGAACAGCCTCTCCAAAAAAAGAATAAAGCCCCACGTACTAGCAGGACATTCCGTATTACTCCTACAATAATTACAAGTTAGCCCAAGCTACAGTACTTCCGGGACCACGGATCCCTTATATTCCTTGTCATCCAACACAAACATTAATTATCTCTCTTCGAATCATAAATTCACATCCCATACCATACAATTAGTAGCCTGAATAGCGTCACGCAATGTTCAGCAACCCTTAGTTACATTACGAACCGTAGGAGAAAAACACGCGTGGAAATGGCGTGACGCATTTCCGAGCTGATACATTACACTATAGGGCGGTAAAAGTGTAAATAAGATTTAAGATGTAGAGAAGGAATAACATACGATAATGACTTTAAAAAAATTGGTGGGAAATTGGGGTTACGGTAGGGAAAAACATGAATGACGCGCTTTGGCGACATCCGAGATTTTAAGTAAACAGAGTTTTCGCCGCTTTGGCCACTACTGTAAACCTTAACAGAAGATCGGTTATTGGTTTGTAGAGTCCGCAAGAATACGACGAAAAAATTTTGTCTATATTTACGCCACTTTATTTTGCCTACTTGCCTTTAAAGAATGATTAATAACTCAGAATTTGATTGTCATAACAAGAATCAAAACTTTAGAAATTGCAGCACGACCTATGCAAATGACACCTGCTAAATTTGAAGGCAATTTAGAACACCGCTCTTGGGATACTGTCGCTTACTTTTCACTCGAGCTGTATTTTTGATTGGGCCCATTTTCCACTCCAATTTTGCCCAGAGAAAAAATCAAGGCAGACCAGACCCACTTCCTTCAGTACTATGCCCTTATAAGCTCGGATGAAGAGAAACTAGGAGAAAATGATATAATTGAAGGCGGATTTGGTGGAATATTGTGTCATTTGCATGAAAAGAACGATGTCATTGTTCCGAGAAGACGGGGAAACGGTTTGAGACAAACAAAAAATGTAAATAAACAGCCCAAGGCTACTGTTCATATATTCCTGGACTGAAGGTCAAAAATTACAGAGCAAAATAGCAGGATTTGATGGATTTTTGAGGCGCTCTGTAATTTTCTTGATCTAGATTTTATCTGAAGAAGAAATAGATACAACTAACAAGGAAGGTACCCCTATTGTGTCTTTAAATTTTGCTCATACTCCGGGCATAGACCATATATTAATTCTTGAAAATTTTAGCTCATGCTTTCTAGTGTCAGCTAAAATATTCAACGAACTTTGAGGTTGAGAGAGTACGTGAAAAGAAGAGAGCGGCCAGAGAAAAAATGTTTGACAAAAAAATTATTTTTTTTTGTAAAAAAACGCCTTTTATTATAGTAGAAATAGGTATGAACGTTTCATAATTGCGGCGGAGAGAGTACGCGAAAAGAGGAGAGCGGCCAGAGAAAAAACTTTGACAAAAAAGCCTTTTTCTTGTGGAAAAATTACCTTTCATTATAGTAGAAACAGGTAAATATAAACGTTTCATGTAAAAATTCACAAAAAAGGTCGTTTCTGCAAAGCGCGAACTTGAAGCCTTAAAAAAATGTTCTAAATTTGTTCCAAATTTCATCACAATTGCACCTGGAGGCCTTCCTCTGGAAGTGCAAAACAAACAAACACTGTTTACTACGCATTTCACAATGGTACTGAGTATTTATAAGAACACTTTTTTTGCACTTTTTTTTCGAAAAATTTGCGCAGGAATTTGTAATCAACAGCACGCCAAAAAACTACATTCGTCTGGCTGAAAATGCGGATAAAAGGTTGAATTCATGCCATTCTCTCTATGAAATACGACAATTGAATATATTATCATAGTTAATTTCCCGTAATTACATGTTATTTTAAAGGAAACCGGAATAATTTTAAGTTTATTAAGAGTTGCCATTTAAAATTAACATCCTGATGAAGGTAAAAGGTCTAACTGTCCATGGAAACTGTAGTTAATGAAGTTGTACATGTACTAAAGAAGTTGTATGTGTCAAAGGAGTTGTACATGTGCTGTGTACATGTACTAAACCAACAAGTACAATGTAAACACCAGTTGAGACAAAGACGTCAAGAAATGATGGAAAAAGAATCCTTTTAACAAATGTATTGATCTGTTATGACAATTGAGAGCACAGTCTCAAATGGTGATACATGTAATAGACTTTAGTTTTTGGCCTTCCTTTACACAGCATTGAAAAACAATGGAAGTAAACAAACAAAACGTGTAGTAAAACTGTGATTTCAGGCTCCGCGGACGTCCTGAGTCCCTTCTTTTCCTTGTAAGTAATACTTGCAAATGAAAATGATGATGTATTCGTGGCGGGACCTTTTACGGATGACCGTTCGCTCCGGCGGTTTGATGGGCTCCAAAATGGTTGAACTGACGACTTTTGGTCGCGCTAGTGGGTTGGGTTCTACTTCAGGGCGCGACGAGCATTTTAAAAGCTCTGAGAAATGATGGAAAATTGGCCGAAGAACAAGATTTTTTAGCCATGCCTAATACATAACCCGACAATTTATTTTAGAACATTGATGACATCAAAAAATATATAATTTTGTGTCTTATTTCTCAGAAATCCGAAAAGCTTTCTTTGATTCTTCTTCGAACATTGCAGGGGGTCTAGAGCTTCCAAATTTATAATGTAATCACCATTGCAAGATTAAAGCGAAGGGGGGACCACTGTACAACAAAGTCTACTTGTTGCCATAACCAACATTTTCAGAGGCCCAAGAGTCAGTCCATTCTTGGATAAAAGGAACCTCCAAATACTGGTCCGTCCGGAAAGTCGCCGGACTGAAAACGGCGACACGCACTGTGAGAAAAAAGTCAGGGTGCGAACGACAGCCGAAAAAAAACCTACATATTGCAAAAAGGAAGAAATTGCACAGTGCAAAGTGAACTTTCGGTTTCTCACAGTACGTGTAGCCCATTTCAGTCCGGCGACTTTCCGGAAGGACTGGTAACGAAACCATCCCGTTACAAATGCTGTTTAGTCCCCTGCAGCTTGTTGCACAGGGGTTTGACTGCAAAGGAATTATGAAGAAAACCGTTTTTTGTCTGGCCCACTCTCTTTATTCCGCAAGTTTTTTCACAAAGACGATTGTGGAAAATCATGTCTGCACGCCAATTTATTTTCTTCTAAAAAAAATCAAAAAAATAATTCGTGTCAAGTGTCTCCCTGGCCCGTTTGGTCAAGTCTTTCCCTCCGTAAAACAACTACCGTATCTTGGCAGAAAAAAAATCAATCATCGCAGAAATTGCACAAAGTAAAGAAGAATAACAGACAAATCGAAAAATGTACACTCAAGACAGAAAAAAAATAAATCTCTGCCATATTTGGCGGCATCTTTAATGTTTACCGCTGGTGTAAGGTAATTTATTTTGTCCATAACTTTTAATTGAGGTGCCATACCTTAACTTTTGAGTCTATGGAATTGTAGCTTTTTTAATGCTCTATCCAATGGGCATGATTTTTCAAAATTTTATAAGAAGCCCCGGGTGTTACAAGTCAAAAATTGTGAAATTTTGAGTTTCTTTCAGATGAGTTTTAACTTATTCTCGCAATCTGAGAGCGGAATCAACGCCTTAAGGAATGCCAACCTAGACAGGAAGAGACAGCGGGATCTGCAGGCCCAGAAAATGCGTGAATCTAAGCGCTTGAAGCAATTGGCCGTCGACCAGCCCGATTCTACAGTAACCCAAAATAATGGAAATTCCAGTGTTTCCATCAATGAGGTACGTTTTTTCTTATAGATTGGTTTTGTTTTTAGATATTGCATAGAATCGCATCTGGGCTTTGAAATTCCGTTGAAAAATCGAAAATTGGTCGCGTACTTTTTGAGAAAATTGGGTTCAAAGTTAGGGTCCTAAGGGCAAAAAATTTGAAATTTTGAATTTTCATGGTCTTTGCGCTTTCAGAACGTTCTGGCTGACATCACAAATGCTTCCGTGACTCCAAGAAGGACTCCTACGTCTCGATTGAATGGTCAACGTGAACGGGCGGCCGTGGCAACTGCCTCAGGGAAAAAAGTTCGGGAACTCACGGAAGAAGTGGAAAAACTGCAAAAAAAAGTTCATGATCTGACGGAAACTCACGCTCATGATATGTGGCGAATTAAAGAAATGGCAGAAGAGATAAAAAAGTTAAGAAAAAAATTAGATAGTCGTCCAGAAGAACAAAAAAATCGTAAAAAAGTTGAGGAGTACCGGTCACCGGGCTACCAAAAAAACATAATAAAAAAATTGGAGACTGAAAAGCTTGGAGAATCATTTAAAATTGTGCCAAAAGAAAGTGATTTTGAAAAAAAAATATCCGATGATGACGCAATCGCACTGCGAGCAGCCGCCGGTTTAACGGACGACCAGTACCGAAAATGCCAGATGTTAAAGAATTATCAATAAAAATGAAAAAAATCTCAAATTTTACCTTTATTTATTACGCAACAGCTGCCATGATGCGGTGGTACAGTCCCCTTTTCCGAAAACACATAAAATTCTACACTAACTTCTCTTTTCACCGGTTGTTTTCACCCAAAAAAGATTTTTTGTCGTTTTCGTATAAAATGGCAACCAACATTTTCACAAAGCTCGGGCGCAGCTCACAAAAATAGTTTTTGAAGAAAATAAATTGGCGTGATGGCTGTAGCTGAACAACGAAAGCTAACAAGGGAATGGTCTGAACTTCCCCCAAGCGTTCGGAAAAATGACCATTACAAGTGGATAGAGCAGGTCGACTTCGGTAAAAACAAGCTATTTTTCAACCGCAAGAGAAAAATCGACCGAAAATTCAATGCATTTCCCTCCAAATTAAAAATAGAATATCCCCAGTCTAACCCGACAGTCATAGGAGCGACACCTTGATGCAAAATAAGGAGCAAAGCAGACAAAGTGTTACATCTATACGAACACAAGCCTCTTTTCTTCACAATCCTTGACTCTTCCCTTTATTTGAAAACACAATTTCTATAAACAACTTTGAAAGTCTTTGATTTCTTCCCACCTCGTTAACACACTTTAAAGAATTATAAAACGTTCGTCATGGACTTGATGAACAACTTCTGATTACAAGGCTTTCATAAGAGTTCAACATTCTGCGACATGTCTGTGTTTTTACACTTTTTTTCGTTTTTTTCACTCTGTTTTTTAAACTTTATTTATTTTCATACGGTATAAAAACGTTAAATGGCCGTGGAATTGGTCCAAATAAAGAGAAAATCAAATTAAAATGAAATGAAAAAGGAGAGTAAGGTCAATTCGACTACAAAGTATTGTTTAATTAAGCATTTAATTAAGGCGATGGAGATTGCTACAGTAATCCGCAGTCTTTTCGGATGTAATTGAGCGCATTTTGATACTGTCTGATGTGGTTTCGGATTTGATATAGCCTTCAGAATCAAGTGCTGATATTACACATGGCATGGTTGTATAAGTCATGCTAGACGCACGTCAAGCCCTCTCCAAATTAGCCCGCACTTCCTTGATGATGTTACAGTAGTCTCCCTGGTGAATTATTCCGTCAAGTGGCTTCTTTTTGGGCTTTGATTGGATTCGAATCCTCGGCCACTTAATTCCCGTCCCCTCGAGAATTGCGCCCCACAATACGGGGTTTGTCATCTGTGGTTAGGGCGCCACGGCAAAATGACCGGTTATGAGGGCCAAATTGGCGCCTGTTCCGCACCGTGAATTGATGTTTTTCCGGCGCCCCTCCTCATACCGTCCAATTTCCCGTCCAAGACAATGTGCCCCGAAGAGTGGAGCCAAAACCAATTACGGGGCGCGGAAATCGTGCCCCAATTCCTCGCGGTTTGATTGCGGAATCGGGGCCAAATTTATTCCTTGCCGGGTCCTCCGGGGGGAATGGAGGAGGGCGGGTGCAAATAAAGTCGAGGAACTTGATCGGGGCCTATTATGCAATGAGTGGTTTCGCGGATTTTGGCGCTTTAATAGTCGCAAAATGGGTGCGAGACGATAGAATATGTCATAGCGGCGGCGCTGCGACCAAATTTTTAAATTAAGGGTGAAAATTTAAAAATTTGAAATTAGTCAGTATAGTAGGTACTGTGGAGAAATTAGCAGGCTAAATTTAGCTACAGTAATCTCAAAATTTTCGTTACGCAAGATGACAATTAATAGCGTCTTCTGTTGCTAAAGGTTCAATCGTTTTTTCATAACATGTTTATCTTGTCGGCAAAGAGCCTTAGGTCAGAGAGAAAAAAAAACAAAAAAATCGGACTAGTGTCTTATTTTTTCTGCTAGTTTTGAAACCCTATCCAGAAAGTTTTACCGTCCTTTTATTGTTATAAGAGCAACTGAACAGAATGCCAAAATCAAAAAAAAATGCTCGATTAGGTCGTAAGATGGATAAAAATTAAAGAAAAAATGTCTCTTAAAACATTTTTTTCTCTACCAAAACTGCCAAATTCACTAATCTTTTACTCTGATCGGTTGCTGGGCTAAGCCGCGGCCCCTCAAAGCCCCTCGTCACCGGCGATTTCCCTCGCTTACAGTTTAATCGGCCACTTTTTTTGAACCCGCCTCCTAATACCCGTCCAATATCCGGGGCCGAATGCGCGGATTATGCAACGACACGTGTTATTGTACATAAAAGCGAAATGGGATGGGGGGAGATTGGAGTGCCGAAAGTGATCGAGGCAGCGGGGAGGGCGGCTGTTCGCAAAAATGGGGCGGAGTCGGGGATCGAAGCTAATTGGCTGTCAATTTCGACGTTCAGGCCCATCTTTTCGTTTTTTCGCCCCAAAAACTCATCATTTGTCTCCAGTCATCATCGGCCAATCAAACCGTGGGCCCGGCATAACATCACATTCATCAGTGGGGCCGTGTTTTTACATCCGCACGCTGGGATCGGTGGGGTTTTGGGGGAGTTATGAGTTTTGGATAATAACACGGAGGTTTTCTGATCATACGATTTTTTGTGATTGTTAACAGTGAAATGTTTATTTCTAAAGGCAATTTTTGCATATATCACTGAATTTTTTGGCCCTTAGATACCTCAAATCATCTACCTTTCTTCTCTAAACTTCCTATCAAACCAACATCAGTGACCACATCCACTCTACCATCAGTTCGCATATCTCCCCTTTGCGCGCTTATTAATCGCTCATCATAATCGCCGGCGTTCCTTTTTTCGAATGTGCCACAGTGTGGTGATTAATCATAGCAGAGCAAATCGTTTCCACTGATTATCACCTAAACAACACTGCACTTTACTTTTTCTCTCCGGATCCCCCACAAGGGAACTGAACTTTTTTCTTCGCGCGATTGAAATGTTTTCGGGGCGTGGGGAAAAAGGCTTTGGATCAAGTGTAAGGTGGTGTAGAGGGGGGTTTTCGGGGATTTCAAGCTGCAAAATTATGCAATTTTTGGTAAAATTTGGGATTTTGATGATTTTAGTTTTGTAATCAAAGAATATGATGATTTTGCGTACTGTTATGTGCATTTTGGGAAATTTTAAGCTGTCTTATTATGATTTTGATACACTAAACTACTTCATAGATCATTATCCCCCTTATTCCAGCCTTATCTTCCACTTGCTTCACCTCAAATCTTACCTCCAGCCCCACCTCTCACCTTCCTCTTGTTCATTGACACCCATGCGTTAAATATAAATTTATATTCTCTCCCTTTTGTGCCATTCTCTCCGCTGGTTGCGCAATAAAGGAGTAAATTCTTTGAGAAGTGTGATTTCCGCAGGATATTGGGTGATATAAGAGATCCAGCTCGACGGCATCAGGCCGCAGCGGGAGCTCGAAGATTCTTCAAATATTTATTTTTTGATTATCTCCCGCGTGATTTTACGTCGAGACTACGGCGAGGTCGGTGTTTGATTAGTCCGAAACATTTCAATTTTAGTGTCTGCTGTTTAATAGGTACTGTAATTTCAGCAGAATGGCGGCGTCTCCATCAAGTTCAGAGGCCAAATCAAAGAGCGCTTTTGCTTTTTCGGTCCAGAGTCTTTTGTCACCGTCAGCTCCAAAAACAGAGCCTCTGGAATCTCTTCTTCCGACTCCGGATTCAACTCTCCCTTCGCCGTCGGAGGAGCTCTTTAAACCTGTAGCTTTCCCCAGTGCCCCAATCACCCCAACCACTTCATTACCCAATCCTTTGGCCTTTTCTGGAGTGCCAACCAGTCTTGCGAACCCAATGTTGTTAGCTGCTATGGCCATGTATGGGAATCACAGTGATCCCGCAGCCATGATGATGCTTCAGAACTTTGCTAGAGGCTCAGCAGCGTCTGCGAGGGAAGGGAGTCCGCAGGGATCGTCTACATCTTCATCATCTCCGCAATGCGCCAACTCTAGCTTTAATACCTGGCTGACAATCAATGATTCTCCAACTTCTAGTAATTCTGGTAAGCTTTTGAGGTTTTTGCTCTATTTCTCTACCCTAAAAGTTATTGTAACACCTTATGATGACAAATCATTGATATTTATTTATTTTTTTAGATGAACATCGCATCTCGCCCACAGCTTTAAGCAAATGTATGTTAAGAAAGCACAAGTCGAATCGCAAGCCCAGGACGCCCTTTTCAACTCAACAGCTAATGGCGTTGGAGCGCAAATTCCAACACAAACAGTACTTGTCGATAGCGGAAAGAGCTGAATTCTCGAATAGCCTTCAATTGACCGAGACTCAAGTCAAGATTTGGTTTCAGGTAAGAAATGATTTAAATCAACAAATTTCAAGACAAAATTTACAGTAGATTTTAAAAGCCGATGGGCAAAAATAATAGCGATGCCCTTGGAATTATAAGGTTCTAACTTTTGCTGATTACTGGCTCGAGATTACTGTACTATTCCCATCCATTCGAGGTCAATTTTCAACCCGTTTTTTTCGCGCGTAATTGCCGCTTGGTTGACAAAATTCCGAGTACCGTAGAAAGGTCGCGTGGACTTCACGCGGCGCAAAAACTGGCTCGCCATCTGGCTGCTGATTAATCGACCTTATCCACTATCAACTCGTCAATTGGGCGCTAAAACAATAAAACCCCGGGCAGATGGCCTTAAGTGGCGAAAGCAGCGAGCGCCGCCGACTCAATACGTACGGTAATGGGGTCTTTGTTTGCTGTGGTTATCGGGACGGGATCGTGCGCCAATTACCTAATACCCATCACCCCGGTCTTTGTCCTCGGAAACCCGTAGAATCAGATATTTTGGCGATTAAGGCGCGATTGTTGCGCAAGCGTATGCACAGCTTATAATAATTTAATGACCTCGCTTAATCGGCTTCGTAATCGCTGATACGCAGTGATGGATCGTGGGGCTTCCGATGGGAAAGAATGACGGAGGCTAGGTGATGGATAACATGCTAATTAAGCCGGATATTATACATGGTATCAAAAAAAATTCTGCCTCAAAATAGAGGCCACTAAAAATTTAATAAACAAAGATATTAGGCGCATTAAAATCATGACTTTTTCAGAATCGCCGGGCCAAAAACAAGCGACTCCAAGAAGCGGCGATCGAACGAACTCAAATGGCGCAGTTGGCGGCCGTCGCGGCCAATTCAAATTTCAATTTTTCGTGTCCTCAGCCTCAATGGTAGATATATTACTGGATATATTGTTACATACTACTGAAATACTCACTCAGAAATTGTTGTAAATTCAAAGATTTTCTCTAGTCAGATTCTATTTTCATTCTTTTTTGATAGATATACATGATCTTTTATACATATACATACTGTAAGAGGTTTGTTGAAGAAGCTGTAAGGTTTTTGAGCCCAAAAATGATGATATTATTTATGATCTTGCCTTACAATCTCTTTTACGACCTCTTTCTTGAATCAAAATTGGTTTGTCTTACTGTAAATTGACGCTGATCCACTTGTATTCGCTTTTCACTTTTTTTTATTGTCGTATTAAGGACTCCATAAAGTTATTGCCATCCACAATAAGTCGGTTTATATCTATTATTTCGGAACCCTCCGATCGCGCGACAATTGGCCGAAGCCTCCGCTAAGGGAGAGACCGTTGATCGGAGAGAGAGGGCAGAGAAACGAAAAGTTAGAGAGAAACGAAAAGACTGAGGGATCAGCGGAGGGCGGTGGGGGTAAAAGTCAATGTCCAGAATGATTTTTAATTACTCGAACAATGAAGGATGGGTTTGTGACCTGTCTGTTTATTTAAACTTGACGGATTACAACGAGGTCGCGCTCTTGATTTGTGGTTGGGAAAAGAGGCGAATTTTTTGGAGGGGTGCCTAAAAAAACACAGCGAATTTAAGTGGATTATCTCTATAATGAGGCTGAGAAAAGATGGTATAAGAATAATGTCGTATTTCACCTCTTAAGGCCATTATTTTTGAGTATTATTCCAACAAACCAAAAAAAAGTTCAAAGTAATCGTAAAAATCGTAAATATTTCTTTCTCAATTCAAATTACAGTAATCCCGAAACTTTCAAAATCTCTCAAATTGATCTCTTTTGCTTAAAATATCATTATCTCCTCGGCACGGCTCGTTTCCCGCTTCCAAAATGCCAGCCAAGCCCACGTCTCCAAAATTAATGTAAAACAAACTTTCGGCGGGGCATTTGTTACCCGTTAATTGTGCCCGGATCACTTAATTAAAGGAGATTTCGCCGCTCCGAATTAATTGTCCCACTCCATCTTGCCGTGAGTAAATGTTTTCTCAAGCCAATTGCCGCCTCGAGGCATTTTGTCGAAACGTTTTGTTTAAGGTTAATTTGCGAGACAGGTGGGCCCGGCCGGCAGGAGGAAGAGAAAAGGGCTCCGGTGAGGTCTATGGGGCCCGCAGGCAATTAGGAGGCCATTAAAACAACTTTAAATCCCCCCACTCTGCGAATCCATCATTCCGCCAATCGAGATCATTAAAGCGGCACGAAAGTAGCTTTTAGCGGTTCCTCCGGGGCCCTCGATCCCCTCCAAGCAGGTCCTTTGATTTACTGCGGACGCCCGCTCAAAAGATAACATTTGCTTTTCGTTTTATTAATCGTGGAATGGGCGATCGTCGAGAGTAAATGGCCGGTAAATTATGTTCGAGGAGAGCTTTGACTTTCGCTGATTTACGATCTCCGGAATGTCGGGCAAAAAGTCGGGATCATAATTTATGTATTACTGTAATGTTTTGTTGGTGAGATAAGCTGGATGAATCGAAGACATAACAATACAAATTTGCATAGATCATCTTCGAAGAGGGGTGGTTACGTTTTTTTATTTACAGAATCAAACACAACACCCATGGTTGTAGGTGATCCTGTAAATAGACCTTGTTGGAGCTTGGCCCATTTAGAGAAGAAAACCTTCTGATTCACATGCCAAATTTCTGGACTGATCTTTACAGAAACCATAGCGAATATAGAGCCGGGATATAGTCAAAGAACAATTTTTCTTGTAATACTTTTCATGTGATTTCTAAAGTCTAGGGCTTCCAAAAATTACTGAATATCACAGCTACCTATGAAAAAAAATCAGCTAGAGACTTGTGAGGCTGATTTCGGAACTGTTCAACCCGTTTTGACAAACGATCAGGTAAACATGATTGCTCTTGTAGATGGATAAAATTGATGTACTGTTTATCAAACTCTATGAAACGAATCACAATGAAATACTATTCATAATAAATAGAGTTTAGAAGGTTCATATTGGCCTAAAAATAACCCTTGGGATCTCTAAAAGTGTCCTTAATAGACAGGTTTTGTTGTGTGGAACTTGGCTGTGCAATGGTTACATTTCTGGTCGCCCTCATAAAGCCTAAGCAGGAAATAAAGAAATATAATAAAACGTTTTGCCACAAGACTTCTCCCAATTTCTTGTAAGATCAATAAAACCATCGTTGCTTTTAATTATCATCAAATAAACCGATTAAAACTCGGTCCATGCGCCCTCATTATTGCTCAATAAACAATATGATACCCCTTCAATTGGATCAAATTTGCCCCTCGAATATATTTCCTGCATCTGCGCGGATGCGCGGCGCTGGAATATTGGCCATAAAATATTTTTAAGTAATTGTTTGAATGCGCTAATTAAAGAGGCCGTTTTATGGCCCGCGACCGGACTCGCAATGGATATGAGCGTGTAATAGGGCGCAGCGGATTGGTTGTTAATCATAATTAACGGCAAATTGGTCTGATGGTCCGGGAGGGAAAGTTGGAAAATTTCAAAAAACTTGGAAAAATGAGAAAGTTTGATAAAATTCATTTATTAATTAATCAGAAACTCAATACCAAAAGCAGTAAACATACAAACATTTGAGCCCTATTTACACCACTGTTGCTCGCCAATCGGCCTTTAAACTCGTCCCACAGTAGCTGCTGATACAACGGGAGTCCCGTGGGCTCCAGCCTTGAGCATTCAATGTCACAAAAGTACTCGAAATTCAGCCGCTCACACATGCAACGAGTCACGATTGTCTAAAGATCTGAGTAATGTAATGAAGAGATTACCTGAAGACAGTATTTCTGATGTATTTGGAAGATGTCTGAAAGCACGGAGCGCACCATGAGACACTCATCGGCGCGTTTGGTCTCGGTGTACGGAAGGAGGCGGCTGGAGGCGTCGAGTTTTACTCTGAAAATGGGGGAATGTTCAGTGATCTTGCTCAAGGCGTAAATTCAAAAATTGTCGATAAATCGACCAGCTCGATCGATCCTCAGGTTATCTCTAATTTTTCTTTAAGCTATCTAAATATTTTCAATAGACCACAAATTTAACGCTCGCAACTTTAACTTTTAGTTGGTAAATATACCCAAATATTATCAATTGAACTGAAGTGAGATTTCAAATAAAGAAACCCTTAAAAAGTAAAAGAATGTCAAAGAAAAGGGCATTTTCGCGTGTTTCATTGTTTCTCTCAACTAAAAATTCAGCAAAATCTCAAAATAACGTCAAGTTTCTTGATTTTTTGAGGGAGTTGTACGAATTATTTGGTTACTAGACCTTCCGGAAAGTCGCCGGACTGATTTTTTGCGTTTGCACTGTGCGAAAAGAATCAGTGTGCGAGCGACGGCCCAAAAATGCTTATTGCACAGTGCAAAAAACGGGAAATTGCACAGTGCAAAGAAAAATTTTGTTTTCGCACAGTGCAAACGCCAAAAACCAGTCCGGCGACATGCACTGTGCGAAAACTGATTTTTGGCGTTTGCACTGTGCGAAAATGTCAGGGTGCGAGCGATCGAAAAAAGCCTATTGCACAGTGCAAAGAAAACTTTTGTTTTCGCACAGTGCAGCCGCCAAAAATCAGTCCGGCGACATGCACTGTGCGAAAACTGATTTTTGGCGTTTGCACTGTGCGAAAAAGTCAGTGTGCAAGCGACAGTCGAAAAAGCCTAAAGTTTTCTTGCACAGTGCAAAGAAAAATTTTGTTTTCGCACAGTGCGTGTCGCCGATTTCAGTCCGGCGACTTTCCGGGAGAACTTTTGGCATTTTCATAAAGTGCATGGACTTTTCGTCGTGCAAGAAGAAAATTCAACTGCACAGTGAATTTGATTTTTTCGAATAAAGCAAAATGCACAATGCAAATGCCCATTCACTTTATGAAAATGCAAGTACTATTTCTTTGCGCCTAACCTCGTCAAAACCCCGCTCCCAATTCGAAAAATATATAATATTGTGTTTTCCTCGCTGCAAATAATATTCCCACAAACGATTGAAAAACACGCACAAACGAATTTACACCAAAATTATATAGAACATATACTTATTATATTTTTTAATGGAACCTCAAAAATTAGAGACAAAGTTTTCCCTACCTCAAAAGTTGATGCCGATCCAAGTCCGAGTTTGACAGATGACTCCGCTGTCTAATGTCATCCTCACAACTCCTTGTCATAACATCGTAATCTTCGTTTGTGCAGTTTTCATTCGGCCTGGTGTGACATTGTGTTTGCAGGTAGCCAAAGAGCGATATGAATTGTAATTCGGAAGGGGGATGTTGTCGGAAAATCGTTGGCACGACTTTTCGACGGGCCTGAAAGTTGAAAAAGTTTGAGCTAGGCATTTTTGGCGGGAAATTCGAAAATTTTTTTCTAAATTTTTGTCAAAAAATCAAAAAAAAATTTTGCTTAAATTTGGAAAGCAGATTTGCCAAGTTTTTTCTAAGCCTCTAAAATCAAATAAATCAAATTTAAAGTTCGGGTTAAACATTTTTTGGCGGGAAATTTGAATTTTTTTTTTCTAAATTTTTGTCAAAAAATCGAAAAAATTTATTTCTTAAATTTGGAAAGCATATTTGCCAAGTTTTTTTTCGATGTTTCTAAAATCAAATAATCAAATTTAAAGTTTGAGTAAAACATTTTTTGGCGGGAAATTTGAATTCTTTTGTCAAAAAATCAAAAAAATTTTTTTTTAATTTGGAAAGCAGATTTGCCAAGTTTTTTCGAAGGCTTTAAAATCAAATAATCAAATTTGAAGTTTGAGTTAAACATTTTTTGGCGGGAAAATTGAATTTTTTTCTCAAAATATTTGTCAAAAAATCAAAAAAATTTTTTTCTTAAATTTGGAAAGCAGATTTGCCAAGTTTTTTCTAAGCCTCTAAAATCAAATAAATCAAATTCTCAGAAGCTTACCGAGGTTTCCCTGTACTTCTTCTGGTTCTGGCGAGCGCAGAGCACCAGCTTCCGACGGTAGGCAGTTTTAGCGACATGGCCAATGGTACTCGGGGCACACATGGTCTTGTGGTTGCGGAAACAATTGTCGAGGACTTTGAAATGATGACAGCGAAAGGTTAGTTCGTACTCCGTGCAAATGGGCATGTTATCAAACAGCTGCTCGAAACACGTCTCCGCCGAAGTTACGATGCATTGGCTGGGTCTGAATTTCGATATGTTAAAATACGGAAATTGTATCGACTTGAGCAGTATTGAGAGAGCTCAAAATACCCATTTTTCGAACTTTTTATGGTACATGTTGCTGCTAAAAATTTTTAAAAAAATTCGAAAATTGGGTGAGTTGTTGATGACAAAAGCGCTTTTTTGCCAACATTTTTTTGGACTTCCGGAAGAATTTAATTTTTTTTAAATATGCCAAAACATGGTAAGATTTTGACATTTTTGGCATTTCCAATCATCGCGAATATATGCGAGAAGAAAAAAACGAAATTTTTAAATTTTGAGTGCCATTCCTAACTAAATATTAATTTTCTAAAAATTTCATCAAAAATCGACCAATCACACATTGAGAAAATAACCTCTGAAATTCATCGAGCGACAACTTTCAAGTACCATTAGCCTTTATTATCACCTCAAAAAACGATCCCAAACTTACGTCCCAGGCCGAGTCTGATGAATCGCGAGCACGGGCAGGACGCACAGGCCCCAGACGACGGTGGAAATGAATTCCACATCGATTTTGAGCATACGTTCGACATAAAACAAGCGGGCGCGAGAAAGATGCGTTCGAACTACGGAATCATAGCAAAAGTGACTGCTACGGAATCTACAACCACATTCATATACGGATGAGAATTAAAGAGTGCGTTCTCACGAGAATGGGTCTTTAGGGAGAGCCGGAAAACGCCCGCTGGGCACAAGAAAATTGTTATTATATAGTTTGCCATGATGAAAATATATATAAAGTAATCAAAGAATGGGTCAAACACAAGGCGATACGGTAAGAAAAAGTTGAAAAAAGTTAAAAAAAAGTCCTCCAAAACTCCTTGCAGGTTATTTGTCATCCAAAAAAAGGCGTCCGAAAATGCCATCCCATATATGGAGGACTCTTGTTCATACAAATAACAGACCCGATCATCGGCTTTTTCCCACCGCGAAATTTGAGAATCCAGCCAAAACTTTTTCCCAACTAAAAAAACATGACCTGCGAATTTCATAAAAACAAAAATGCTTGGCCAGAAGTCCCAAAAATAATTGCTACCTTCCAATTATTTAGACCAGCAAGCAACCAGAAATAACTCAAAAAATAAATATGGAAGGAAAGTAAAGCTGCGCCAAAGAACACCAGTAAGATTGCGTGCATGCGGGTTTCCTGAGGGCCCCCCGACTTCTGAATCCCGTGAATGGGAAATTAATTATAATCGAGAAGATGGTGGGGGCATAAAGAGCGCTTATGTTATATATATTGGGGATGGGGAAAAGTTCTGGGAATGTGGGGTCCATGTTTGGAGAAAAGGAAGAAAAGGTTCGATTGTTGGAGGAGAAGTGAGATGGATAATATAAAAGTGACAAAAAGAATAATTAAGTTGTATACACAAGTTATAAAAACAAAACTCTCTACAATGAATCGGAGGCGTGCAACAAAAAATGTTTGTTATAGAAGGGCTCTGTTATTTGGTAGTTCAGTCTGACCAAAATTAATTCCCGGGACCTTCGAGATTGCCGTTTATAGATAGTTTTGTTTTTATGGAGTGAATTGTACATACGTTTATTGTACTAATTGAAAGCCCCAGTAATTTTACACATTCGACAACGAATTGCAACTTTAAAAAAATGCTTTGCTTAAAGTCTTTCCGGAAAGTCGCCGGAGTGAAATCGGCGACACGCACTGTGCGAAAACAAAACTTTTCTTTGCACTGTGCAATTTTTTGCTTTTTGCACGGTGCAATAGGGATTTTGGGCTGTCGCCGCCCTGACTGTTTTCGCACAGTGCAAACACCAAAAATCAGTCCGACGCACGTCAAACTGAGGAGTCCGGTGACCGGAATAGACACTTCGCTATCGGTTTTTTACACTTCGTCTTGATTTCGCAGAGAAAGAGAGAAAAAAGACGCGCAAAAACGTACTCTCTCGCCCCAAAAATTCCCCATTTCTCCCCCAACAAAAGGTTTTTTTGCGTCTTTTTTTGACAAATTGCCAACCCATTCACCGGACTGTTTTAGCTTATCTCAGTTTGACGTGCGACGACTTTTTGGAAAGAACAGAAACAAGGTTAGGCATTTCCTGGCCCGTTTAGACGTTTCGTACACATAATGTCGACTGACCAAAAGATTTTAGCTATCAAGATAATTTTGGCAGAATTTTTTATGGACGAAATTGGCCTGATAAAATCAAGGAAAATTTAAAACATCGGGCTTAACTAGTTTCTGAACAGAGAGAAAGATTTTTAATCCTGGCCAGGAAATGTTAATAGCTTCAACTATGCCGGATTGACGCGCGGTGATGTCTACTAAGAGGAAGTTACAAATATATGTATTAAAACCATACGTAACACCAAAAAACCAACTCTCCTTTCCATTGTGTCAAGTTCAATAAAGATAAAGTCAGATAAAGATAGAGACATTAAAGGGACAAAAAAATTATTCGTTATAGAAAAGTTTGTTGCATATTGGTTTTTTGGCATAAGGGCGACTTTTTGAACTGCTGAAATTGTTCGCTATAGAGAGGCTTTTCGTATGGCAATTTGTTGTACAAGGGTTCTATTGTTTTCACATTACATTGCCTCTTTAAAACTCGAAATTTTAGCAGCTGCACTAAACAAAATGACGTTGTCAATAGACGGCTATGAAATCCAGCTTCCGAAGACTATTTTCAGACTTTGCGTGCTCTAAAGACTACGAACATAGGCGACTACAAAAGCTAGAAAAATTCGCGGAAATTAAAAAAATTTTTTTTTGATTTAGCATACATATCAAAATTACACCTCTACTTATACTATGACGAAGAACAAAGGCTCCGGAAAGCAAAGCGCAAAAGATATCGGGCAAAATCGAATTAGAACTCAAGTGTAAGATCCCCCCGCGACTGGTGGGCTATATAAAACAGACACGAAGAATGTAAAAGACACTTGTTTGGAGAGGATTATGATCTCAGAATGGGGCGCAGGAAACGAAGAGAGCACGCACAATTTGAGGGCTCGTTTAAAGGATAATTTCATGCCAAAGGTATGTGCGAATTCGTTTTTTTTACATTTCGTTCGGACAGATTTGTTTTCAAAGGTAAATGGGCGAGAGGGAGAGGATACGAAATTTTGGGCATTCGGAGGGCTGCGGAGAAAGTGGGATGGTTGGAATGGACTTTAATGTAGAAAAAAATAATTTTGGTACTGTTGGCTGGTGATAAAAAGGTGAAGCCTTAAATCTTGGAAATTGTCATGGCTTCTTCTGCAATCGGGAAGTTTTACATACATTTGCGTCGAGAAAGACGCAAGGAAACGGCTTAAAAGACTGGAGTATTCGTTTTATGGCACTCAGAATTGTTTCAGCTTTTGGAAACTTGTTCATAAAAGCCTTACAATAATTACAGTCAAATCTCTCTACAACAACTTGCAAATGACAAAAAATAGAATTCTTATAGAAGGGCTTTTTTGTACAGAGGTTTATAAGAGTACAAAACCGCCCATATTCAATGTTTAGAAACAAGAAGAATTTCCGCGATAACTCCGGAGAGCTCAAAGATATTCGCAAATAGTTTCTGTCATATTTCTTGAAACACCCTGTAAAAGGTCTTTTTTGTACAGAGGTTTAATTGGGCCAAAAATTCATCCCTCAACTTCTGAAATTGTTCGTTATAGACAGATTTTGTTGTATGGAAGTTCGTTATACATAGGCATCGTACTCCAAAAAAGATGATATACCATGGAAAAAACGGTTACAAGAAAATGTTCTAAGCTATTTAGCCTAAAGCAAAAAATTTTTCTGAACAAGTCACACTTTACGTCAACGAAGAATTTCAACAAATCCGAAAAAATCCAACAAATTTTTCACTTTCGAACTAAACCGCTCAAGAAACTACTATATAGCGTTGAAATGTAAAGACATTACACTTTTATCTCCCGAAACCCCACACGCACATATCCAAACAAAAAAATTCATAATATGTATAATGGCCGACTTGAGTGTTCGACATGTCCCCTCCGGGGATTAAGGAGACCATTTAGATGCTAATTCTCGAAAAGGTCGGTGTTTGGGTGTATATTTGAGACATCAATAACAACTGACCGGCACTTCAAACTCCCAAAAAAAGAATCTAAACATTTCCGTTGGCCTTCCGCTTCCTCCGGGCAAGTTTCTTTCGGTCAGCTCGGCCGCTCTTCCTCAAGGTGCATTTGGCTAATTACGTCGGACAGGCGGGCCAATAATAACATGTAATTATTCGCCGATGGCATTGATTATGAAGGGAATGGAGATACGGATGTTTTGATTAGCGCAGAAGCTATGTCTTGCCAGTGGATAACGTATATTCGATTCTCAGATCTTTCCAAAGTTTGCAGAGAAGCTGCGTGAAATAATAAACATTCAACATAGCTGGCATATCAGTCTGTCGGAAAGTAAAGAGCATAATTTAGCAGCGACAAAGGGAAAGCAATTTGATTTTGTCACAAGACAATTCATTTTCTCGACGACTATGCGATTTTCGATGCGACAGAATGCTCATTGCTTTCTTGACAGACTGATAAAACTGTCCACCAAACTGTTAGCTCGTCAATGACAATAGAAAGCGGGTACCACCGGTTGAAGAAGAAAGCCTTTCACGAAATATTATTATAGTACCATAGTTCTTCAGCTCGTAAAAAGTTCTTTTTTTTTGTTATAAGTATAAGGTTGTCTATATTCTAACCCTGTTTTTGCTTGTAATACAAGATGATGACACGAATTGACTTTCTTTACATAGTTTTGGATTAGAGATAAATTACTGCAATTTGTCGCAAACATGGCAAAAGATACCTTAAACAAAAGCCTGATGTCTCGGCCACAAAATTGTGCAATATTGAGAAATTTCATTGTTGTTTACGTTTTTTACAGTCTTCCCAATCAACCCCTCTCAAAGAGGGTCATTATTTATTGGACAACCTAAAATTTCAAAGTCTACGGATGATTTGGTTTTCAGACAAGCCTATACATTGCTTTCCACTTTCAGACACACGCTTATAAAAATAATTGAAATTTATTATACAAAATTAGCCACTCTTATTTCCTTCACACGTTATTTTACTGACCATTGACTTCACTACGAAGATGATGCTGATGTCTATGATAGTGTCGATGGTTGGTGTGATGTTTATGGGCGGGCTTTTGACCGACCGTCTTTTCGGTCTTCTTTCTCTTGAACTGTTGACTTGGCCGAGCTCTGGCCTTCCCAATCCATCGATCAATGTTCTCCTTCTCAATCAGTCTGGCTTGCTTGACTTGCGGCGTATCATCGGGATGTGCTGCCCTCAAGTCGTAGTGATGAGCGCCATCCTCAATAATCAGACTGACCAGAGTCCCTTCGGTGGCCGGCTCCAATTTCCAGCCACCCGCACTCCATGGGTCCAGATATCCGTTGCTGAAAACGATATTACTGGCAGAGGGGAACTCGGCTCCGTAATGTTCGATGACCCAGTTGGGACGGTACAAATTGTGCTCGTATCCAATGTCAGAGTATTGCTTGTGGCATCGCTCAAAGTCGGCGGTGATGACAAATGGACAGGTCTTGTCGAAGACGTCATCAGGCAGGCCGGAGTTGCAGATTGGCATGATCATTTCGGTGCAGATCTGCCAGTTCCAGCCGTCCATGGCGCCAAGTTGATCGTTGCCGCAGTCGGGGCCGCGAAGACAAAACTCTTCGAGCTTTCCGGAAGTGTTGTAGAAGATATTGAGGATGTCATACAACGGCTTGACGGTCTCCTTTGGATCATCTGGGATGTCTCCGTTGAATTTCTCGCACATTTTCTAAAATGATGACAATAACTTTTATCGCAAAAATATTTATGCATACATACGTAACAGTTCAAAAAAAGTTCGCTCACCTTGACTGGCCATGCCGGAACTTGCGCAAAAAAGTTGGTGGGATACGGGTAATCGATCATAACAACATTACCCATGACATCCGCGAAGATGTTCACCAAAATATTGTAATCATGCGAGTGCTCGAATTCGGAAGACTTCCCCAACTTCAGCACCTTGTTCAAATGATCACGACCATCCTCGGTCTTGGCCAACGTTCGCATCGCGTCGAAGGAAGCGCGAAGATGCGTCAGATCACAGCCACTCAGCTTAAAGGTTCTGGTGGTGATATTCGCGTAGCCGTCTTGTCGGACGCCAGTGTTTTGGAACCAAAGCAATGGGGCGCTTGCAGCAATGGCACTGAAAATAGCATTGTGAGGGAAATTTTCGAGATATAAATTTCAAATTTTGATGATATTTAACGCTTGCTTAGAGCAATGTTTTCCAAGGCATACGACCGATTTTTAGCCAAAATCTACTAATTTTTTTTCAATTTTTTTGCTAAAAGATATAAGTCTTACCCATCAGCCAGATGCGGATATTTAATCCTGAACCAAGCCGCCAACATCCCACCATACGATCCACCAAATACAATCACAGGAGAGTGGGTTGCTTGAGGGATTCTCTGAAAAGCATACGTTTACATTGCCTAAATGAAATCTCCAATTCTCACCTGGGTTTTCAAATACGTAATGACATCGGCGAAGTCGGCAAGCGCCTGTTCTGAGGTCAGATATCCGAGATTCTTGATGTGCTTGTAGGAATCCTCTCCGAATGGAAGAGAGTTTCCGTAGAAGCGATGCTCAGTAAAAACAATCGCGGCTTTGTATTCAGGGGCAATGTCCCATATAAAACCCTGAAATCAAATTGATTTTTCTGCAATTTAAAATAAGGACAGCTTACTGTAGCGATAGTTATGATATCATTAAAATTAGAAAGGCTCAAAGCTTACAGTATTCTCCGCAAACACCTCCAACTTCCCCTCATTTCCGGTGTAAAAGAAGATGGGCCCTCCGGGCTCATAGTAAGTCAAATTAATAAAATACCGCAACGGGAATTCCCGAGTATCAGCGAATGCGAAATGGTCAATCGGCACGTCCAGATGCTCCTCCGACCACGAATACGACGGCTCTCCATTGGGGATTCGGTTCTGATCGATCAGCGTCACCGGATCCCTCAGAAATGCACCAGGCCTGAGGCCGTTCACCAACAAAGGTGCCAGCAGGAGCCAGCCAACCTTTGACATGACAAACACAGGGACTGATGGAAAACTGAGAAAACGGAGCGGAGAAATCTTGATAAAACTTTTTGATAAGACCGAAGGCCTTCAATTTCGGACTTTTCGCACGTTCGGGAATTTTTTTTTAGATTTCGTTGTAATACCAAGGCAAACAATAAACAAAAGGCTGATTGAGAAAATGAAATTGATAGAGAATTTTTGTGCACAAAAATAGGAATCAATTGAGAATTCAAAAAAAAAATTTTTATTTGATTTTCAGTATTTTTAGTCTCGATTAAATTAATAAAGACTTGTAATTGCTTAGTTAACAATTCTATTTATTGGATATTTTATTATGGTTAATTACACTTTTGAAATGTTTGAGCAAATTTTCAATCGACGTGTTTGATTGGCTCAAAACTTCCAAGCCGGTCTGTCTTTGGAGTACTTCTTTCTGACCGAACTGCGATCCGAATCCAGGTATCTGAAAAAATACATCAGGTTGTGCATTTTATTGCGAAATTGTCATAAAATTTCCCACGCAAAAAACTTTTTAACCCAAAATTTGCACAGTGCATCCGCATTTTTTTGATTATTTTGGGTTTCTACGGTGTTGAGGGTGAGCGTTATTGATATTGATCTGTTAGATCCTCTCTAGCGAAAGATCTTTACTCACCTGGAAGATCCCAACGACGAAGCCGAATTCAAGGTGAAATCTCTGGCCTTGGAAGGGGTGCGCTCTCTCAGACGGCTCAATAAACTTGGAGATCTTGACCTGTCCGTGTTTGAGGAGGTGCTACTGAAATTTGAAACGTGACTCAACAGAAATATACTCTACTTCAAAATCATAGTATTTTGGACTAACAAGGGAAGCTCTCAAACTGTGGCGTTTTAATTTTAATGAAGCGGAAAAACGAGCACTTACTCTTGACTTTTCAATCCTCGATTTCGATCCGAAAGTTGATGAAGCAATGTGCTGAACCTACTCTGTGCTTTCTGATATATCCCCGAAGAGGTGCTCTAAACAAGTTACAAAAATATTTTAGGATAAAGCCTAAACGTACAGGCTCATTCGAACTTCTGATCATATACTTCATTTCCATCAAGTCATCCACATTGTTCACATCGCAGTTCATCATATTGCTCAACATCTCCACAATTTCTGTTTGAATTCTTTCTGTCTCGCTGACTTCCGACTCTTCAACTACCACGATATTGGTTTGTAACGCGCATTCTCGGACTTGAGGCTTTTTTCTGAAAAATAATCATAATTTTTTTGTTTAGCGATAAACCAAAGTCAAATGTACAAATTCGAAAAATTCACTTGCCTCTCCTCCACCTCCGGCTTCTTCAACAACTCGTACTTCTCGAACAGTTCGTGGAGCTGAGCCTGACTAATATTTGCGGCATTTTTTCCGATCTGCTCAACCAAATCATCCAAAACCTCATCGAAAGAGCCGTGTTGATACTCCAAGAGTTCTTTGAGGACCCTGTTCTTAGTCGTAGCCAATCGCAAAGCCTCTTTGTCGGCTGTAGATTCGGATCGTTGAGATCTCTCTCGTTTACTTAGAGCCAACTCATTTTCCAGTTCAATGATATGGTCTTTGTATTTCTTTTCTCGACTTTCCATCTCCATGATGTATTGCTCTTCCATTTCCATTCGAAGTTCGTTTGTTTTTCGAGTCATCTCTTCGGAGAGTTCTGGAAAAGTAGGGGTAAAATACGATTTATTATAGCAATGGAGATTCTTTTTCGCAGTGTTTGCCCCTCTCTGCTCTAAAGGAAGAACACAATTTTCTTCCGGAGAAAGCTCCACCTCGGCGGAGGGTCGACAAGTTTACGTATTTTTTAGAAGCTCAACACATAGCCAAGCATGGAGTAAGTTCATTTATGGGTAAGAGCCATGCTCGTTCCCCGCCTAGATCTTACATGAAACCTGACCAGAGCCATGGCTTAAACTTCACCGAATTGCTATAAGTTCGGTCCAAACTTTGCTCAAATCTGACAATCGACCGAGCCCGTTTGTATTCTACAGTGACGGACCTGATCCAGTGGCAAAAAACGAACCATTTTGCATCCGGGAAGCATCAGAAATGTGGCAAAATGCTTCCCTCTCCCAGTGAAAAAACCGTTTTGAAGCGCCCTGTTTCCTCACAAAAGGAGCGAGCGCGCATTTGAAATCTGATTTTTTTCACTTGGGGAGGGAAGCATTTTGCCACATTTTTGATACTTCCTGGATGCAAAAATGGTACTTTTTTTGCTACGGGATCAGGTTCCCTACTATACAGAGTCGGCCACTCGAAACCACCAACATTATTTCAAATATTTCTCCGTCAATAATGCATCACTTTCTATAAAATTTATATCAAATTGAAGCTGAGACATCCCATTTTTTGTCCATCAAGTATGATATGTCTACGTTCATGGAGGCACCCATATTGGCCTTTGGCATTTTCATTCCAAATTTTGGAGCCTGAAGTCGGGTTCCTCCTACTAGTCGCGACATAAAGTCCGTAGAAATTGCACAGTGCGTTTTCCCCCTGCGCCGCTGCGACTTTCCGTTTTTGCACTAGCGACATGCACTTTTCGGCCAGCGCACCCCGCGACATCGGCGAAAAAAATTCTACGGACTTTATGGCGCGACTAATATTTGCGTAAAATCCGGGGACCATGACATTTGCTATTTGATGACAAAATTCATAGGCATCCTAATTTTTAATGGTGCCGAAATTCCAACGTTTCGTCAACGCTTCTTCAACAATCCCGCTTACCTTCATGTTGCTTTAGCTGCATCTCCAACTGTTTATTCTTTAATTTCTCCGCCTCCAGGTCATGAACCGCATTTTCCCACTTCGCTTTGACCAGGCTCATCTCGCTGTTCTCCAACGCCGATCTGCTCGACTGAACCGCGGAGGACTGTTCGATCAGCAAAGCGAGTTGTCGATTCTCTTCCTCCAGTTTCTGAACTTTCAAAATCGCCAAGTTTTTCTCTTCAATGATCGTTTTAACGGCCTTGTCGATGCTTTGCAGGTTTTCAATCACCGCATCCAACTTTACATTGCGCGAAGAGCCAGAGGAAAGCTGATTGGTCAGCTCTTCCTTGAGGACGTCCACGTTCACATCCAAGATTGTCTCGTCGCTTTCGTCCGAGCCGGGGACAAGACGCTTACGGATGTTGTCGACGCTTCTTAGCGCTTTTATTACATAGTCAAATGAGGGTGCGGGCTGAAATTATGTTTGGCCATGATTTTTTTATTTTGATAAATCGAAATTTGATGTTTTTTCTTTCACTGATGTAACTTGGAATGTTTTTAAAACTCGAGGCCCAAATTTTCTTCAAACTGGGCCTTTTCATACCTTCTCCTTAGCTCCATCAAGTTGAAATTTGAGCTCAGTGACTTCCTCCTCCAAATTATTCCGTTGAGATCTCAAGACGTCCAATTCTTGAAGTAATTTCTGCAAAAACAAAATAATAAAATCTAGGCGAGAACACTACCATAGAATCCGGACCAAAAGTTTGCGTCCCATCCACAAACTCTTTCAACGAGTTGTATTGCTCTTCAAGCTCATTGAATTTACTGCACAACTCCTTGCGGAGATGGTGCTCTCTCTGCTCGGCTTGCTCTCTTTCCGCACCCAATAGTTGTTCATAGTGCTCTTTGGAGGTCTCTTTCTCCTTGGTGACGGATTGCAGGACCTGAAATGTGGTACAGTAGGCACACAGCCCGAGGAAACCCGAAATAGAAGAAAATTATTTCTCGTCCACTTTAGAGTTTCGTCCAAACGAAGTGACGAAATGTCGCGAAATTATCGGCACTTTTTCTCGCGCGCCCGAAACAATTGCTTTTTCTCGACAAGGAAGAAGAAAGATAAGAAAATACGTTTTATCGGATAGTGACATTTCGTTTTGAACGAATCACCAAAAAGGGGCGGGAAATTTTTTCTTCTATTTTGGATTGACGCACGCCCGCCCCTTTTTGGTGATTCGTTCAAAACGAAATGATAAAAAGCATTTTCTTATCTTTCTTCTTCCTTTTCGAGAAAAAGCAATTATTTCGGGCAAGAAAAAGTGCCGATAATTTCGACATTTCGTCTCTCATTTAAACCAATGAAAACGATACGAAGTTTCGAAACGGTTCAGGAAATGCGCTGGATTGACGTGTGACGTGACGTCCAACTTACCGCTTCCAGCGCATGAATCTGTGTGTTCTGCAGGTATGTTTGACTCTCGCTTTGGCACTTCAGATTATCCCTTTCAATTTCCAAGAAATCAACACGATTCTTCAAGGCCTTGGCTTCCACTTGAAGCTTTCGAACAGTCGATTCGAGCCGAGTTTTGGTGGCTTCAGCTGTTTGAAGCAGCTCCACTTTCTTATTGAGTTCGGTTTCTTTCTCAGAAAGCTCTTCCGTTGTTTTCAAGAGTTTGGCATCGACTTCTCTGAGTTTTCTCATCGAAGAGCGCAGTTCTGATCGAGCGTTTTCTAACTTAAAATTGCAGCTGTCTACGGCGTATTTTACTTTACCTCTTTGTTGATGAATTCCAGTTCGTTTTCCTTTTGCTTCAGCTTCTTCTGCAGCAAATGGATTTCCGCTTTGCAGGCGCTGACTTCCTCTCTGCTTTGCATTGACTGAAGTTTCAGCTCTTGAACTCGATCTCGAAATTCTTCATGTCTAAAAAGACGATGTTAGATAATTCTCAGTTTTCGATGACGTAAAAATTTTAATTATTTTTTACCTTGCTTCCAACTCCTTCTTGAGATGCTTTTCATGATCCCTCAACGCCTCCAACTCTCTGACATACAACATTTTTGCAGCATTAAGTTGAGTCTCATATAAGGATTGGGCCCGCCGAAGTTTTGTGTCAAAAGTTTCGCCAAGCCGATCTTTTTCGGATTGCAACGTTTTGCGCTCATCCTCGAGTCGACGGATCTCGAGGATGTACCTGAACGTTTGATATTTAATTTTTTCAATAACCTACTTTTGCTCGAGGTTAAGTAAATGAGATCCAGCAACTCTTCGCTCCAAATTTTCGATTTCTTTTTGATGCTCTTGTCGGAGGTTTTCCAGGGCTTGTTCCTTCTCATGTTCGAATTGCTCCTGGAATTAAAGGGTTATAGTCAACAGAGTCTTATTTTAATAAGATCTAATTGTAGTTGCGGACATGTTAGGGTCTCTCTGGCCCATTTCTGCTCCTCAAAGCCGAGAAAATTAAAAATTGATTCGTTAACTTTGAAATGGACCTCCGATGGACCTTAGCTCTGCCCGTATTGCGAGGTTCCTCAAAAAATTGACAAAAAAAAGCTTTGTTATTACCAGTTATATTCGTCTTTAGTAGTCTAGCATACAGTAGAACCTTTGTACAACGAACTCTCATACAATGAAGCCTATAACTAAAATTTCCAGAGGTCGCAAGACTCCATTTTAGTCCAAAATTGGCATTTGTAAAACGAAGCCCTTCTATAACGAATAAATCTCTAGGTCCTTGCGGTTCGTTGTACAGAAATCAAACTGTTTAAACCTCCACCTATCATTGCTGTTCCAATAATCATTCACTCACCTGCAATGCCTGAAAGCTCTTCATCCTCGTCTCAAAATCCTTCTTTGCCCCCAAAACATCTTCGCTCAACGCGATGATTTTGTTCGAATACTCCGCCTCCAATGTTCTCTCTCTTTCGGCGATGTACTCCCGGTACTCGCTGAACGTCCCCATGACATTGAACTTTTGTCTCTCGTATTCGGCGACGGTCTCTTCGAGGTTTTGGATTTTTCGCCGCAACTCCACTTCTCGGCCTCCGCGATGCGGAGAGTTGGTGGCGGAGCGGAGGAGATTCATTAATTTGGTCTCCTCGGGAGTTGCGGTTCTTGCCAGCTGGGATTCAGGGATAGGAGAGGTTCCTGAATAGTTGAATTTGAATATTTTTCAGAGTGTTTAGGATTTTTTAGTGGGAACTCCAAGAAAAACTCTTTTTTTATAATTTTGGCCATAGGTCGGGCTATAGATTTTCCACATACAATGTTAGTATGTTTTAAAATTAGTCTAGGCCATGTATGTCTTCTGCAAGCGCCTAAAGACTCGACAAATCATCGCTAAAATTACCTGTTGACCGATAAGTTAAAGTCGATTTTTCATTTCCAAGTTTTCCGTTATTGGGCTTGGACAAAACTCTTGCAGCGGGCGGCGGAGCCGGCCACGCCGCAATATCTGGACGCGAATCGAACGCTTTTGCCGTTGATGGGCATGTTTGCTCCGCTGTATCGGTCCCTTGGCTTGTTGTGGTGGGCTCATTCCTAGATGTGAATTTTAAATGTCATCGCAAATAGCGAAACATACTTTATCGGTGTGGGAGAACTGCACGCGTCCGATCTTTGAGGCATATTGGGACTCAGCGAGCGCTGACAACGGATGTCGTCCAGCTCACTGTTGAGGTAGCCGAGCTATAACGGAATTATGATAACCTGACCAGTGGCAAAAAACGTACCATTTTGCATTCAGGAAGTATTAAAAGTGTGGCAAAATGCACCCTCCAAGTGAAAAAACTAACATAAGCTTTCAAAAGCGCGTCCGCTCTTTTTCTGAGGAACCCTTCAAAACGAAGTTTTTTCACTTGGAGAGGGAAGCATTTTGCCACATTTTTGTTACTTCCCGGATGCAAAATGGTACGTTTTTTGCCAATGGATCAGGTCCCAACTGTAAGTGTGCTTACCTTTTCTCTTAATCGATCCGTCATTGTCCTTACACTTCTCACGCTGACAAATCAACGGCTGAGCATGCTATTTACATCGAGGTATATTCATTGGCCCTGAAATTTATTTTTTCGACATAACTGTCAAATTGAGTGCACTAACAGACCAAAACACCTCGAAATCAGAATCCTAGGGCTATAAAAACGTCAAAAATACCGATCCTCCTTTCAAAAAGGAACCTGAAATACTGCAAACTACCGTATACTAAGTTTGATGATACTTGAATCCAAAAATAGCCCAATTACTTCCTTGTTAGCCCTCTCCAACCCTACTAGTCCCCCCAATAAAAGGTGAATAATATTGGTTCAACCGGAAAGACGGCTCTTTTCACCCTCCGGGGGGATAAGGTGGAGAAAGTCGGGACCCCCTAGGAACAGTTGCCTCAACTCCGCGTTACCTCAATTCAAAAAGTGGTTTTAATTCGGGACAATTGGCCAAGAGAGCGGATCGCCGCTCGGCGATTGACAAGAACCGGGGATAAATGTTATGAAATCAGCGGGCCACGTGTTTGGTGGGGTATTTTGAGGTATTTTTCGGAGCGGAAATGGTACAAATCAATTTGGTTTTGGGCCGAGGAATTGTGTTTTTGCCAAAAATTGAGCGATTTTTTAATGAAAAATTTGAAAAATACGGGTTGAAAAAAAAATTTTTTTTGTCATCTGCTACAATTAGAGGGTCAAAAAAATGTCGGTGGCTTCTGCAAAGCGCGAAATTTCAAGTTTTTGCCCTTACTTCTGTCAACTATTTTCAAAAAAACCTCCAAAATCACCTGTAAATTCAAATTTATTTTTTCCAAATTCAAAAAAAAAAATCAAAAAAAAAATCAGAAAACAACAAGAATTGAGAATAAATAAGTCATGAAAAAAACCAAATAAAATCACAATTTCAGCTCAACATGAATAAAAACAAGAGTGATGGATACCATCGGTATTGTTTTTGGCTGACTTTCCGACTAGGGAGGGGTTGCAAAAGGTCCGAAAAAAGCTGAGATATGCTAGAAAATATACATGATGGAGGACAATAGAGGGGAAGATTCGAGGGTTTAATGAGAAAAAAACCGTTTATTTTTCTATTTTTGTACTAATTTAGAGGATAAAGTCTTGGAAGAAGTGAGGGTGAAAATTTGGGCTCTAGAGGGACTAAAAAGACATAATATGCAAGTAGACTCAAAATTAAGAGGTTCAAGGGGCATTTTTAAACAAATTTTTAGGGTTATTTGAGTTCTTTCAGGTCTAAAATCATAAAAATTCCGAAAATTTTTCAAAAAATCGAATAATTTTTCGATTTTTTGAATGATATACGTATTATATAAGCCCTTTATAAACTCTAATCCCGCTAAAAATTCAAAAATTCGTCAGAAATGCTCCTTGAGCCATGAAATTCTCAAAAACCCAACAAGGAAACACACAAAAAGTTTCATTCAAGATTATAAAAACGCCTTTTTATAACCGAACCAAACTCCACATTTTTTGTGTCCTCCTTCTTCAAACTGATTGTCATGCGACCACATTCATGTCCTCGATCTGCTTGTCCACCGCTTCCAGCTCCTTGAGAAGACAGCTTTGTTGGGTGGGGGTGTCCAACGAGTTGATCTGCCGGTTCACAATGTTCAGTTCCAGTTTGAGTTGGGCCTTCTCCACCGCCGAACCCGATCCGCCAATCTTGTCCACGTCGTAGATGCGCTCCTTCACGTTCAGGATTCGGTCCAGCGTCGCCGACACAATGTGTTGGGGGTCGGATTTGAGGGACAACGGTCGTATTACTTGCGGTACGTGGTCCACCATGTTTATTGGGTCCACCATTTCGAAAGAGGCTTGGGGAGATACTGAAAAAGTTAATTTTAGATAGACCTTCTATAAAACGTTTAACAATTCAAAATCATAGCCTAAACAACGAATAAAGACTGCATTTCCACCGTAAGCCTTATTGTAAGCTAGCCCAAAAAAAAGTTAAAACATCGAAAAATTTATATTACACTTGACAAAAAGCTCTAAAAAACGGCTCAAAATCATGTATAAACCTTCATTTGAGGTTCCAAAAATTTAATTTTGAACTTTCACATCATCAATTTTTAACATTTTTTAAATTTACAATTTCCCGCTAAAACCAAAATTTTTTGGCATTCTGTTTCAACCACCTAAAATAACACCAAAAATCCCTGTAGATCCCCAAAACCATTTCCCATTCCCTCCCAACCTACAATTACTATGTTGAATAGTCGAAATCACGAGCGGTTTCTCGAACATATCCTTCACATTCATGACGGAGCAATCCGCCTGCACTGTTGCCGGGGCCGTCGATTTCTGAGTGAACATTGTGGTCGGGCACATCGTCTTGACCATGTTGAGGACATTCTGAGGTGACGTTCCGAAGAGGCTGGTCGGGATCGAGGAGGTTGAGATCTTTTTCGGGGAATTAAACTCGTTGTTGAACTGGGAGTCGGCCGAGCTCATGGAATCGAGCCGAGACTTCGAATCCGAGCCCGTGGAGCCGGGCTGACATAGGTCGCGGGGTGTGCCGGCGGGGAACACCGGGGGTGGGACAATGCCGGCGTCGGCGAATGAAATCGGGAGGGTGTTCAGAGAGGGTAAGGGGGGCAGTTCCAGCTTCGTATTTGGGATCATATCGAATTCGTCGAAGAGAACCGAGTTCGCCACAGTGTAGGAGACATGGCTGGAATTATAATCAAGTATATAAATTCAGACTTATAGATCATATACAACAAAAAAACGGAATCTAAAAATTTTCAACATTTTCACTAAAATAAGGTCCAAAAAATAATTTTTTTATCCAAAACTAATCAAACTGCTCACAAAAAACTGCAAAAAATGATATTATCCACTCTAATTTCTCATATGAACACAGCAATTCGCATCCTTAAACCCGTTCTTAAATAATTTTCGACCAAAAACAAAATTTTGCCAAAAATAAGGTCCGGTCTCGAATTAAAAAAATTTTTCGATCTTTCTTACCTCCTGGAGTCGTCGTCGTCCTCCGTAGTCATCACATCGTCTCTCATCATTTTATTTAGACATCTAAAAGAAAATAAATCTTCACTTTGAAAATTTTTTGTCAAGTGTAACATAAATTTTCCCAATCAAAAGCTTACGAGACGATTTCATTCCTTCTCGCCAACAACATCTGATCATCGTGCATTTCCCAGATGGAATCGGGGAAGCGGAGCGCCGACTCGGCCGGCCGATGCACATGGCCGGAGCCGAACTGTTGGCCGGACGAGGATTTATGCTCGGAACGAGGCAAGAAACTAAAATTATACACAAATAATTATCGCAAAATAATCCGAACACAATCAAAATCACAGATCAAACATCAAAAAAATCGAATATGGAAACTCCTGAGAAACATTCAAAAAAAATAATAAAAATTAAAAAAAAACTTAAGAAATTGAATAAAAATACAGCAACATTTTTTAGAGTAGTGAGAAAACAAGCCGAGTACGAGAGAAAACAGTAAAAAGTTTATTCAGAAAACAAATATTTCATACAAAATATCACATTTTCCGAAAAAAATAAGGGTAAAATATTCAAAAAAACGGGGGTATTTTGACCATTTTCAATATGAAAATGGAGTCAAAATGACCTGAAATGCTGCAAATTGGGTTAATCCTAATAAATTACTTCTATAATAGGGCTTTTTACCATACAATTTTACTATTTTCAAAACTTGAAAAATCTCAAATTTTTTGCCTTGGTCCTTACCACACCCAAACTAACCCCTCGAAAATGGCTTCTAAGTCCTCTAAATCACACCCATTTTACTTCTAAACATTTTTTAATCATCCACTAAAATTTTAAATTCAAAAAACCAAAAAAAAAATATTTTTTTCAAACAATGCCGAGTCCAATCTTTCAACTATTGGCTTGTTTATATACGGCAAAAATATTCAACGAATAAGATAAATATTAAGATGACTGGTGCTTGAGTTTCACAGAAACCAACAACACAACCAACAAATAAAAAAAACGTCTAAATAGTAGTAGTAAAAGCAGACAAAAAAACGCCGTTCAACTCGAGTTATCAACTAAAATACGATATAAGTATTACAAAACAACGACCTGTGATTCTATATTAACGTATGATAAAGGCGGCTTCAGACATTCTCTACGCAATAAAAGTACCCAATTCCCTCTATAAACACGCTGTGGGTGCAAGTTACACTACAATATTGTACTTGACATACATCCAAAAAATCGATCAAAAAGTTGTAAAAATTTTAAATCCTTGGTTAAAAGTCGTAAAATAAACAAAGTTTTAACTCATTCCTTATCTCCTATTTCGCTAAAAATCACTAAAAAACCACCAATTAGACTAAAACACCAAAAAATTTCGATTTTTCACCGTCTTTTCAAAAAAACTCATAACTCCGACAAAAAAAAATCGCCTAAAAGTTACAAAATATAGCGCAGAAATGCAGAGGGTGCAGACAAAACATAGACAGAGTGGAAAAGAAGGGACAAAGACAACGAGAGAGACGTCTGATTAGACCAACTCACTGTTCCGAGTACCAGAAGGTGTTCTGGTTGAACATCATCGCAGTGGGGGCCACAGTCTGGGGCATCGGGTGGCCCGGCGGTCCGACTGGGACCTGTGCTCCAACTGGAACAGGTCCGTTGAGTTGGACCGGCATCTGGCCAGCCAATGGGGCCTGAAGAGTTGGTGGGACCGGGGTTCCGCCGGCCATTTGCATGCCTTGAGGGACGGGCTGAGTGACCATTGGTGGGTTCATGGGCTGAGTTGGGACCAGGACCGTGTTCGAGAGGAGGGGGACCATGCCAACATCATTTGGCATCATCGGGGTCAGCTGGACGGGCATTTGTTGAGGGACTGGATTGGATGAGTCCGATGGCAAGAGGAGGGTGCCACCAGAGTTTGGATCGTTGTTGGGTATCTGAAGTGCAAAAAAATAAATAAAATTCATCAAAAACAACGTCAAATATCTACCCCGCCAAAATTCCAAACCCCCACAAACATGTTAAATATCTAAAATAATTTACCATCTACTACAATATGAAAAAAGTCCCTACACCTTTTTCATACCTTCACCAACCTAATCATTAGCCCTACTCATCCTCTCTAATCACCTTTAAACTCACCATCAATGCATGAGTCAAGCTCGGCTGTACCAATCCACTTTGCATATCCTGATGGTGCATAACAACTGGAACAACAACCGGCGGACCGTTGTTATTTGGGTTCGCCGGATGGAATCCACCGTCCATGACAAGGCCTTGATCCATCATGTCTTGAGGTGCAAGTTGCTGAGGAATGTTTTGTTGGGCGTCGAGCTGGACCTCATTGAATTGATGGGTCAAAACGTCGACGGAAGTGAATTGATGGGGCATTAACGGGGTTTCCATCGGCATTCCTGAAAGTATAGACAGGCTACTACAATAATACATCTACCAATACCCTAATAGACCATCACAACAGTCTCAAATCTCCCTTTCTATATTCCACATGACACCAAAATTACCTAAATAAGGTAATTTCACCCATAAATTACTGGCCGTTAAATATTGATCCGATTGAGTTTCAGGACATTCTGCGTCCATTGTTTCTTCCGTAAACTCACCTTGACCCGAGTTACCGCGGATTTCCGTCGACGAATGGGCATAGGTGCATCTATCGCCTCGAGGGCATGGGCGACCAACCATCACATCTCTGAAAAGAAACCAGTGAATAACATCATAATCGGCAATGCTTCACCAAGCAATTTGAATTTCACGTCATTTTCATACAATATTTATATTACACTAGGCCATAAAAATAAAAATCCAAATTTTTACCTGCAAAACCGCGTCTTATACATTCTCTGTCCATTAACCGGTGCCACAACCTTCAAGTCGGTCTTCCTTATACCCTTCGGATCAAAATTCTTGCTAAAACATTATTTTTAAAACCAAAACATCAAAATCTATATTGCACTAAACAAAAAATATAAAAATTTTCCTTACGCTCTTGTGATCTGCGCGTATTTGTTTACAATCGCTTCTACATTCCTCAGAATACCCAGGACATCATACAAATCAAATCTTTCCTTCAGCTCGGACTTCAAAACATCTGACATTCCGTTTAAAACAAGATCCGTTTCCTTCTCATCGTCAGCATTCTCTTCCAGAATCTGTTTCAGAGCTTGGAGCTCGTTCTGAGTTAGAGAATGCGGTTCCGTCAGCTGCTCAACAATCAGATCCATCTGTTGGCGGTGGCTAGCATCGCCATATAACAATTGGGACCATTGGTCCGGAGATATTCTGAGTCCCGCTTCCAGGGCAATCTGAACAATCTGTGAGTCATGTTCTCTTCTCAACGCGGCATACTGCCGGAATTCGTCTTTCAACTGCATCAGCGAAGATTCTCCATCCCTTTTGATCACCTAAACATCAAAACTACCAAGTATAATATAAAAAACTCACATTAAAACAGCTGGCTCTGTAGAGGAGTTGAACAACGTGTCCTACACAGGTTTTTGAGACCTGAGGAAAACCTTCGGCCATTGCTTCGACTATGAAGAGGACCAGTGTTTTTCTTGCGATCAATTCTCCTTCCGATAGAGCTTGAAGAACCAGACGAAGAACTTCGGCTTGCATTGCTAAAACATTTTCGAACCATTAAACAACCATTCATCCACAAAAGCGCAAAATCTGGTGAAAAACAAATGATTCAGACATCAAAATTCATATTATCCATAATCTTCTTACCCGGTCCCAAAAATTGGCATCCTCTTGCTCTTACAGCCGACCAAAGTGCGGACGAGATGTGAGCCGAGGTCTGTCGACTCAGCACCAGCTCAGTTACAATCCTTTCGACCAGATTCCTGGAGCATTTTACCACATAATGACGGCCGTCAGGCAGCAAGATAGGCGCAGATAAAATGCCAATAATTCGTTTTTGAACAAACTTTGACAAAGTATCATTCACAACTTCGACGGGGCCATCTGAGAAAGTAATCTTGAAGAAATCTGAGAGAGTTAGCAGTATCTTCTCAATATTCCTTGCGACTTCTTTCTCATTGGCGTCATTTAGATGGTCGGCTAAAGAAAACCCGGGCGATGGAAGTCCTAAGATCTGTAGAAACGCTGTATTCACTGGGTATTTCTCCGCATCCCTCGGGCATTTAATCTAAAATCGGAATCAAACAACAAAACATGGGCTTACCTTGCCATCGGGGTGTTTTACCAGATCTCGAACGCATGACTTACAGCAAACCGAATTGAGCAAATTTACAGGCAAAATGTCGTTAGAGTAGGGCTGAAACGAAACAAATAGTTGGTTGAACTCTTCATCGAACTGCTTACCCGATGACAACAATGGCAGTGCAGGAAATCAGCCGAGTTGGAGCTGTTCCGATGGTTCATATTGGCAAAAAATCAAGCATAAACAAATCCAAACGTTGGACACAAACTGCACTCCACAAGAGGCAAAATTAGGGGTGGCGGTCGATAAATCGTTTCTGGCCAATGTTTCGGACACCGGTTCACATCGCCCAAACTAGCCAAATTCCTGCAAAATTTTGGGTTGAAAGTTTGATGGGAACGGAGGAAAAATACCCCGATTTTGCACGTAGACGGAAGGATTCCGAGAGAAAAATATCAAGTTCCCAAAGAAAGTGGAGTAAAAAGAAGGCAGATTGCCTTTTTCGGCCAAAATTTTTTGATAAAACATCAAAAATTATGTTATCCATGACACCTGACAATTTTTATTGAAATTTTTATGGTTTTTCCTGAACTAAGTAAAGACTTGTACTATAAAACGAAACTTTAACCTGAAACAGTCAATAAAAGTTATCATTCATGACATCCGATATTACTTTAGGTCTCGCAAAATCCCCTCAAAAAAACAATCAGGCTGTTGAAAAACATGAACGCCAGCGGATGGAGCTGGAATTCAGAAAGCCGCCCGCTTTCCGAAAACACCACGAACCCTTTCAAAAAGCCTCGGCTCCCTCCAACACTTGGAAACTATCGCCGTTTTCGCTTTTCTCTCTCCCCCTCCCCAACTGACATTCTCGCTGATACGAAAACAACTAAAGCTTTGTCCAATATTCCTATTACTTGAGGAATTACGTCAGTAATTTGGTTAAAAAATAATTCTTTCTTCAATCCTAATATTATTCATGGCAAAAATGAGGGGTAAAGCGGAAAAATTGAAGAAAATACTTCAATATAGGGGTTTATTAACAAAGAAGTTACTTGATAAAGGTCGACGAATGATAAACAACCTCGGTTTTTATCGGAGAAATGGGAAATATTGGACTTTGATTGATCAGTCGAGGATTTCCGGCAAAATACGTACAAGGCGACATTTTATACGATGGAATGTGTTTGGGATTTTGAAACCTTTGTAAAATACGACAAAATAAACTAATTAGAAGATCACTGAAGGACCTGAAAAGCTTCAGAGACATTTTTAAGATATGTGAAATCAGTAATATGCCTTAGGGCAAATGATAAATTTCAACATTTTTAGGTAAGATAAGACAATTCAGTCCGAGAAACGCCCAAACTGAGCCTCGATGACTATTTCGACTGACTTCAGGTGAAGAAAATTCATTTATATCAAAAAGTCGGCACAAAGAGAGCTAAAACTGTGCAATCAAAAATATTAACCAAGCTAAAAAACGTAATGAAGCATTGTCACTAAAGTAATACGTGAGCCCAACGAAGTTCAAATTCCTTTACCGAGTACGTTAATTCCGTTTCCCGGACAACACTTTGGTTGGTGTTGGATATATTACCTTTAAAAATTGACTTTTACTATTTTGCGATGTGACTGTAACAACTCTAAATTTGAAGAGCCATTTAGAAAATGCAAAATACAAAGTCAGGTGGGTTTCAATGGCATTCCACTTGTAATTAGAGCCTTTTTGTAAGTTTTGAGTGTTTGGCTACTCTTGTATCACTTTTATTTTATCAAAAATATCTTGTATTTTTGCTGATTTCCACTTAAAAATGCTGATTTGTTTCCGCCGAGCATTTTTTTATAATAAAATCTCTTCCGGAAAGTCGCCGAACTGAAATCGACGACACGCACTGTGCAAAAACAAAAGTTTTCTTTGCACTGTGCAATTTCTTGCTTTTTGCACCGTGCAATGGGCTTTTTTCGGCTGTCGCTCGCACCCTGACTTTTTTCGCACAGTGCAAACTTCAAAAATCCGCCCGGCGACACGCACTTTTGCGAAAACAAAAGCTTCCTTTGCACTGTGCAATTTCTTGCTTTTTGCACCGTGCAATAGGTTTTTTGGCTGTCGCTCGCACCCTGACTTTTTTCGTACAGTGCAAGCGCCAAAAATCAGTCCGGCGACTTTCCGGAAGGACTAGAAAAAACAAACGCTTTGAAAAAAATTCTCTAAATTTGTCCTAATTTTTGTCATAACTTAACTGTTGAATTCCGCACATTAGCTGTGTAAATCTAATCAAAAAATGTTCGGCCTGCTGCACTTGTTTTCCCGCTGATTTCTCAACGAATCTTCCTCGGGATTTACAGTAATTTCCTGAGCGATTACTGAGCCTTTGAAACCATTTTAATGGCCATTCGTATTTCTTGCCCTTTTAAACCATATGTTCTTTACTCTGACTAATGCTGACGAATCGCGAAAAACAGTGATTCGATCTCATAATTTCTCTCAAAATTTGCAAAATCCGATTGATGAAGCATTCTGGAGCCATGGGTTTTGATCCCATGATTTTTGGATGTGATGTTGCCTAAGGTGCTTATAATGTGGGATGTTTAAGGGGTGTGACGTGGTCTAAGTCCCTTGGAATCCGCTGAACAAACAGTTATTGTGCGCTCGTCTTTTGAAGGTTGCCTTTTATAGCAAATTTGGGAAATTTTGAGATTAAAAGATGATTGAGATTATAAGGGAAGCCCCTAACGTGGAAAACGGCAATGGGCAAAGAGAGGATGAGATTTACGACATTATTTTTTGAGGAAAGAAAACTCCCATATATTTAGCTCACCTTTTTTCAGTAACTCCCGAAATTTTTTGACTGAAAATTTTAATTGTTCAAATTTCTCGGATTCCATTTCATATGATTTTCCTACGGTATTCACGCTTTATGCACATCCATTATCCCCCACTCAAAGACCGTTGAATCTCCAGATAGGCCGTATGTTTTAATGCCCATTCAAATACAAGACACCTAATATAAAGACATGACCTTTGCTTTTTTCTCATTCCGATCAACGTTATTTTGTGTCGGAAAAAATGTGGCGGGCCCATTTGGAGCCTGAAACAGAGCCCAGCCTTCCTGAAAGAGTTCGCGGACTTTTTGGCGACGTCTGCAAAATCCAGCAGTGAATTTGCGTGAGAGTTTTCGTTGGTCGTAAAGTTCTTTGTAAAGTTTTTTTTACGGCTTGTCGTTTGGCGGACCATCAATCGGTCTCTAAAATCTTTTTCTTGCACTTTTATGTTGCCACTAGGATATTCAGTGGTCTTTTTACGAGAGAGCGTGTCAAATGAGGAGAGTCGGGCAGACGAATAGAGGATTTTGCCTATAACTTTTTTTTCTGATCGGAAAAAGTCTGCTTTCTTTGTGGAAAAATTGAAAGTCATCAGAATAACGGTGAGCCCAAAATCTGCACAAAAAATCGACCATTTTTTGACATTTTTTTTGATGAGAAAACCCTGATGACATCATAATGTCCATAATTTCGGAACAGATGTCCTTACTTCCCATTTTTCAAGAACTTTTGTTTGATTGGAAGGTGTCAAAGAATTCACTTTTTCGCGATATTTCGGCCGAAAATTGAACAGCAATTACTCCTTCTGAACTCCACAATTCAAAAATCAAGCGCTTGAAACGAGCAGAAAATTTATTGAAATTTATTGACAAGGCTCGTTTTTGTCTGGCCGACCCTCCGCATTTAGCCTGTTTTCTCGCAATTCTTTACAATTTTCGCCGTTATGAGACATTCCCTTGTTATAAAATAACATCCATTAACTCCTCGCTCCGATTTTAGATTTTCTTGGTTCTCCTTTTGTATTTTCGCTTATCACTCCCAAATATTCTTAATTTCCAAATTTTGCTCTCATTATGTACATAAACATTTCTCCCTATTTCTCATCTATTTTTTTATGCTTTGTTTATAAAACAAGATGAGTAAAACAAAAAAAAAAGAAGCGCCCTTTTGGACCTCCTTAAATCAAAGGGATCGTTGCTGAAGCTAGTAGTCGTAAAAACGGAGCCAAAGAAAAAACTGGGAGGCTCTAAATTTTATCGGGTCTGGCCATCCGCTACCTTTTTTGTTGATGCGATTTTAAGGCGTCATTTCAAAAGTGCTCTTATCTTTCGCTCCTATTTTATTGTTGATATTATTAATCATAAATCAGTTTTGGTTTTATTTGAGAAATAGTGGGATTGGGGGTTTATTTGGATAGGAATTTTATTGGGAATAGATTTTCGTTTAGCTTTTCGAAAATTAGTGCCAAATTGCACCAAAAACGGCAAAAGTCCAATTTTTTGCGTTCTTTGGCTTTGAGATTGTTTGACTGTATTTTTAACGGTTCGGTCAATGTTTCTTCCAAAATTAGCACCTGTCTTTCCAAGCTCAGAAAGACACAGCCAACAATTGTTTTTGTCTGCGCGACTCTCCTCAATTTGCATATTCTTTCTCAAAATGATGATTAAATATCTACGGCTCTACTAATTTATGAACTGAAACTATCAGCTGATTTTACATGGTATATGTTCAAAAAACTAACAGGGGAAGTACTCCAAGTGCGACGCTCAGATTTTGATAAAACTTGGCACAAATGTAGAAAACATTTTTCGAAGATATATGCGAGAATCCTAGCTCGCGCTTTGCAGAAACAACCGAGAGTTTTAGATCGAAAGTCGGCCAAAATTTAGGACTTTTTGACGAATTTTGGCACAAAAAGTTTCATGCTTATTTCTACCGTAAAGGATAACGTTAGTACAAAAAATCAAAATTTTCCGCACGAAACTGCCAAAGTTATGGCCAGAAAGCGTTTTTGTCTCTGACCGCTCTCCACGTTTAGCGTGCTCTCTCGGCGGCAAAAATCTTTCGATATCTCGGCGGCGCCCGTAAAGCGCGAGCTAAAACTTTCAGGAATTGATATTTAGTCCATACCCGACGTGTGTGCAAAATTTAAAGAAAATCTGAGCGTCGCACTTGGAGTACTTCCCTCGTAAGCACAGCTTTTAAAATCTCCAAACGTCACTTATTCTCCTTGTAGGACATTTTAAGATATTACCGAAAATTGCCTAACCGTCTGCCGGATATAGGCTGAAAAGTGCAAAATGGGGTCCGATGGGAAGGTTGTCATCTCTGCATTAACGATAGAGAAGAGAGAAAATAAATGAATAGAGTTCCGAAGATAATACACCCTAAATTTATTTATGAAGTTCAAGGGAGAATAATGGCTTATGGGATAAGGAATTTATAATATTTCTTTTTATTGATCTTCTTTGACTTATTGATAAAAGCTTAAATAGGCAAATAGTAGCTTGGCTTTCTATTTATTAGCGCATTGTCTCAGCGTTCAACGTGGTATCTTGCCAATAAAAGTCGTTGAATATTTCGTCTTCTTTTGCAAAAAAACCGGCAAAGATTTTCTAGGATTGATAGGGATCCTGGTTGAACTTTACGAGCCAAATATGAACAATCCAGGGACGTCGTACTTCGACAACTTCCGGAATTGCACCTTTAGACTCTCTTACAAAAAATGTCCTAATTTGTTTACAATCCATTATTCAGTCCCGATCCCTCCAATTCACAAAACAATCCCCTCTCTCTCCACAATGAGGTGAAGAGATTGAGTAGCTGTTTTTGTTTGACCCGTTCCGAATTATAGTGAACTCCTCAAAATGGCGAACGAACATCTTGATTGCTCACCCAATTTCGTCATCCAACCTCATTCTTGTCTCCCCGCCCTACCGGTGGGGGAATCCTTTCAAAATCTTCCCAGAGTTTCGAAAAAAGCGCGCGGAGGTACCGATGGGGTTTCTTTAAGGACAATCCGCCCCATTCTCTTAAAAGAATTTCGTGTTCTTTTCGGGTCGGTTACAAAGTCGAGGTTTGCATTCGGATTAAAAGCTCGTAAGGAATTATTTCATGGGACGGAATGACGAGTGGAAGTTTTGGGGGTGGGCATTGGAGGTAGGCCGGGGGAAAACACTATTTTGTGGGATGTAATTAGACGTGGAAATTTTGGAATGGGATTTTTGGTGTGTAGGTCGTTTGGCAGTTTGATTTACGATGTTTGAGTAACAGATTTAGCTGAAAGTTAGCGCAAGAGAGAATTCATTTTAAAGGTTATATGCTCTATTGTAATGCTTGCGCTTTGCAGAAGCCAGCGAGATTTTTTTGTTTTTTTTTTTGTTTGGAGGTGGGCTAATTGTCAAGTCTTCCCTGAGGACTTCAGGATTGCTTTGTTTCCCTTTTCAAATCTGGCGGGTACATGGCCAAAAGCCTGCCTGACATGGTGCTAAGAACATGAAACATACAGGATGTACTAAATTACACTGAAAAATTTTTCTTTTGCAAGTTCTGGCACAAAAAACTTTATTATAGCCATCGTTGACTGTAGTGTTGAAACATTAATTTTTGAGTAAAAAAGGTCCTCTTACACTCCGATCTTTTCATCACAACTTTTCTTTATCAGTACCCTACGGTTTGTTCTACAAGGCGCGCCAATAAAGCCTGGACAAATATTTTTGCTTGCCCTAAAAACTGTAACATCACAAAAGCAAAATAGGCAATTGTGCAAACGTGCAGTGTGTCCAAGAATATATCTATACAGAGTTTACATAGTATTAGTTCCATTGCCATCGTTTCCACCGTACTATGTCTGACCTTGATTCCAATTTGACCGCTCACCAGTTATGAGTGGATGTTTGGTTATACATTTCGCTGGTGTCTATGAAATCCTGTTTATTTACCTTCTTGCACTGTGGACTGTATCGTGGATTATACGACGAAATTAATCACGAATTAATCCTAGACTAAAAAGTTCACGTTTTAATGTTTTTCCAAGCTTTTTGAGGTTTTTCGGATTTGTCATCAAAAGCTTGTACCTAACATATATGTATTTGTAGAATAAGGAACTCAAAATTCTCTTTTCGTACAGTCCGTTAAAACCGAAGATCTTTTTTTTACAGCATATAATATAAATTATTACATCTATTTCTGCTCGCTTTTCCCATAAATCTTTTTTGAGCCCTACCTTCTGGCCATTGCGCAATCTCCGAAAGATTCTTTCCCACACAACTTGGCCAAAACATTTTTTCATTGAGATTTGAGAATGCTTCCGAGCCCGGCTCATCCAGGAAGTAGCGTTCTGCGGGCTGAAACTCCCATTGCTTCTCAAAAACAGTCCCAAATAAAGTTTATAATTAATCCTTTTTAATCAAAAATTATCCGCGCTTATTTTATGTAACTTTTTTACCATAGATTGCAATAAAAAATCTCTTTCTAGAACTTGGACATAACCAGCTTCCGTCCACATATGGTGCATATCAATTCTACGGCTAGCTTCTAACCTATCAACGCAATAACATATTCATTATGAGGACTTTGTTTTTAATTTTATTTTTCTTTCTTATTTCAACAAATGGGTCAACAGCTTCCACAAATTCATCATCAACTTTGATATCGATAAAAAATCAAGGAGAGAAATCATCGACGAATTCAGATACGGCGACAAAATTAACGTCAGAAGCCTCCAAAAATGGGAAAGAAAGGCCGCATTTAAATGTGATCAATTTCAATTTTCATCATGCCGAATTGCCAATTTTTTTGTCCGCCGCCGCTGTTGGGATCATCATCTTCAAGTCGATGTATTACGCGTTCCCTCTGTTGAAGGGAATCATCCCAGATTCGTCGATGATGCTGCTGGCTGGGTTGGTGGTTGGCGGTTGTTTGCACATGTTCTTCCCGGATCGGGTAGGATTTTTTAGTCATACAAAATTTTTTTTTCATCATGGGAAAAAATGATTTTTTTTATTTTTAAAACTTTTATGTTATTTTGAAAAATAATTTTGCTTTATAAAAATAACGTATTTTACAAAAAAAACAACTGAAAAATTTTCTATCAGTCTGTCGGAAAAATAACGGCGGATTGTCGCATCAAAATGTCTCGCCTCGCCGCTGTCGCGCACCAAATCCCAAGCCGCGGCTTGCAGTCGCAAAGCGATGATGGGTGATTCCGATGCGCGGCTATCCGCCGTTATTTTCCCGACAGACTGATAGATGGGCCAAAAAGTCTTGACATGTCTGCACAGCGCGCGTCGTGCGAGAAACTTGTCCCGCGGCGACAGACAAAATTCACGGTGGACTGCGAACCCGCACAGTGCAAAAAGATTGTTTTGAAAAACGTAAACAACGCACAGTGCGCTCTTCTTTCGCACCCCGCCGAATTTTTATCGCGCGACACCTTGTCGTTCATGCGCCCGCACGGTGCAAAAACATGTCAAGACATTTTGGCCCGCCTAGCATAGAAATTTTTCGAAATTGAAATGGGGATAAAAAAGTTGCAAATTTTTGAAGGTGACGTATTTTACATCAAAAAAGCCGGAAAAAATCTACAATGACTTTTAACAATTTTATTTTTGGACTTCAATGCTTTCAAAAAATTTTTTTCAAAATTTTTAGGAATTCCGTCTCGAGCCAACATGGTTTTTCTGGGGAATGTTGCCGATGATCGTCCTGGACGCCGGATATTTTGTGCCAACGAAAGATTTCGTGAATAATATTGGAGCCATCACTTCGTTTGCCGTTTTTGGAACTTTGTCCAATATTTTTTTAACCAGTAAGTTAAAAATAAAAAAAAAAAATCATAATTTTTTAGGTGTTCTCCTCTACTTATTAAAAGCCCATTTTTCACTGTTTCAAACCGAAATGTCAATAACGGATATTCTGATTTTCTCGACGTTGATCTCAGCTGTAGATCCGGTCGCTGTGATCAGTGTGTTTGAAGAGATTCATGTGAACCGGCAGCTTTATATTCTGGTGTTTGGAGAGAGTCTGCTCAATGACGCCACTACTATTGTAAGCATTTTTTGAATGAGCGACATTCGAATTTAAATTACTGAAATTAAAACGGAGTAATTTCTAAAAGAAGCGCAGAGAGTTGTTCCTGCAACAGAAAATATTTGTAAAATACGCAGTTTCGTCTATTTCTAAAATTTCTTTTCAGGTATTTTACAACACCTTCCAAATGTTCAATATTATTGGTGCTGAAAATATTGTGGCAATGGACATTTTCCGATGCATTTTGTCATTTACAGTCGTTTCATTTGGCGGGATTTTTACCGGTATCATCTTTGGCGCTCTTACTGGACTAATGACAAAGTAAGTTGTTTTTTAGACATTTGGGAAATAAAAAGAAAAAAATTTTTTATAATCTCTGTACGAAATTTAAATATGCAAATTTTTTTCAAATTGAAAATTTATCCCAACTCCAAAAAAATTAGCCAATCAAATTACTTAATTTTTTCAAAAAATCTTTTTTTTCAGACTCACTCGAGGAGTTGAATTATACCAACCCCTGACTTGTCTCCTCTTGCCCTATTTCGCATATTCCGCGGCCGAAGGCTTCGGGGTCTCTGGGATTTTGGCTCTTACCTTTTGTGGACTTACAATGAAAAATTACCTCGCTGTGAATGTAAAGGACTCGTCATTGGTTTCATTCAATTACATGCTCAAAACACTCTCTTCATTGTAAGTTTGGAGGTAGACTACGGAAAGATCTAATGTTTTCTTCGCCTTTATATCAGCGTTTTCAGCTGTGAGACCATGATTTTTGTCATGCTCGGAGTATCAGCGGTCTCCAGGCACCATGTCTTCGATTTTTGGTTCATTATGGCCACGCTGTTTGCATGTTTGGTCTTTCGATTTATCAGTAAGTTTTTAGTCATCACCGCACATACTTCAACTTGATACGAGATAATATAAAAATTGTCTATTTTAGCCATCTATTCCATGACGTACTTCCTGAACAAAGGTCGGGAAGAAGTGATCTCCTTGGTCGATCAATTTGTCATCGCCTATGGCGGCATTCGCGGAGCTGTTTGCTACGGTCTTGTTGTGGCCTTGGATATAAATGTAGTCCCAGCCAGGGAGATGTTCACAACAACAACTGTGGCCATTATTTTGTTTACTTCTTTGGTTCAGGTACAAATTTGTATTAAAATTTGTATATTATCAAAATTTGCATATTTTTAGGGAGGTACCATCAAATGTTTGGTGAATAAGTTGAAAGTAAAGCATGCTGAACCAGAAGAAAAAACGTTGTTTGAAATGGTGATGAATGAGGTAAGTGGTTGTTGATTCGTGTATTTATACTGTGAGTAATACTGTTTTTAGACGGTAACCAATATGATGGAAGGTCTCAGCGCGATTGCCTTTGTGCAACCGGAGAAAAAGGTAAACCGATTTCTAAGGTTATAAAATCATTTTTAAGTTATTTTACGCTATGTAATTTTTTCAGTACAAAATTTACTGGCGTCAATTTACCAATTGGACCAATCGTCATCTTATGGTGGATGGAAAAGAATACAACTCCAAATGCCGGAAGATCGTCGCTCACTCCCAACAAATAATGATCTCCGAAGCTGTTTCGCAGATCAAAAAATTCGGCTCGTATCGATTATTGCCTTCATATCCGTCCATGAACACAATGCCCACTTCTCAATCAGTCCCGGCCAACATGAATGAGCAAAGCGAAGACTTGATGGATGACATCACTTTGAGGGTGCCCCAACCCGATAATATGGTCAGAATCAAAATTGAGGATGCTGATGGGATGGGAGATCGGAAGAAATCGCTTAGAACGATTTTCAAGGGGGCTGTGCAGGAGTTCCCGCAAGAGGTAAGGAAAAATTTTAAGAATGCAATTTTAAAAAATATTATAGCTAAAAAATGTCGGAAAATGTAAAAATTGAAGTAAACTTTAAGCTAACCTTTTACTGAAGGCAAATTAGAAAGCATCAAACAATAATTTGAATCAAGAGAGGTAAACTTCCAAAACTTGTTTTTGCACTGTGCAAAGAAACCTAATTTTTGCACTGTGCGCGGTCAAAAATAGGCTAAAATTGGGGTTGCACAGTGCGATGATTTCTGTTTTTCGCACAGTGCAAAAAGTTTTTCGTAAAACACTGACCGTAAGGTCGGTTATTAAATTTTGTTGCCACCAACGACTTTTTGATGCCTATAATAAGATTTTTTGCGCCAAAAGGAAAGCTTTTCGAAGCCAATTTGAGACAAAAATATTTTTTGTTTTTCTACAGAACAATTTTTCAAAAATTTTCCGACTACATAATGTTAAATTTCTCCTTTTTCAGAAGCCCCAAATGTACAGTCGTCATTTTATGCAAGATCTGCGCCGAATTCCCTACGAACGTCCGCTGACTCCGTTATTTGAAGGCGATGAAGACGAGGATGGAGAAGGCTCGAAGAATAATTACTTGACCTTCCCAAACACCGAAAATGATTTCCTCGAACTAAACACATTCAGTGTTCCAGTGCCAAAGAAATTGAGTAGTAATGCGAATAACCGACCGTCAATTCTTCCGGGACAACGTAAGGGGGTTTTTTTGAAGTCGAAATTTGAAAATCAGTTATTATCTTTGTGTTCGTATTTTACCTTTCCATAAAATCCAAAAAATCACCAATTTTTTCAGCCACCCGGCCCCGATTTGAAGTAAAACTGGTCCGAAGCCGGCCCCAATCCCATCGTCGCCGCAATAGTTCGACAGGTCCAGAGGCCGAACGTCTCATGCTGGGAGCTCCTCAACGAGAGACACGTCATGAATCGTTGAGAAGAGGCTCAACTCCCAACAGAAACTCCTTATTACATCGACCCAAAGTCAAGTTCGCCATTGAGGGGGATTCCCCGTGAAATCGAGCTTTTTTTTTGCAAAATCATGCAATATTTTCCCTGAGCAATGGTACTTTTATCTTTCATTTGTCGGGTTCTCGCGATCTGTTTGACGTAGGTATCTCAATTATTACATTTATTAATAAATTTTCTAATTTTCTGAGTTTACAATTTGTTGGCTGCACAGTGCAAATTTTTTTAAATTTTAATCGCACTGTGCAAATATGGAAAAAATTTGACTGCACAGTGCAGCATTAGAAAATGATTTTCCACGTGAAAAAATACATAAAATGGAGTAATGTAAAATCCAACGCACGGTGCAAAATTTCCCAATTTTTTGTTTGCACCGTGCGAAAACTGGAAACATTTCTTATGCACAGTGCAAAAGCAGAAAAAAAGACCATGCCGTTTCAAAACTTTCCGCACTGTGCAGTCGATCTTTTGCACCGTGCAATTGAAAAATCGCCGCGGCGCAGTTGAATTCCATCGATTGCGACCCCGCATCGATTGCGACCCAGCATCGATTGCGACCCCGCATCGATTGCGACCCAAAATGGGGTAAAGCGACCCCGGGATGAAAATTCTTTGATTCTCTTCGGGAAAAACTTGCTTTAGGGGTTTTCGAGGGTGCTGATTTCGAAAATGATGTTCATTTTTCCTCTAGTACTACATAGTGTTGTCTGGTACTATATAGTACGAAGTGAAAATATGGCTTTTGACGTTAAATACTCGATTTAGGGGTTTTCGAGGGTGCTTATTTCGAAAACGATGTTCATTTTTCCTCTAGTACTACATAGTACTGTCTGATACTATATAGTACGAAGTCAAAATATGGCTTTTGACGTTAATGGTGTTGGTTTGATGCTTAGTACTCTTCAAAAACACGTTTTAAAGACTTGGTGCTATATAGTACTGTCTGATACTATATAGTACGAAGTAAAAATAGGCTTACTAAGCACCAGAACAACACCACGAACGCCTAAAGGCCAACTTTACACGTCGTACTACATAGTATCAGATAGTACTATATAGCACCAAGTCTTTAAAACGTGTTTTTGAAGAGTACTAAGCATCAAACCAACACCATTAACGTCAAAAGCCATATTTTCACTTCGTACTATATAGTACCAGACAACACTATGTAGTACTAGAGGAAAAATGAACATCATTTTCGAAATCAGCACCCTCGAAAACCCCTAAAGCAAGTTTTTCCCGAAGAGAATCAAAGAATTTTCATCCCGGGGTCGCTTTACCCCATTTTGGGTCGCAATCGATGCGGGGTCGCAATCGATGCGAGGTCGCAATCGAGCGGGGTCGCAATCGAAGGATTCCGCGCAGTTTTTCAACTTCGTCGCCGCGAATTTTGCTCGCGCGACAGGCATTGCACAGTGCAAAAAGTGGCAAAATGCACGGTGCGCCGCGAAAAAAGCCTACGCACTTTTGCAAAAGCGTGCAAAAAGCAAAAAAAATCTCTAATCGCACTGTGCAAAATTTTCCAAACTTTTTCGCACTGTGCGAAATTTTGCAAACTCCATTTCACCGTCCCAAACCTCCAAAATCCCACAAATCTTTTTTATAATCACTTTATTATCCAAAATGCATTAGGAAAACGAAAATACACTGAATGCCGAAGACGTTAGTAGTTGTAAGACTAGATCAAAAACATAGTAAACTTTACTATTGAATAAATACAGTAGGGATGACAAGACGGAAACTACAATGGAATTGTCGCAAATTATGGCTAACTCTGACCCGACTTTTTGCAACCGGTGCCATTTTGAAAAACTTGACCAAATTTGAAAAAATACAAAAACTTTTGCTAATTATTAATTACAGTAAAAAAAATAGGAATACTTCGTACTTAAACTTCACAATTTAACAATCCAAAAGCGACTTTAATAATGTTTAAAACTGTAATAGCAATCTTTTCGTCCTTGACATGACTTCGGACGTTATTTACAAGATGCACTTTATGTTGTACTAGACAATTTTGGTGGAATTTATAGGAATTTTGAGGAAAATTCAGGTTATTTTAAGTTAAAATGAGCAGTTCAGGACTAAAATCAAATAATCTCCAAAATTTTTCCCGAATTAATATAAAAATCTGCTAATTTCAGCTTAAAAGGTCCTTTAATATTCCCAAAACTCCTCGTCCTTCCACCGCAAGACACATGGGATCTCATAAAGACGTTAAAAACCAAAATAAACCCAAAATGAAATCACAAATCCACTTATATTCTCCTTGGCTTCTCTTTAATCAAACTTTTCCCAGTTAGCCGGTACAACCGTGGAGCTCTTCTGATTCGTCGCGAATGTGTTCGTTACGAATGGATTTAGGCTCAATGGTGGTGGCGCGGTTTTTGGAGGGGGTGGTGGGACTTGAAAAGGCAACGGACTTTGATTCATAAAGGCGGCAGATGATGTTGAAGAAGGTGAGGCTGATGCCGATGCTCTGAACGAGTTGCCAGATGAACCCATCGACGAATTGGCCTGCGAAGAGCTTGTGTTATTCGGTCTGGAGCGAACGCCCGTCTTGAGCGGGTCGAACAGATCCAGCTCATCTTCTTCTTGCTCTTCTTGGTTCAATTTCTGAGCCTCGGCTTGGGAAAAACTGGTTCCATTAGTCGAAAAATTGCCAGTATTAAGTCCATTCGAAACGATCCCACTTATGCTTGCCCCACTACTTCTATTCAACTCAATTTTTGTTGGATTTGGAGCACTTTGACTGAGGATTTTGTTCGGGTTTTCTTCACTGGGCGTTTCCGAGAAATCGATCAAATTCAACGAGTTTTCCGAGTTGGGAGATTCGGCTACAGGCTCATCGGAGGAGTCGGATTGTGGGTGGAATTGAAAGGTAGATGCATCAACGGACAATGGGTCCAATTTGGGTTTGTTTTTCGACGATTTTCGGCCATTTTTTGGGGTCAGACGGCCAAATTTGCTTCTAATTGACATTGATTGGTATTTGCCTTTAAGGGCGTCTAGCACGTCGGAGGCGTTGTCTTTTACCTGGAAAATTACGACGATAAAACTTCATTCCAGCATGCACAATATACCCAAAGATGAGGCCTAAACTTGAATATACTTTTTCACAATAGCCAATATTATACTAGGCCAAAATTGTTCAATTTTTGGTCCGAAAAGTAAATTTTATCTCAAAAAATTAACAATCAACTCCATTTCACCTCGTATTTTACCCTAATCTCCCATAAAACTCACATTGGACACTGCATTTTGGAAAACTTCCGGAGCATTCGTCTGTAAGACCTAAAAAATCTCAAAATTAACCATCAAAATATCCAAAACTCACGTTCGAATTAAATTCTTTTCTGTCAAATCGTTGAATCTCGGCTTCGAATTCATCAAAAGTGGTTTGGCCGGCATTGGCCAACTTTAGTCTTTCCGTTATGAAGCCGTCAAAAAATTGAGATCCGTTTTCGATGATCATTTGGCGGAGAAATGGTTGAAGGCTGGACCGGTTTTCATTCACAAACTTTTCAGAGTCCCAGATTACGGCTGAAATTTGGGGAATAAAATTTTTTGACATTATCCATATCAAACTCAGAAAACTGATTTTTTGGAGCAAGGCTGACTAATAAATCCCACAGAATTTTAATTTTTACCTCTGAGCTCCCAAAAAATCAAATCTCACCGTCGACTGATCAAATTTTTATGTTATCCATGACGAAAATTATTAATTTTTTACAAAAACAAATGTAAAAACCTTTCTTATGGTCTCTAAATTCTCATAACAACTAGCAAGCCCATACTAAATCAAAAATTTATCAATTTCTATCTAAATCACCACTTTTTCCAAAAAAAAAGTCTCATGGATAATATAAATTTTTCCTTCTCAAAATTGACATTTTCAAAAATTTACCTTTAGTTTCAGGGTCTCTCGTAAATCCCAGTCGATATTTCCCAAACAAGATCACATTTGCCCTCAGAAACGTCCGAGAAAATGAGTCGGAAGTGAACATTTGAGAGGTCAGCTTCAAATTATGCTTCAAAAAATTGTGGACTTCCGATGGAAGTTGGTCCTTATACGGGGTTCTGATCGATTTCTGGTCCAAGTCCGCTATGACGACTTCATCCAGGCTAACATCGCGGACCGAATCTAGGACGGGCTTCGGAACGCCCATTATATATGGTAATGGAGCGCTAAAACAAGAAAAATTAAGTTTCAAAACGCTCTAAATCCTTCAAAAAATCCTAAAATACTCAAGAATATTCATGAAATATCTTACCCCAACATAGTCGACAAATGTTTCGGGACAATCGGCGAGAAAAGGCATTGCCAAGAAAAGGGCCACAACAATTTGGACAAGGCGAAGCAAATCGAGGTGAGCTGGCCCAATTTCTTGCCGGTTATGATGATGTGACGCTCCATTAGGACGCTGAAAGTGTTTTGATTTAGATTATATATGTCAAAGACATAAACAAAATTCTTTTTATACCTATAAAGCAAAAAAATATATTATCCATGACCAAAAATTTAAAAAATATAATTTCATCCCAAATCATTTCTAAATCAACGCCAATATAATTTTCAGCCCTTGCTTACCTCGTATACAACGTTATCATCTGCTTCTCCGACAAAATATTATAAAATTCCAACATCAATTTATCGTCATTTAATGAGGCCAACGCGCGAATGTCCGGAATTGGATGTCTAAAATGCCATTGCGGTTTGCATTCAATAAGTTGGAGCATTTGGTGTGGCCCGGGAACATCAATATGATAGGCGTTGGCAAGAACAAACTCCAAATCTTCTCGCTAAAAAAAAGATTTTTGATATCAATCATATTTCCGTAAAAAACTTTAAAAAAAAAAGTTATTTACACTTACACATTTCCTTTCGACCATGGACAGATGATTTAGGAGCTTGTAAAAGAGCGAGGTGTATGGATAACCGCTAGAATTAAAGCAAGATTAAGTGTTCAAGCATAGCATAAAAGTCATAAACGGATAAAGATTTAAAGTCTAGATGGTCCATACAACAATAATCCGCTCCAAAAATCCACCACAAAAAATATACCTTCCGGAAACGAGAAGCTCTGCCAAAAAATACGACTTTTGATATAAGACGTCTAGTGTAATATAAATAAAGTCTAGTTATCCCGAAATTTTTGTCCAAATCAAACCTAAAATCCAAACACACAACACAAAAAGACTTACGATAGAATGCAAGTACATGTTTTCGTATGAGGTGTGAATTTACAATAGCCAAAAGTGTAGTGAGTCGATCCATCGATCAGAAGAAACGTGAAAATCTGAACAGCATTGTCATCATCGTATCCCGTGTCCCTGAAAACAACATCCGCTTGACATTTCAGTTGTAATAAAAAAAGATAGCCTAAAATTCGGAGAAACAAAGTTTACAACGTACGGATTATCGCCGGTCCCAATCGGAAACGAAAACTCGCAGATGGATTTGAGCAGGCGCTGATCGTCGAAATCAGCTGGATAAATTGATTTTATCCGAGGCTCCGAGCCCGTCCCATCGATCTCACAGAACACATCGAAAAGAGTTGGAGGATCTTTTCTGAAACTTAACTTTGATATTAGCTATTATGAAGGAGATTATAAGATGTTCGAATTTGAAGGAAAATAAAATAATAAGTCTATAGATGTCTTATTCAGAAAAAATGGGCCATATAAAAACAAGAAAACAGAGTTCTCCAACCTAGCGACCAAAGTATTTCAAAATTTATGTAAACATAGGTGTCAGCAAATAAAAAATGAACATAAAATTTCCCAGACCATCAAAATTTCAAAACTAAAAAATCTAAATACAAGAAGTCCTCTTGCTGTACATTATCGTTTCGGACACCTTACACCTCCACATTATCTTCAAATTTAACATTTTATCTGATGTCCAATAGAAAGCCAAAAAAAATGGCACAGACAAAAAAATCTGAACAGACAGCAGACTTGTCACTTGACCAGTCAGCTGACCATTCGAGAAATTTCCTTGTCATCACATAAAATTCGACTTCCCAACAAAAACTAGACTTTTTTATATTACACTTGATACTACATCTAAATTCGAAAGAAAAAAGTTGTAAAAAATCCATACCGCAAATGGTCGTAGTTGAGATCTGCCGTTCGTTTCATCTTCGAGCTGTCGGACAAACTTTAACCAACCGATATTCGCGCCTCAACGTTAACTTCCATTCGTTGAACAGCCCTAAAAGGAGACGCATATTACTAAAATAAACGATTAAAAAGGATTTCGAAGGACTCGAAATGGGTCTCATCTACATCATAAGGCTCTGCGAATAAAATGCATCCACCCGTTTTCTCGCTTTGTCACAAATCCTTTCTGCGGAAAAACGGAGAAATATTTTTCGATAAACGAAATGTCACTATTGATTTTTAGTGATATGAAGAAAAGGAAGGCGGACGAATGACGCATAAATTTAGGGGGAAGTTCAAAAGTGAACTCTAATTGGCTTTTTAATTTCCTTTCAGTTCGACTGTACTTTTTGAGAAGACATCGAAAATCAAAAAAATATATATATTTATATACAAAGAAAGGTCAATTTGGCGGGGTTTTTTGAAATTTGACCTCAACAACAGGTGAAAAATGGCAGATAAGATATGATTATTAGACAGAACGCGTCTCAATCGTAGGTAAATACAAAATTACTTACATTTTTTTAAACATTTAACCTTAAAAATGAAATTTTTTCAAAACCGCGCCAAATTTTTGTTAAAAATTTTAAAATTTCAAATTTAAATCAGTCTGCGAAATGACAAAATCGGATGATTTATCCATCCAGAATTCCAAAATTCGACTGTGCTTTGTTTAACCAGCGAAAATTCAATGAATCACCAGATTAACAGTGTTTTTTATTCGCACTGCTTCCAGATAACAATGGATATTAAAAATAATAAGTTTAAATACAATATAGGACGGGTTGGTAATCTAATGAGTGTAAATTGTGTTGAAGTTGAATGGCTGATGTGTTCAGGGCAATGTGAGGGCGTATTTAGTTCTTCAGATTGGTAATGAAAACTAATTTTTTTAGAACCAACTCAAAAACAACAAGATCGATGAGGTATTTACAATTTAGCAAAAATCACGACCTCAGGGAATTATATGGAAAACTCAACGTTTTCAGCTCTTGTTTTGCAATAATGAGATTTTTAGGCCAAAAGTTAGCTTGCAAAGATATCAGGAAAAATTATTTGTTCTCTGCCCGCCCTCCGCATTGTTTGTGCTCTCTCGTAGAATTAATAGAATTGCACTATTAGCATTTTTACAAAGTGCCTGGACATTTGTCGCGGCCCGCACCGTGCACGAAAATCCCCGATTTTTTGCACCGTGCACTCACCTTTTTTTTGGTTTTGCACTGTGAATTTGAAATATCGCTGCGACGTAAGCTTTTCTCAACTGTGCCGCTGCGATTTTGCTCAAAAATCTGCACAGTGCAAACGGCTTTTTTGAGGTTTGCACGGTGCGCAAAGGCAGAAATGCACAGTTCACTGTGCACAGTGCGTTGGCGATAAAACTTCAAGATGCACTGTGCGAAAGAAAAAAATGTCCATGCACTTTATGAAAATGCTAATGGTATCTTAACCCCAATTTCTGACGATTTGTAATATTATGTTTGCACAGCCTCTCGTTTTCCATATTTATTTCCTACAAATCTCATAAATTTACATTCTATATTTAATTTTTCTTCAATCCTCGGACTTGAGAGACCTCTTCCATTCTAAGCCGACTCCTTCTCCAAGCGGATCAACTCCTTCACTCCGTCGTACATTTGTTTCACCGCCTGGTACTCGGACAGTCCCAATCTGGCCCGATTGGAGATGTCGTAGACTCCGCCCTCGCTTTCCGAGTGCTCGCCGTGAATGCCGCGGACTTGCAGGTGCAATTTGTCGCAGATTTCCTTGAAATCTTTGCGCGCCGACACTTTTGGCAGCTTGATGTGGACCGAAGCGCGGACCGTAGAGCCCAAATTGGTGGGGCAGAAGGTCAGCCAGCCCAGACGTTCGTCACGAGCGAAGGGAACCTTGGTTTCGACCGAGCGAACTCCACGAATCAGACGATCCAGGACCTTGCCGACGTCAGATCCCTGTTCCATGGAGATGATTCGCATATGGTCCTCTTCGTTGACCCAGACAAGGAAGGATTTGAGGTTGTTGTGGAAGATACCGCGGCCCTGAAAAAGAGAAAAAAATGTAAATTAGGGAACTCATGCGGATGACAAATCATTTTTTGTTTTCTTGGCCATAAATCTTTCACCTTAGGCCAGTAGTTGCAAGCATTGGCATATTGAAGATGACGATCGCCCTCTTTGAAAAGGAAGTGGTCCTGAATCAACTGGTTCTGAGTCTTCTTGCTCATTCCTTCCAATGGATAGTAAGTTCCCTTCAAATCAGCATCACTGACTTTCTCCAAGGCTTCCTTGACCTTGGCTTGCATCTCAATGTAGTCAGACTCCTTGAGCAATGGGTTGAATGGATAGCCATTCAGGGTTCGGCCACAACGAATTCTGAAAATCGAAGGTTTTTTTGGTAATGTGAATCAATGAAGTTCTCATTGTGTCATGGGTAGATCTTCTGGAAGTTTTGCACACGCTTTTTAGCTTTCGGTTTGCAGAGGTAGCCCATAAAAAACGCAAAGGTTTGTCGAATTTTCCGACTAACATACTCACATATAAGCCTGAGAAAATTTATGTTCAAGATCGTGACTATAATTATCAAAATTTGTGTCTTGTTGGTTGGAAATTTCATTTGCTGGCTGATAAATTTTAACTTCTAAATATTCGAAGCATAATTTTCAAATTTCCGTCAAAATTTTTGAGTCAGTATTAAATACAATGAGGGACCTGATCCAGTGGCAAAAAATGTGTCATTTTGCGTCCGGAAAGTATCAAAAATATGGCAAAATGCTTCCCTCTCCAAGTGAAAAAAACTACGATTTCAAAACTCTTTTTTTGAGGGAAAGGGCGCACGTCAAGAAAAAATAAAAGAAAAACGGGCGCCCAATGAAAAAGCCTAGAATTTTTTTTTGGCATTCTGCCCGGTGCAAATCCGTTTTTGTCCAAATGGTTTGCAATATTTTGACATAAAGATTATTAGTAAATCACAAGATATTGATACCAATAGAAAGCTCGAGAGTTGCTTAAGCTAATAGAACCAAAATATACCCATAATCATAGTATTTTGACAGTCTTCCAAGGCGAAGAAAACAACGTCTAAATAAAATTTTGTATCGACGATACCGAGTCAGAGAGAACTGGAAGGGGGTATAGGCTCCACGTCAAAAAAATCCTTAAACTATTCTTCAAGTATCTACATCGGTCTCGTCCCGCTTGATGGGACAGTTTTTTTGATATTCGGCCTTGAAATTTGCACTATTTTTAGCCTAGCTCGAACCGTGTTCAAAAAATGCGTCACGATGACACCCATTCAGAATGTGCCAGTGGTATAAAAAACAGTTGTATACGACTAGTAGTACTCCCTAGAGCTCCCATAAAAAAAATTAGGTTAAACATTGTTGTTATGTGCAATTTGGATGACAGATTTTATGAATTTTTTTTCGCTGTGAGAACCATTGCAATGCCCGCAATTTCTTGACGTGGGGCGCGCCCTTCAAAACGAAGTTTTTTTCACTTGGAGAGGGAAGCATTTTGCCACATTCTTGATGCTTCCCGGATGCAAAATGGTACGTTTTTTTGCCACTGGATCGGGTCCTTCACTGTAGAAGCCACAAAAAAAAAGAACACGGCAAAGAAAAAAGCCATGTTTTACCATTCCTTCCCAATTTTATATCGATTCAACCCTGAAAATCACTCCTTACCTGGTCGAGATGATATACTTTCCCTCAGGGTCCAATGGAGGGAACTCCTTGGTTTTTCCCTCTCCCAAATCCACTGGAGGCTGCTTATCCTTGGGTCCGAAACCATGATACTCCTGAATGATTGGGTCAAACAAAGCGGCAAAAACTTTGTAAGAATCATAATCCGGGGCATAAACTCCAACGCCGGCATCCAAATTATAGACTCCAGAGCGGATGACGTCATACAGAGTGGCTCCCATTGGGGTTTTTCGATCCTTCAGTTTCTCGACAACATCCTTGGTAAGATGTTTCTTGAGCAAAGATTTGCATTCGGGATGAGCTTGGAGCTTTTTATATGCGTCTTCGATTTTTTGTTGAATCGCCGGATCAACTCCGGTCAGACCAATGTCCTTCTGATGACACGACTTGGAACTTTGCTGTAAAATGAAGAGATTTAGAAGATACAGAAGTATGAATTCAACTTACACATCCCCGGAAATAGTAGCCGCCAGCGGCACCAACAGAGCCCGCAATCAAGGCAGTGAAGAGGTTTTGGTTTCGAGACAGCATCCTAGAAAATGATTTATTTTTAGAGTTGTTTACATATTTTTGAGGAATACATGCGGATGGAACTGATAACACGAAAAAAAATAAAATCACCATTAATGAAAAAGTTATAGCGAATTTCTTTATTTCAAGGAAAAAATGAAAGGTATACGGGGGAATTTTGACCATCAGAGAGATCTTTCATACAGGGCACAACATTTTTTTAGGGTAAATGCAGATAATATACAAGGCTTGCAAGGCGTTAAAACTATCGTTATTTCACCTGAATGCATTGCCGTATGTCGACCAAAACTCGATTCAGTTTGGGCCGACATACGTCGCATCTAGCTATACCGGGCCGATGGAAATACAATTGATAATGACAAGCATCATACGGCACTATATTGAGGAAAAATAAAAAACCCTCTTATCAAAGCGATACTATAAATTAAATCGTAAAAAATACTGTTGTTACATCAAAAACAACTCAAAACTTGCAAGGCAAACACGAAGGGGCCATCCTGAAAAACTGCAAAAATCTCCATGGAAACAATCTTCCGACTGCCCTCTGGAACATTACTGATATACCATTACATACCCTCTAAAATTAGAATACATTTCAGATACTTTTTTTTGAAGAAATATTGGAATTAATCATCACTTTTCACTGACAAAAAATCGCCATCTTTTGTCCTGAACAATGTTCTCACGTTTTATGAAGGGAAGACTGTTCGAAATAAATCAAAAACAATACAAGAACCCCTGTTTTCTGCGGGAAACTTTTTGTGAACACAAAAATGGACGGGTTAAAGGTTGGTTTTGCTCTGTTTACTGCAAGACAAAAAAGGGAAATTAGATAAGGAAAGGAGATGGGAAATTACTGAAATGACCTTGATTACTTTTTGTGGGATTACAATTTTTATTAAGAAATTTGCAAGGAAAAGAAATGGGAAATTTGTTTGTTGTAGAAAGGTTTCAAAAAAGGTCGGTGTAAATAGGGCAACAAGAAATTAACAAGGGTTGCCTGAAATTCTGATTTTTTAAAAGATAGCTCGCTAAAACTGCCCGAGGTTCCCAGCAGAGATTGCCACGGCTCCGGAGCCGGCTCTTGGCTCCGGCTCTGAGCGGCTCCGGCTCCGAGCCCGGAGCCAGAGCCGGAGCCGGAAATTTTGGGGTCGGCTCGGGCTCCCGAGCCCAAAGTCGGAGCCAGGCTTCCCAGCGGTCAGAAAAGTAAAAATTTTGTGATCTTGTTAAACCAAATTCCTTGAAAAACACTGCGGAGGATGTGACTTGGCTGCAAAAACGTTGGCTGTGTGATCTCTGGCACTAAGAAATTTTACTTTTGAAAAAAATGTTTCAAAAAAAGTTTGGATAGGAGCCGAGGTTCGGAGCCGGAGACGTTTTTTAAATTCTGCACGGAGCCGGGAGCCGGAGCCGGAGCTGCAAATTTGGCCTTGGCTCCGGCTCTGGGAGCTAAGAGCCGGAGCCGGAGCCGAAATTTTGACCGTGGCAATCTCTGGTTCCCAGCTACCAATTTTCAAAAATCGACGAGATTTTTTGGTCGATAGTTGCCCAAAAATTGGCTTTTTTTGGGAATTTTCGATTACAACTTTTACAATACAAGTGTGTCGTATCATCTAAAAAAGCTAGCTGTTTTGTAGAGTAGAAAAAAATTACAGACAAAAACTGTTTTTGCTTGACACTCCTCTCTTCTAATCCTAGAAAAACGTTAAATATCTCAGTAGCTGGTTAAAAACAGGCCTTAAAACTTTTAGGGTTAATGTCAGCCTTTCCAAAATTTTACGCCAAATTTACTGAGTAAAATTCGAAACTGAAAAGTGCTTAGTATGTCACTCAAAATTACCCGCTTCCCTGCATACTAAACGTCAACAAATCCAAAAGTCTCTTGGTCCAAAATGTTTTTTTTGGGTTTGAGTTTCTCGAGTAACAGATGACTCTCCCATAAAAACTCGGTTCGATGCTTGAGGTCAAAAGTCATGAAAACATTTGGCAAAGAGTGCCACACAAGTTCTAATAAATCTCTATGAAAAGGTGTGTTAAAAATTTACTTTATTTAACATAAAATATGACCGTTATGCAGTCAATTGAGCCCGAGAGAAATAGCCTTGTTCGTCTTTGATTTAGAGAACAAACTTAATAAAGAACCGTTCGAAAACTTTTTTGTTGTCGAGAGTAAAGAATAAAGGTAAACAGAAGGACACAGACTAAGCGCACAGTTTATTGGAAATGCATTGGGATACCGATACTCACGTAAATGAGAAAGATAAAATTGGAAATCAACGTTTCACGTTGCGAGAAAGCGTGTGAAATAAAGAGATTTTGCCAGACGAAGAACGGTTTAGCCAATAAAATTTTTGCTTTTGTACAGAAAAAGTTTTGGTTTTTTGTGGAGACATTTTGAATTAACGCCAGACATGGTATTACAAATTTTTTTGACCACTTTGAATAAGAAGAATAGCGGCATTTGATGGACAGTGCAGTCTATGAATCCAGAGTAGGCGCTATAGAGAAGAATGATCCTAAATTAATGTAAATTGATTTTTTATGCGAGCTTCAAGTTCTTCAGAAACAGACTGTTAAATTTGAAGCTTCAAAAAATGTTTTTTGCAGAATTGCTTTCAAAATTTTAGCCTCAATTAACAGGGGAAGTACTCCAAGTGCGACGCTCAGATTTTGATGAAACTTGGCACAAATTTAGGATAATTTTTTCTAAGATATATGCGAGAATCCTAGCTCGCGCTTTGCAGAAACAACCGAGATTTTTAGATCGAAAGTCGGCCAAAATTTAGGACTTTTTGCCGAATTTCGGCACGAAAAGCTTCATGCCTACTTCTACCGTAAAGGATAATATTTCTACAAAAAAATCAAAATTTTCCGCACGAAACTGCCCAAGTTATGGCCAAAAAACGCTTTTCTCTCTGACCGCTCTCCACGTTTAGCGTTCTCTCTCGGCGGCAAAAATCGTTTGATATATCGGCGGCGCCAGCAAAGCGCGAGCTAAACCTTTCAGGGGGATGCTTCACGTACAAAAAGGGCACTAACTCGAATTAGCGGCATCACAGAAAAAGCGGAGAGAGCAGAGAAAAAGAGGTGTGGTAACTCGAGTGACCTGACTTTTTATCGACTTTGGCCCCACATTTTGGGCCATAACTTTTGATACAGTGGACCAATTTGCGCCCTTCCAAAAAAATATTAATGCTGGTGATACACAGAATACACGGATATAAATTTGTAAAATTTTCTTCTAAATTATGCAAATTATATGCAAACTTTTTTCTTGGTATCTTAAAGCTCGTCTTTTATTAAAATCTTTATACGGACATGTTTTTTACGCTCTCAGCATCAAAGGGTTTTTTGAAGGGTGTAAATTGGTATACTGTATCAGGAGTAATGGCCCGCGCAACAGTGGGCGAGAATTTTTTGGTCATAACTTTTGTCACAGTAAACCAATTTGCAATTTTTTATGAAAGTTTTAAAGCCGGGAGCACGCTGCGTATGATGGTATCAAATTTTTTTCCGTATCTTGCATCTTAAATACAAAGAGAAAAATTTGCATATGATTTGCATAATTTAAAGGGAAATTTTACAAATTTATATGTGTACATTCTGTGTACCGCCAGCATTAATATTTTCTTGGAAGGGCGTAAATTGGTCCACTGTATCAAAAGTTATGGCCTAAAATGTCCGGCCAAGTCCATAAAAAGTCGCCCGATTCGCCAATCAAAAAGAAGAGGGATCACTCAAGTTACCACTCCTCTTTTTCTCTGCTCTCTCCTCTTTTTGCGTGATGCCGCTAACTCAAGTTAGTGCCCTTTTGTACGTGAAACACCCCCAGGAATTGATATTTAGTCCATACCCGACGTGTGTGCAAATTTTAAAGAAAATCTGAGCGTCGCACTTGGAGTACTTCCCCTGTTGAGACCCACCTGATTCTACAGGGTGTTTCAAGAAATTTGGAACAAATGATTTGCTTATATCTTTGTGTTCTTTGCAGCTATCAACGAATTTCTTTTTGCTTCTAAAAATTGACAGCGTGCGTTTTTAGAATCCAAAAAAATTTTTTTCGTCGGCGGAGGGCCCATTTCTCGGCGGAGAAAATTAGGGCCTTTTTTAAAAATCACAGCGTATTACGTGGCGGAAACGCCGTTGCAACGGCTGAAATCAAGTTTACGTAATACCTCCATCGATTTTACGGTATGCTTTTTTTGCGTTTTCGATTTTACGCACTTTCGCGGATGCGCGGCGGAGACCTCAGATTTCGGCGGACGTTGTTTTGGGCCTTTGGTTTTTGCAATTCATGTTGGAAAAGGAGGTTTGGGTGATTTTTTGTTGTCATCCGATGCACAGATGGCAAAAATTTCGTGCTTTTTATCCCCGGCGGAGGAGTCGGCGGAGGCTTTATCAAAGGGTAAAAAAAAAACTCCGCCGATTTTTTCGCCGGACCAAAAAAATCAAAAATCTTTGAAAGACAATGCTGCTCTGATGGATTCTTGTAGCTGAGATTTTTCCCGGACTCGTAAGACAGCTTTGACCCTTTGATAAAGCCTCCGCCGAATCCTCCGCCGGGGAAAAAAGCACAAAATTTTTGCCATCTGTGCATCGGATGACAATAAAAAATCACCCCAGCCTCTTTTCCAACATGAATTGCAACAGCCGAAGGCCCAAAACAACGTCCGCCGAAATCTGAAGTCTCCGCCGCGCCTCCGCGGTGCGCGTAAAATCGAAAACAAAAAAATGCATACCGTAAAATCGACGGAGGTGTAACGTAAACTTGATTTCAGCCGTTGCAACGACGTTTCCGCCACGTAATACGCTGTGATTTTTAAAAAAGGCCCTAATTTTCTCCGCCGAGAAATCGGCCCTCCGCCGACGAAAAAAATTTTTTTGGATTCTAAAAACGCACGCTGTCGATTTTTAGAAGCAAAAAGAAATTCGTTGATAGCTGCAAAGAACACAAAGATATAAGCAAATCATTTGTTCCAAATTTCTTGAAACACCCTGTA